GGGAGTCTCACTTGCAGGTGCGGGTGAGAGCGCTGCTGCAATTTGCTGCGCTCGCAAAAAACGAAGCGGTTTCCACGCAGAATGCTCTTGGCACGTTGCAAGAGCAAAGATCCACAACCCCGCAGCAAGCGCGGTTGCTGAGCAGAGGCTGCTTGCCTTGTGACCTTTGACTCGCGCCTGGGATCAACAGAAGCCCCGCGTACTTCCCTGACACGGAACTTAAGACAGCGGAGATTGCCAAAACTTCAATAACCAAGAGGACTCAGTCTAGGCGTAACGATGCTGCGTGAGACGGTGTGGACAAATCAATTCTAGTGGCCCATGGCCGGCAGCGATGTGGCCCTCGCCGAGCTTCTGTCCTTGGTTGAGGCACGTTAAGAAGCGAGGTGTTGGTTTTTTCGCGTTCGGTGTCCCGTGACGTCAGGGCTCTGCCATCTCCGAACAAGCTGCCCGCAAGGCCGATAGCCTATAGCACGCTAGCATGCGATCAGAGCCCTTTTCTGCCGTCGTGCATCTTGGCTTGTCAAGGCCTTGCAGGCAAGTGGTCAGAACGTCGAGCTGGCGATCTGCCGCCTTTTCAGCGGAGGAGCGCATGCGGCGCATGCTGTGGCACGCGTTGCGGTTTTCAGACGGGCATCCCAGAGGCCCGGAGCAGCTTGGCATCATTGAGATCGATGGCGACAGAGGCGACGTCGAGGCTTGCGAGGCTCGCGAGGCCCACAAAACTCCCAGCCGAGGCCTGCCTTGAGAGGGTTTATGGGGGCAGCTCAATCTCGGGCGTTTTGGCTTTTTTGGTCTCCTCTCTCGGCTTGCCGGCTTGCCCTTTCTCCAGGGACCAAGCGGTGCCACACGCCGCCGGAAGGGCAGCGCCCGGGGGCCCGGGGATTCTTTCAGGGCCTGGATCCGACAGAGGGGCAGAGCCGACAGAGAGGATCTGCCTTTTCTTGCTTCTTTCTCTGCCTTTTCTTGTTTCTTTCAGCTTCTTTGCTGGCCAGGCAAGCACCGACGCCAGGAGCCTCCAGGGCCGCCAGGGCCGCCACCGCCGCCACCGCCGCCAGCACGTCGACTGCCGCCACCGCTGCCACCGCCGCCAGGGTTGCCGGAGACAGGCCAGGCGCTCAACGTGAGCGCGGTTGCATAGATGTGCGCAGCTGATCACAGATGGCATATGAATGCACATATCAATGCATATATGAATGCATATATGAATGCATATATGCCTGCACAACAGAGGCGGAAGATCCTCTCTGTGGGTCGTGAGTTGCATGGTCCCAGGCCGATGTGCGTCGCAGGAAACCGTCTGTGAGGAACCCAGCAGCGGTCGCAGCGAGGCGGGGATTCCAAGCAGTGGCTCTCGTGCGCGGCCTGCATCCTTTTTTGCAGGAGCTCCCGCCAGAGGTGCAGGCCCCGCCTCTTGTTTGCTTCTGGTTCTGCACTTGTTCTTATGCATCTTTCGCCAGCTTTCTCTTTGCAATTTGCCACATGTTGCCCGCTTGTCAGAGAGCATATGTTTAGTTGGAAGGAGGAGCTCCGGAAGCGCGGGGCTGGCTGGGCGGCTGCCCTGCAGGCATTCGGGCGGCACACTTTGGGGCTTCCGCAGTGTCACGGGTGTCACGGGTGTCACGGATCATGGTGCGCTCTCTCTCTCTCTCTCGCCAGGATGCCTGGGCCGGCTTCTCACCGAAGCCCGTGCCGCCCCTGTCCTGCTGCGTCTTCTCAGCCCAGACAGAGACACAGAGAGCACTGGGTTGGCCTTGAGATTGAGGCCTGGCTGGAGAGGTGGGCCCGGCAGGGTCTGTCACAGGAGCTGTGAGAAATCTGGCAAGCCCTGCATCTCCTCGCACATGCCGTCGCCCGCGCCTGGAGGACCCGCCGTGCCTGTCACTTCAGCAGGGCCAGGTGGACCACAGCGAGTTGAAGGCCAGAGAGTGGTAGAGGGTTCAACTTGGTACAGTTTTCTGTTGAACTCTGAACTCTTCGCTACTCTTGCTACTCTTGGCTGCTGTTCAGATGTCTCTGGAACGTTGGAATGTGATTCAATATTCTCCGAGGACCGCAGGTGCGCCGGGGAGATGCACTCCGCCGCAAAGGTGCAACGTTGTTCTCTCGTGTGGCTTTCCGCGGAGCCCTTCTCGGATTGCTTGCGGGCCCTTTCTTCCGAAGCCTTCCGGTTTGCTTCTCTGATCATAATCATCTGGTCTTATCTTCCAGAGAGGCCCACGTGCAGTCGCAGTTTGCGACGCAGCTGGAGAAGGGCATCGATGCTATCGGAGGACGCCAAGATACGCCGAGGCAAAAATGGCAGCGTAAGATGCTGCTGTGAGTCTGAAGGACAGCATGTGGCAGTGAGGGAATCCCTTCTGAGCAGCCTGTTTGAAACGATGCTGGCGAAGGCAGAGCTTTCTTTCGTTAAGAAAGCCCCAAGGATCAAATCGAATCAATTGTCCTCGATGCGAGGTGCGGTATCCGCCACGCGACCTGAGCTTCAGCTGGCGGCTCCGGAAGTTGCCACAGACGCAGACCAAGCTGCAACCCCAGAGAGCACTCAACAAACATTGAGAGAGAGAAGTCTCCAGAGGTGCTCTCAGAGGAGCTGCTCTGCTCTGCGTCTCTCGGTGTCCTTTGTCTGTTAAGGGCGAAGATGGTGGCGCCACCGGAGATCGTGGGCACGGTGCCTCCGCGGCCCTTTAGATTGCTGGACAACTCCGCAGATGCCCGGGGCCCCTGGAAGAGAGAAGCGGAGCGAAGCGGAGCGAAGCAATGGCTTAAAAGCAGGAGACGGTTTTGGACACCACAAACCCGGCAAGGGGCACAGGCACGCGCTTTCAAGCAAGGAAGGTAGCCAAAGCGAAGGATTGGATTGCTGAGCAACAGGTTGCAGAAACCAACAGCAACCGACAGAAACCAACAGAAGCCTACGGCTGCAAATGCGCACTTTTGTCATGTTCAGCACATACTGAGGCGGTGTCACCCCAAACCCGCGCATAGTGGCATCTCATAGCTCATTTGCATCCACGGTGCTTTTCTGTTTTTCTGATTCTCCAGTTGGGGCTCTGGAGAGTGCTCCGAAGGCCTCAGCAGACCAGCCGCCCCACTTTCTGCAGCATCCTCTGAGACCGGAGCAACAAAGGCGGAGTCCACTTTCGTTGTGCGAGTCGAATTGGCCCTGCTCAATCAAAAGTTGTCTCTGCGAATCTACAGAAGTGGGTTTTTTTGTTATCAGAAAAGCAGGGAGGGGGGGGGGAAGTTCTTTGCAACCCGGAGGTCGCTGCAGTGGATGCTGGCGCAGGAAGCCGACTCGGAGCCTTTCGTGGTCGAGCCCGGGAACCCAAAGAGAGGGCTTTCTCCAAAGAAGGGGGCCCCCTAGCCCTCTCTCACTCCTTTCCCAAAACAAACGAGCTCTGTTCCGTCGATTCTTTTTTTCTTCACCCTCTTCCCCCTCGTTCTCTCTTCCTCTTCTCTCTCTCTCTCTCTGTCTGTCTGTCTGTCTGTCTGTCTGTCTGTTGCAAAAAGAGACACATTCCTGCCGAGAGTACCTCTTCCCAGGTGGGTCCGCTTCTGGCCGACATTTGCAGCTGACGTATTGGAGGCCACATCTCCCTTCACATCATGTACCCGTGCCCATCGTATGTGCCCTTTGCTTGGAAATTGTCTGCAATTACGCTCTCCGTAGATGAGAGTCGGGACAGGCAGAGAGAGAGAGGCCTTCCTTAGGGGGGGCCTCTTCGCTGTGCAGAAGATGAAGAAGAAGAAGAAGAAGAAGAAGAAGAGAGAAAGACTCGACGTGCTTGCATCAACTGGCGTGTCTGTCGGTGGGGGAGGGGAGGCGTCCGTGGGTTGATCTTCTGAAGACGCAGTTCTTGGTGAGGCCTTTTGGAAGGCCAACAAGAACGACTTCTTCCCGTCTGAATGTTGATCCTTCAACAACTTCGACGAACCATCTGGAGCCTTCTGAAGGGTAATCTTGCCTGTTTCATCTGTAGTAATCTGTAGTCCGACTATTTGGGCACCGTGGGTGACGGTGCTTGCGCTGGAGGAAGCATCTTTGGACCCAAGAAAGAAGGACAGACAGAAGGAAAGAAAGAAGGAGACTCGCCTGATACCCACAGATGGGGAAGATCTCCCCTTCAGTGGAGTCACAGTGGCCTCACCGTCTTTGAGTGAAGTATCACACCGAGCCGAGACTTGAGGGTGCTCGGGGGCCCACCCACTACGAACTGGAAGATGAAGATTTAGTGGAATCTGAGGACCGCTGTGACCACTCGAGGCCATAACACACAGGCAAACTAGGGAGGCCCGCCATTTTTCAAAGAAAGGCACCGAGACTCGGAACAAAAACTGGAACCTGCGTAGACTCTGTAGACAGGACTTATCTCAGCGAGAAGAAGAGGAAGAGAAAGGGCACATCACTAGTAGCACACGCCACGAGAATCTGAAGGTGGACGACGCCAGCCGCTTCGTGGAGGGCGCCGCCGTGCAGCTGGTGGAAAATGCGTCTGGGGGCCTCACAAAAGAAGGAGCCCGCAGCATGCGGTGAGGCCTTCGTTGCATCCTAGGTCGGGGCCCTTCGAGGACAAGAAGGGGAAGCATGTGCCCAAAGACAAGCTGCAAGGCAGCAGACGTGCCGACTTTCCGCTGTCAGCCTGTGCACACTGTGCACACGCAGTTTGTCTGCAGGTGTCGGCAAGATTGTCGCTGACCCAAACGGGCCTCAGGCAGCACCTTGTGGCCTGAGTGCTGTGGCCCACAGGTGGGCATGCTTTAGTTCGGAGCTCGGGGCCACCAGCTCGTAGCGGCGTAGCGGACCCTCCACGACCGCTCCTGAATCTCAGGCGGCACCACCGTGCGGTGCTATGTTCAGGTGCCGGGAATTGCCCTGAAAGAAGTCTTGTTGAGAAATGGCGAGCTTCATCGAGTATATCGAGTATGTTGAGTCAGTGCTGTCCTTGCAGGAACTGAACTTCGTCGACTATGGCGGCCTCCAGCCGGGCTGCCGAGTCATGCTCCGCCCTGGGCTGAAGGCGCAGCATGGGCCGCTTCACAGTCACAGGGAGCCACGGCCAAGCCAGACATGGTCAGCGCATGTCTGAGCCATCGTGGAGCCCTTGTGGTCTCTTAGCCCCCCCCCCCCCCCCCCCCGCCCCCTGCAGTCGCCTGCCTTTGGCTGGGGCGGCGTCAACGCCTCCATGACGGGCATCTTCCTTTCCACGGAGCCACCTTTTGCTTGTTGCACAGGATTATAGGAAATAACATGCAGCACATGTCAACACATCAATTCACTACATCAACTAACTACTTGGGACATACTGTGAATGTGCCTATTGTGGACGTGCGGGAGGACGGCCCCACTGTAAGGGTGAAGTGGCCGACGCACGAGAGCTGGAAGGACGACCTGAGAGGGTTGAAGAGAGACTCGGGAAGCCCGTGAGACTGCACGGATCTCCTTGACTCCATTTTGACTCCTCTGCAGGGCAAGCAAGGGGAGGTGGTGAGGGCCGATGCGCGTTGCGGAGGCCGGCCTCCCATGGTGAGGCTCTCAGAGGCCTCACAGGCTGCGTCGAGCATCGAGCACCGTTGGCACCGTTTCGAGCGTGCGAGTTTGGCAGACGCGTTCAGAATCTTTCAGAGGTTTTGGACCTGCGGATCCGTGCGGTGCGGTCCTCGTATGTCCTATGTCCTCGTTGAGGTTGCAGGCCGAGATAGGCCGAGTCTGTAGGGCGCCCAAGAGGCCTTTGTTGCCCGGGGCGGCATCCTGGCTGACAAGATCGGCTACGGGAAGACCGTGGCCTCCTCAGGCAGAGGCGCTCTGCCTCCTCAGAGCCTTGCGGCATCTTGTGGCTCTCAGAGGCCGTTTCTTTTTGATTTGAAGATGTCTTCATGAGTCTTCATCCGTAAACAATCTGGAGAGAGCCCTTGAGACCCTGAGGCCACCAGCATCGCGCTCATCGACCGGCAGCTCCGGGCGCCCGTCCCCCCGATCCCGGAGGTCTGGGAGGGTGAGTCAAGAGGATATCAGGGACGTGAGCGAAAGTGATCGCAAGTCTGGGGGCCCCTGTTTTGTGCACAGGTGGACGAGGGCCACTTCTTGCCTGCCCAGGCAGCGAGGGGTGGTGACCATGGCATACTGCTACGACGCACTGCGGCTCTCTCCTGTTCTCTTGGTGTGAAGGTGCAGCACGCCCTGTGGCATTTACCCTTGTACTATTGCTGGCACTTCATGTTGTGCCTCAGTCATGAGCTTTGGGGTCAGCATAAGGGCTTTTGGAGGTTTCTGGGTGGGCGCATCTCGTAGGGGCATTGAGCCACTGATACAATCCACCCTTGCGCGTCTGTGGCGAGGGCACATTGATCATCGTACCGTCCAACCTCTTCGAGCAGTGGATCAACGAGATCTCCAAGTTTGTCTGGGATGGCCGACCGCTGAGGCGGGCTCAGCTTAGAGCTTGGTGAGCGTGAGGTTCTGAGAGTATGTGATCGCGTGGGATGGTGCACATATATATATATACATAGACATGCACATGTTTGTTTTGCGAGTGAGTGGGTGAGTGGGTGTGAGTGTGTGCGTGTGCGTGTGCGTGTGCGTGTGCGTGTGCGGGTGCGGGTGCGGGTGCGGGTGCGGGTGCGGGTGCGGGTGCGTGTGCGTGAGTGAGTGTGTGCGGGTGCGTGTGTGGGTGCGCGTGCGCACGCCCGCGCGTGAGCGTGTGCGGGTGGGCTCCATCAGGGGTGTGGGCATGTGTGTGTGGGCGTCAGGCAGCAGATGAAGGGCGGCTGGTCCCCTCCTGGGTGCCCTCTCAAGATCTTCGCCATGAGCAACGTCAGCCCGCTCTCAAGGGCCACGGCGCCTGGTCTCAAAGGGCCTCTTCTTGTCTTTTTTGTTTTCAATTCCTTTCTCTCTCTCTCTCTCTCTCTCTTTGCTCTTTGCTCCTCTTTGCTGGGAGGCCAGCCAAGTGAGCGACGCGGATGTCGTGATTTGCTCCTACCGGCTTCTCTACTCTCAGATCTACTTGAAGCGACGCGAGGCAAGGGCCGCAGAAGGGAAAGAAGCACAGCATCATTTTCAGCACGCGGAGTGATGCACGCTGCTGCACAGTGCTGCACAGTGTCCGCAGACTCTCTGCGGCAACAGCAGCTCGGACTCGCTCTGCAACCTCCCGAGTCAGATCAAGGGCCTCCTGCAAGGCCAGCCAGCTTGCCACACTCACACGCACAAAGATAAGAACAAGAAGCGACACAGACGGAGAGCCAGAGAGCGAGAGAGCGAGAGAGAGAGAGCGAGAGGAGAGCGCACAGACGGATCCAGTTGACCGGGCGGTCCCTTCGGGGGAACAATTGCACAGGCAGGAAGGCAGGAAGGAAGGGAAGGGAGGAAGAAGGGAGGAAGCGGAGAGCATCTCTGAGAGTCTACATCGCGCTGGGTGGGAGCATCCTCCTGGAGTGTGCAGTTTTCGAATTGAAGAGAGTAGGTTTTCATAGGTTTTCAGCTTCTCTGCAGAGGCCGTCTCGGCTTGCCCAGTGGCCGGAAGGCCGGTCGGGGCGAGGTTGGCGAGGTCGCCCACAAGTGGCAGGACCTGGAGCCCGCTGCCGAGCCGCCCGCTGCCGGGCCGCTGCCTGCGACACAACACTTTTCTGAGGTTTCCGGTCCTTGAGATGTTCTATTGGAAGCGGATCATCTTTGATGAGGCGCTACGGCGTCGCTTCGCTTAGAGCATTCATCTGCCGCGGTGTTGAAGTGGTGTTGGAGTGGTGTTGATGTGTGTACAGTTCCACGAGCTGGAGAGTTTCGAGAGCACGCAGCAGCACCTCGGCCTTCCCAAAGAGCTTCAAGCATGTGAGCATGTGGGTAGCGCCTGCGTGCTGCACCGCCCTCAGAGGAACAGCCTGCAGTTTCTGCGATCGCATTTTCGCTGGGGGCTGACGGGCACGCCTCCCGTTGACACCAATGCAGGCTTGCGGTTTGGGGCCGCTCAGAGGGAGCTTTCAGAGCGCCAGCACCTGCCAGCAGCTGCCAGAGGCCCCATCTTCATGTCCTCGCTGTTCCGCGTGGACCTCCCGGGCGACCTGCAGGTTGCCGGAGTTGCCGGGATCGGCGGTGCGCGGCGAACGCCTCTTGCGGAGCGTGCTTCTGACAGGCAAGCGGTCCTGTGGACCTGTTGCAGTGGGAGGCTGGCGAAGAAGGTTGGAGAAGAGCAGATCGGACGTGTGCTTGGCGCGCAGTTCGACAAGCTGCTCACCGACACGGCCTCGAGCTTCTTGGACTCTTTCGTGCGGCAGAGCCTTGGCAGCCAGAGCAGAGAGACTGAATCGCATGCTTTAAATTTTCTGAGTGAAGGAGCTTTGTTGGCGTTGAGTAGCGACGATCACCATCTTCAGCCACAGGAATACGGCAGAGTTGGCATCGATCCGGCTTGAGGACAGCTCACCCAAAAGCCTTGAAGCTTTGAAGCTGACACGTTGAACCCAGAAGGCACCTCACCAGGGAAGTTCCGTGCCCAACGAGAGGTTCTCCTGACAGACTTTCAAGAACTTGAACTGACCGAACATGGTCTTGATCTGGAAATGTGTCTACTGGTATTTGCCAGCCATGCGGCAGGGCTGTCCATTTGTCTCCGCAACAGGTGTTCACGTAAGCTGTTCGCAAGGAGCACGTGGTCATCGTCCGTCACACTCCCGCAGAGAGAGCGCTCTACTTGGGACAAGCGCACGAGGCACCAGACTTTCACAGCATGCGTCGAGCCCTCAAAGAGAACAGTGCTGAGAGCCATGAGAAGCTGGAGTGTCTTCACCCGAAGTTTCTTCTTGCCGAGGCTCGGCGGCATTCCAATCGCAGGACCGTCCAGCAACGCATCAGGGGGACTGACATGTTGAGAGATTTGTTGAGGGAATTTCGATCGGTTTCGTGAAGCTTTTGCAGAGGAGACTGTGGCCGCACTGGAGCGGCTGCTCAAGCTCTGCTCACACTTCCAAGTCGGTGGCAATGACCAAGTTGGCAGCGAGGGCCCTTGCGGATGTTTGAACATTCTGTTGAGTTCTTGGCTTTTGGGCACCCGATTCCTAGGCGCTCACCAGGAGTGTGAGCGGATCTACGACCAGAAGGAGCGTCGCCTGGTCCGGGCCAGGTGGGCCTAAGGAGAGCAGAGAGACCTGGTTTACAGTATATTACAGACTAAAGAGCAGGAGTTCCCGCCCAGGAACCAAATGAAGCGCTGCTGCCGTGTCCTTGCCCTGCTGCAGCCACTCGGTTTCACAGCTCGGTTTCTAGTCCTTTCAGTGGTTTCATATATCGATTCGCTGTTCGTGAGGCACCTGCTGCCCAAGACGGCGAAGGCCAAAGCGTGGCAGACCACACTGCAGAATGCCAAGGACTGTGGGGCCCATTGTTGTGGCCCATTGTGGCCCATAAGCACACGCGAGCACGCAAAGCACACACGCACACACAAAGCACAAAGCATGCAACCACAGCGACGGCAGCGACGACAGCAGCAACAGCAACTCGCCCAAGAGCAGACGCGAAGGTTAACGACGACGGAGCAGATCATTGCGAAGTGGTGAACAAATCGTCGGGAAGGGAGGCGCTGGATCCGAAGCGAGGCGACTTGGGAAGAAGCGTGAAAGGGCGAAAGAGTGCCAAGGCGCAACGGCGAAGGAAGAGTGCTTGCTACGAAGACAGCTGTGGCCCAATATTTTGCCAAGACCGAAAGAGATTCATGGTCAGAATATCCTGGCAAGTGGAGGTGTGTGAAGCAGGGAGATCTGGAAATTGCAATAGCTAATCGAGATAGGGCAGAGTGCATGTGTGAGCCACCGAGGCACGAGTCAAGAGTTCCTTCAATACAACGACAGAACAACAACAGCAACAACAGCAACAACCCGACAAAGCCGACGAGACAACGGCAGCAGCAGAAAAATCAACAACACCATCGACATCTCTGTGCAAGGAGACCTTGCTGAGCGAGGGTGATGCTGCCAAGCCCTTTTGCGAGGCCATAGCCGAAGTTCTGCGACCATTCCCGTGCTTCAAAATTTAGTAGTTTAGTTTCAGAAGCTTGTAGAGAGATGTCAGGATTGAGAGGCTCGGTTTGTGTGTGCGGACAGTTTACGACGTTTACAATCAGCAGGAGCTGGACCGGGAGCTCCTCGCTGCCCGAAGCGAAGACAGCGAGCAATGGCTTTTGGCACTCGACGGGCACAAGCCGCGAAGCGAGGAGAGTGCCGTCACGAGTAGCTGCACCGCGGAATTGCCCGGAATTGGGCAAGAATCACAAGGCTACTCTTACGGGATCTTGACCTGCCATGACCTGCCCTTCAAGGGGTCACTTGGATTCAACCTCTCGTTGACGCCAAGTGAGGTGGCTGTTTGTGACATCCCGAAGCAACAACAATTTCGTTTGGCACGATTTTCATAGTCGCAAGCGGTGGAGGGGAGGAAGAGAAGTGGGCGAGAGAGAGGCAGGCATGAACAGGATTCCGAGCCCGTGCCCCATAAAGTCCACGAGAGTCACTCAAGGGCGTGTGTTTTGCGCGGGCGGAGGGGGGGGGGCGGGTTCCGGGGGGGGGGGGGGGTTTATATGAGCGAGCACAGCATGGTGACGTCAGCGAGAGGAGCTGCTGGTGTTCTTGGGCCCGGAGGGCCCAAAGCGAGGCTGGTCGCTTTAAGTGCTCACGCCGTAACTTGTGGTATTGCGTTGCATGGCCTCTTGCAGAAGGCTGCTTGGAAGAGTGGCGTGCCCTCCTGGAAGGTCCGCCGGTCGAGGCCCAAATATCCGACCTTGTTTGTTCTGCTTCAATTGCCTTGGGGGGATCCTTTGGGAGTTTTTTGCATCCTCACTCAAACTTTTCCCCTTTTTCCGTGTCACTTCTTGCGATTCGGGCTGGCCGCCCCCAGTTGACAACGAAAAGCAGGTGCACGACAACCAAGAACCTCCTTTGGCTGGGTGATTTTGGTGCTCATAAGGCTTGGAAGTGTCTCTCTTTTTCTTCAAGATCGAGGGGGCAGAGCAACGTTTTGCTTTGATGACGTCCGGCTTGCTATTTTCAAAGGTGATGTTTCTACTGGAAAATATATTTGATTGGTTTTTCTCTTCGCAAAGAACTTCGTTAAAATATAATTGCATTTCATGTCGTTCTTTCTTTCACTAATTTCATGCTTCCCTTTACATCTTATTACAAACTAAGTGGGGAAAATATGCATCATTAATACGCCCTTTAAATATAGTTCATTCGCTACATTTTAAAATAATTCTCTTCACGTATATTTCATTTGCAAGGTTCGCATGAATTATAATTGTATTCCTTTCTCGCGATCGCAGATATTAAATTAATTCACCATTCGCAAGCTCACACAATTCATGCATTCGTTCACTTTGCTCACTACTTTATAATTGTGTTCACATGACGGAGGAACTATGTGGGTTCAAGAAAGCTCGGTCCAGCGGCAAACTCAAATTTGAAGCAGTTGGCTGGTTTGTGGGCGACACTGTGTTCTCTGTGAAGCGTGCCAACAGCCTCTCAGGCATTGCGACCATAGCTCCTACTAGTCTGTTTCTCTTTTGTTCCTCTAACAGCGAAAGACGGTGGAGGCGAAAGTGCTGGAGCGGCTGCTGTTGGCCCAGTCCACCGAGCAGGCGCATGCGCCGAGCGCACGCGCGTGATGATCGCACCCGCACTGTCTCTGGCGCCCAAAAGTGGGTCTCGTGAAGTTGTTTCAGAGGCGCAGAACCTCCGGGAATTCTACGAATCGGCCACCTCCATGGACTTCTTCCGTCGGACGGTGGCGGCCCTGGGCGGAACCAAGCCGGAGGTCGGCCACATGCCACAAGCGGAGAGTCGTGCGCCCCAAAATGTGCTCCAAATGGAGTGCAGGACAGGAGCTGCTCCGTCTGCCTGGAAGACAACCTTCCGGCCCCGCTCTGATGTGTTGCTACAAGCAAAGATTGGCAGGGCACATTGTGTCACATTGTGTCTAGTGCAGGTGCAGAAGATGGCGATCACGCCATGTGCGCACGCTTTCTGCCTGCGCCTCGGGGCTGGGGCTTTGGCCTGGGCTTGGCAGGTCCAGATAGATGCCGTTTGATGCTACTTGATGCTATTGCATGTCCGTATCTGAAGCTGTGCGTCGCTAGTGAGTGGCTGTGAGTTCATGTGGCTTTTGAGGCATCAGCTGCTTGCGAGAAGCTGTGGAAAAGTTCGCAAAGTGCAGCTTATGCTGCTTGGACCGCTCTTGGACCACGCTTGGTGCAGCAAGGACTCAGGAAGAGTGACAAAATGTAACCAAAGCTGCAAAAGTCCAAGTGTTCTATGTGTGGCTCTTGCCGGATGTCCCACAAAGTTTTCTGGCTCTTTGTCTGCGTAGCAGCTTAATGGAGACCGAGAGCGCGTCAGCTGTGAAAGACGGATGCTACGGATGCTACGGTGCAGCGTTCAGGTCAGCGGAATCTGTCGCTGCGGGACGTGCAGCCTCTTGTGGCGGAGATGGAAGCCGCTGCAGCACCGGCTGAGAAGGCAGCACCGTCGCCTCCGTCGGGCCAAGAAGAAGGCTTGCCGGCTCGCCTCTTTGGGGGTCGGAGTCCGAACTCGGTCGGAGGTAGATTCGGTTTCTTTCGGGTAGATGCACGGGGCCTTCACTTTATCCCTTCCTGCAAGCCGCCGTGCCCCTGGACAAGTACGGCACGAAGCTCGCGAGCCTGGCTGCGAGCCCAGGACACCTTCAAGAGAAGGCGGAGAGGTCGTGCGGTCGTACGGTCCTACAAGACAGTTGTTAAATGGCGCGGTTTGAGCCATTTTTGAGAGCCCAAGTTCTTTTCGGGAAATCAAGTTCACGGTTCAAGGCACGAAAGCTCTCGGAGCTCCGTGAGGCTGATCGCAGTGCCAAGGCTCTCTGCAAATTCGCACGTTGCAGTCGGATGTCGGACTCCAGCGATGTCCGGAGAGGTCATCCTCTTCGTTCAGTTCGATGATCTGAAGCGGAAGGCACGCTTCTTTTCGCTGCGCTGCTACGCTTTTTTCACAACCCTCCAAGCCTGTGTGCTTGCGGGCACTGAGTTGCTGTGAGGTTTACTCCGCTCTGACGGAGTTCGGAATTCCGTGCACGATGCTGCAAGGTGGCGTGGGCACGCTATGTTCTGAGATGCGCAGTCTATGCCATTTGGGTATGTCTCTCGGCGGTCAGTTCCCGGGCGCGCGCTGAGGCGAGCGGGCATCATCCGCGACTGGCAGAACAATCCACAGTCGCGCACCTTCGTCCTGCTGCTCTCCTTGACGCAGAGTGCCTCAGGCCTGGAACTCCCCTGCAAACAAGGCTGCAGTAGGGCCCAGTAGGGCTTCTGGGGATGATGCTCTGTGACTTTGGTTGAGGTACCAACTTGACGGCGGCCAGCCATGTGATCTTCCTCCATCCCATGCTGGCCCCCACAGCAGAGAAGGCTGTTGGCTACGAGATGCAGGCCTCATGCGATCATACGTGCCACATACTGACCACGTACTGACCATGTACTGGTCATGTCCCGGCCATGTGATCATGCACGGGGAGGGAGGTCTGTAGGCACCAGGGTCTGGTGAGGTGAGCAATGAAGGAGCGCTGCTCGGCACGGGGTCGGGAGTGGAGAAGTCATGGAGAATCTACGCCGTGGGCAACTCTTCAACATGGCTCACATCCAAAAGTGGACCGGAGGGTTGTCTTGAAAGGCGGGGGAAGGAGGGCCGAGGCGGTGGAGGGTGATGTTGAGCAGGGGAGCATTCTGCGTCTTGGGGGGCTGCCCGGCGGCTACCTCCGTGTTCCCTCGTTTTTGACCGTTTTTGACCGTTCTTGACCGTTTTTGACCTTATCGCTTGCGTTTGTTGCAGGCGATCGGTCGGGCTCGGCGCCACGGCCAGCTGCGGGACACGGTTCACGTCTGGTGCCGGGCTCGGAGCAGCGAAGCGCAGCAGGGCAGCCTGACTGCCTGACTGCCTGACTGCCTGCGCAACACATCTCTTCAGCACATCTCTTGGTATGTTGGCGTCTTTCCGACTAAAGACTTGGCAATGTGCAGCAGCTCCACGGTTTGTGCATGAAAGGCGTTTCGTCACGGCCGACACTGTAGAGCAGGCCATCACGGAGGAGCACCAGGCCCGTTCGAGAGTGAGAGAGGCGAACGAGAGCAGGGGATGTGCTCTGTGAGTGACTCTGGTGCAGGGCGCCCTCTGGAACTGCGAGCGAGAGCGCCAAGAGCGCCAAGAGCGCCAAGAGCGCCAAGAGCGCCAAGAGCGTCAGGCGCAGGCTCAGGGGGCCGCGGAGGCCGCGGAGGCCGCGGAGCCTGCGGAGGCCGTGGAGCCTGTGGAGGCCCCTGGACCCCACGAAGGCTGAGGCCCACGAAGGCCGAGGAGAGGCGTACCCCCGAGATTTGCCATCTGCCAAGCAGAGTGAGAGCGGCAAAGTGTTAATACCGTTAATGAATGCAGAGAATGCCCCAACGGGCTCTGTGTCACTGCTTCACAGGGCCCTCCGGTGCTTGTGCTCTCATTAGGACCATGAGGGCCTTAGGAATTCCGGGGGCTCTCTGATCGCTGGTGTCGCTGGGGAGAGAGAGGACCAGCGAGAGAAAGATGGGTGTGATCTCGTTGATCCCGTCACGCATCTTCACGAATTGTCATGCATCTTTGCGCATTTCCTCACCTGGCTTCTGTGCTGTCTCTGCTCCCGGATCCCATCTGCTATGCCATATCTGTGAACAGACGACGCATGTGATCTAACTGTTTCTTTGCGCTCGCAGCGTTGAGGCTCTAGGCCAGGACAAGGCTAGAGCTGCGGGCATGGATCCGCTCGGCGGGCATGGAGGCATTTTCCAGTTGTTCCTGCACGTGTGTTGCTGCACGTGTGTTGCGTCGTGGCTGCCGCCGTAGGTTGAGGAGAAGTCGGAGCGGGAACCGCCTCCGGAACATGCGGAGCGTCGCGGTGCAGGCGCTGCGGAGAATTCTGCACTCACTGGCACCTGCTGGACGCAGCTTGCGAGGTCCGAGTGTGAAGGCTGCTGCCAAGGCCGAGAGACATGTCTGAGAGAGAGGGGCGCAACTTCGGGGGCTGTGAAGAAGGGGAAGCGGTGTGGGGCGAAATGTGTTGTGTTGGGAGCCTGGTTATCTCTCTCTGGTATTGATACCGCGTTCCTGCCGGCTGAAACCGTAGACGCTTTTCATGATGGCGCTAAACATTGAGGTGTTCGCTTGCGCTCTGTACGTAGGGCTTTTCCTCCAGGGGCGTGCCGTTGGGACCGATGCACGAGTGTGAGCCGCTGTCAAGACGTCACTACAGGGGTGAACTCAGCTTAAGCAGGGGAGCGAGAGACCGGCGAGAGAACTACCCGCAGAACATCGAGCGGAGGAGAAGGACAGCCGCCAGGGGTTCGGGCATGAGATGGATGGGGAGACGGGCGCCAGAGGGCAGGATGTGCGTGCTTGACAACGGGTCCCAGCCCCACGTGCGAGTCGTGGACTCGTGCTCGAGCCCATGGATGATGACAGAGAGACGACAGGTCGAGACAGCAGCAGCAGCAGCAGCAGCAGCAGCAGCAGCAGCAGCAGCAGCAGCAGCAGCAGCAGCAGCAGCAGCAGCAGCAGCAGCAGCAGCAGCACAAGAAGAAGCAGAAGAAGAAGAAGAAGAAGAAGAAGAAGAAGAAGAAGAAGAAGAAGAAGAAGAAGAAGAAGAAGAAGAAGAAGAAGAAGAAGAAGAAGAAGAAGAATAATAAGAAGAAGAAGAACATCAAGGTGCATGGGCGAGGCCGCAAAGCATCAAGGGGCCTGGGCCCAACACCATTTCGGAGCCGCTAAGGAGGGGGAGGTCAAGGTCAAGGGGGACGGTGAACAGAGCATGCAGCGAGAGCCGCAGCAGGAGGACAGCAATGGGGACAAACACACGTCAGCGGACCGCACGGCGCAGCTCGCGCAGGGGCTTCGGGACCGGGGCGACCGGGGGTTCCTCCAAAGCCAAATGCGCACAAAGAAAGCAAAAAGGATGTCAACAGAATATGAACACCAGAAGACCACAAGGCTAGACAGCAAGAGGAATGAACAGAAGGAGCGAAAAGCACTGAGAACGACACTAGAGAGTGAGAGCGGCCCGTGTCATTGGAAAACGAAAGCTCGGAAGGCGAAGACACGCCGGCAGCTGCTTGAGGCCCCCCGAATATACAGAAGATGACTAGTCACAAAGCTTTCAGCCTTCTTCTCTTCCACCTTCTCGTCCCGTACGTTCTTGGTTTTTGCATACTTCTCTCATGTTGCTGCTTCATTGCGTTTATTCATTTTTTGTTGTTTTGGTGCTGTTGTTTCCTTTCTTCGTTTTCACTTTGCAGCGTGCTTTCTGTGATCTCTTTGCAGGGAATGTCCACGGTTCCGTGCTCGCCATGGAGTGACGTATGACGCTGTGTGCATGTTGCAGGCCTTTGTGTCCAGGGAGGACTACCACCGACAAAAGCACTACGACTTCTGCAGCAAGCAGGCCAGGTGAACACAAGGTGTAGCCGCGTTTAACGTGCATCTTGCTCGTCGCGTACTCTTGCAACTTGTGCAACTTGTGCAACTTGTGCAACTTGTGCAAGCTTGTGCAAGCTTGTGCAAGCTTGTGCAAGCTTGTGCAGGTGCTGTCGGTGTACACGACGTTCCCGAGACCATACTTTTCGCGTGAGGACTTCCGGGGCTCGGGCCACCAGGCGTCTGGTTTCTTGAGTGTTTTCAGCAACTGAACCCCCGCCTCACTGTAGGTGCCGCCCACCGCGCCCACTGCGCCCACTGCGCCCGTCACGCCGGGTCGGAGCGAGGAGAAGGCGGAGAAGGCGGAGAAGGCGGAGAAGGTGGAGGAGCGTTTGCTGACACCCGGGGCGTGGAGCCGCTCGCCCCGTTTTCCCGCGCTCCCCAAGGCAGGGCTTGCGGCTCGATGGTGCTTTCCGGGTGATGGTGTTTTGTGTGGAATTGTCATGTGCCACCTTCAGCTTGCTTCCTTCTGTCCGTCCCCATTCCAGGAAACCGTGATGGAAGTCTCCAAGGATTCCAAGGACTCTAAGGACTCCAAGGACACGGGCATCCCGCGGATCTCCACGAGCTTCCGAAAGGCTCTCGTGCGGTGTGCTTCGTAGCTTTGAGAGTCAATATCGCGTTTTGCCTCTAGAGACTGTCCACGCACTTTGGGGGAGCGCGCGTGTGTGCGCCCGAAGCAAGAGAGGTGGACCGGCTGCAGCTCTTGAAGACGTCGCGGGGCACCCAGGACGAGACCGGAAGAGAGGATGCAAGGTTAAGTTCTGCGTTCTGTATTTTTCAATTGCATCTGGTTCTGATCGATGTGCATGTCTGCGCAGATCGTGAAGCTTCTCAACTGTTCTTGAGCATCGCTGTGGGATCACCGATTGTCGCTCAGGCCTGCCTGGTCTTTCAGCAGCCACGGGGTGGGCCGCCGGTACCCAGGCGCAACGCAGCATGCGACCGACATGCGACCGGCATGCGACCAAAAGCCAAGCAAGCCTCTAAGCTGAGAAAGCACCGGAGCTGAGGCGTGCCCCCGCGAGGGCCGCAGCCCTGGATCCGGAGTGCTCATGTGTAGTTGCGTTTCGGCTCCCCCCCCACAAATACTCGCGTGCCATACTGATGTGTTCCATTTCCCGATGCGTCCCCGCCCAATTCCCCGGCGCTTGCGCCTAAGCGCATGTCGCAGGCCGCGGGACACGGACTTCCGCAGCCTCCGTGACAGCATGGACTTCGACGACTCCCGACTCCTGGAGGCGTGAGCAGCAGGGATGCTTGATCAAAGGGCACACCGGCTGAGCTGAGCTTGGCAGGATCCTGGATCTCTTGTGAGCGCGAGGCGCTAGACAGCGCTCGGGCCTTTCGGAGATGAGCAGCCCCGGCATGTGCTCAGAGGCTCAAAGCACTGACGCGCTTAGGCCGGGGAGGCTTAGTTAGATAGTCTTTAAGAGCCAGCTTTGAGAGAGCGCACGGGGTGATCTACAGTACCCGCGAGTTTATGGATGCAATGGAACTTGTGGAACAACAGCGGCTCTCGGGTTGGCGTCGGAGAAATGCCGGGGCTGGGCTGGCCCGCTGAAAGTGCGTTGTCCAAACCCTGCCTGGCTACAGGGCACGTCAGGGCACCGGGCATCACCGGGCCCAGCACGACGGTGAGGCGCAAGGCGCTAGCAACCCTTGGCCAAAAAAGCGCAGAGGTTCAGTGCACAGAGAAGAGCCTCACTGAACACCATTTGACACACCACACTCTACACCAGTCCTGCATCCCCTTCTCCGATCTCTAAAACCCAAAAAATGGACTTCCCACCCTAGGATTTGCCGTTCCTAGGCTAGGCGACAGGGATTGCTGCATCAGCTGCACACGGCAGTCGCAACAAGCAGGCGCGTGCTGCAGATGTGCCTACATACGACAGCAACGTCAGAAGTTCTCGGTTGATACAAGCCTTTGCAGCGCTGCGCAGCAGCATGCGTGACAGCACAAGATCTTTGTTGTCGAAGGCTTCCTTTCCCATGTTGTTAGCGAGACTGCTCGTGCGACCTCCCGCAGTCCGTTGCATGTTGGATCGAAGATGGCTGTCAGTTTCCTTGAGACCTGGTACCCTCCACGGCCACGCGCCTTGGCGGCAGGGAGGGAGCAGGCTGAGAGGGAGGGAGAGAAGGCTTCCTAAAGAAGATTTATATAGCATTATAAAAAAAAAACAAGGGGAGAGCTGAGAGGAGAGAGATCCTTGAGAGAGCTCTTGTGGTGAGGTCCTTGGGATGCGAGGATGGCCGAGCGGGCCTTCGCACCGGCTCCGAGGCTTCCGGAGAGGAGTGCCAACCTGCTCTAACAGTGTTCTAACAGCGCTATGCAGTGCCATGAAAACAAGATGATCTCTCTGAAGTGCTTATAATGACGTGTAGAGAAAAGAGAGTGTTTGCTCAAAACACAACGTGTGATATTACCTATGTGTGTACGTCTGCGTGCCGACCATGAAGGCAAGTGAGTTGAAGCGGTCTCTTTGCATTCAGCGCAGGACGGAGGAGGAGGACGTGCCATTTTGGGAGGAAGATGGATACTCCGGCTACGCCGACGCCGTCGACACGGTCGACACGGTCGACACCGTTGACATGGAGAGGGAAGAGAGGGAGCTCCAGCACCGCTCCGAGATGCTGTTTTCGGAGAAGGAGAGGCGCCGCAACTCCATGCCTGGGCTCACTGTGGCGCCACGCCGCCTCTCGGCCCCAGCAACGGCAATGACAGCGCCCGCTCCAGGCAATGACAGACTGAGGGCTTTCTCTTCGTCCTCGCCCCCGCCGATCTCGAGCCCCAGCTTGGACACAGCCGCTTCGCGCGCGGCCCCCATGGCCCCCGCAACCGCCTCAGCGCCCACCTCAGCGCCCGCCTCAGCGCCAGCAACGCCTGCAACGCCTGCGACGCCTGTGCCTCAAGTCGCAGTCTGCCGTTCGCGCCTCGTGATTGGGGAATCTGCCGTGCGCAGGTCCGAGGTGAAGGGGAAGGTTGAAAAGGCTGAGATGGATGTGTCCAGGGCCCAGCTGCTCTTGCCTGCACTCGCATTTGACATTTGCCGATGCATGAATGTATGAATGTATGAATGTAGGAATGTAGGAATGTAGGAATGTATGAATGTATGAATGTAGGAATGTAGGAATGTAGGAATGTAGGAATGTAGGAGTGTAGGATGTAGGAATGTAGGAATGCAGGAATATAGGAATGTAGGAATGTATGTATGTATGTATGGTATGTATGTACGTATGTACGTATGTGTGTAGATAAAACGTGGTACCCTCCCCCCCCCCCCCCCTTCCAATGTCCGAATGGTGATGGCAGTGCCGCCTTGCCCAAGCGCTGCGCAGCAGCGGCGCAGCAGCGCATCGATCTCCAGTTTGGACAGAGATCGGATTGCCAGGGGGGGGGAGGAGAGCCGAGGACAAAAATGCGGTTGACTCGTAAAGGGGGAGTGTGAGGTTTTTGGGGGATTTGGCAGACACGGACAACAGTCACTTTGGGCCGTCGGCTTCCTCCTGTCAGCATGTCTGGCTTTCTCTGGCTACCCAGAGAAACTTCAGCGAGCTGACTCATGGGGAAAGCTGCAGCTTGTTTGCGCTCATGGCAGTCCACCGTGAGGCGCCGGGAGCAGTGGTTGCAGGCCTTCAACTGCGTTTTGCCGCGCGTTCCTGCGACATCGCATCACAGCTCCTGCACCTTGCTCGCCTTGAACTGACAGTATTTCCTATACTTTTCTCTTCAGGTGCCGCGGTTCCACCCGGCTGCAGCCGCTGCAGTAGCAGCAGGTGACTGAACACGCCTGAATGCGCATGAACCCCCCCTAGCCTCTCAAGCATTCTCTCAATGCCACATCATGCGAAGAAAGCCAGAGCTAAGCTTGAGCGTGAGTTTTATCACAGGAGTCTATCATGGGTTGTTTGGAGCGTTGTTCTACGGGGTGGCTACAGACGTCGTAGACTCTCCAGGAGCCAGTGAGCGCATGCTGGTGGAGACCCTTCTGGTATCGCCGGCGCCCTTCGAAGCTCTAGGAAAGGGCTTTCCGAAATTTTCCGAAGCCCACCTGTTCTGAGGCTCCGAAGATTCCGGGGAACTGCTCTCAAGGCCCAGGGAGGTGTTAAGTTAACAAGCCTCCACTGGTAGCCGCGCGTTGCAGCTCGAGTTTGAAATTTCAGCCTCTCAGCGCGAGAGGCTTGGCGCTGCGACTTCGACAAGCATGGAGTAGGTGCCTCTCTCCCACTTTTGTTTCTCTTGGTACACAGAGAGCGAGAGAAAGAACGCAGAATTGAGTGGTTTATGGGGCGATCAGAGAAGGCAAAGCGCAAGTTTGTTTTTGATGGATGGGCTGGCGTGATCTGTGTGTGATCGACAGTTCTGCGCTTTGTCAGGCTGGGTCAGCCAGGCGGAGTTTGCAAGGGCGTGCCGCTTCTTCGGGTGGCTGCCCCAAAGGATCCCAATAAAATGTTCGGAAGACGCTCCTGAGATGCCCTGTGGCGATGTGTGGCGCGAGCGAGGTGCTCCGCCGAGCAAATCTGGCAAAGCTGCCGCGTCAGCGGAGGAGAACTCCCCCCGAAATTGCACGACAGCTCTCACCGGGGGAGAGAGGTCACAGGGGAGAAGTTGCTCGGGTCACTCGGGGGAGATGACTAACGTGACTAAAGTGACTAGACCCTCAGTCTGTGGTGGCCATGTCGGCTCGACTTGTGCACCCACAAGAACCATCAATATAAACCGTACTATCAACCCATCACTTGAACCTTTGGCGACCGATCTTGCTACCACCTCTCCTATCCCTCTCAGCCCAGAGATCTTTTATGTGAGTCGTTATGGGCGACCCAGTGGGCTGGGGGCGCATGTGATGTCTTGCCTGGGGCGGCTCTTGCTGGAGCAGGCATTGCCTTCTGCTATCGTTTTGTCCCACGAACACTTTGCCACTCCCTGCTGTTTCGTTGGCAGTGGAAACAAACCCTCCCAATCTCCAAAGTGAGCACCACGCGCGCTGTCTCTCTTTTGTGTGTGTGCGCGCGCGTGCACGTGCGCCCTTCAGGCCCAGCGCCAGGAGCACACGGACCTGGAGCGGCTGGGTGAATTTGGTCTTCCCTCATTGTCATCTGTGTCCGTTGCAGGGAGTTCTCCAGGAAAAAGATCTGTGAGAACATGTCGTGGTAGATTTTCGCAGAGTTTGGTAGAGTTTGGTGCCTCTTTGGCCCTCTCTGAGGATTGCCGTGGGTCCCGAGGATGCCAGCTGCACACTGGCGGCGCACCAGTCGGTCCTGGCGGCCCGCAGCCCCGTTCTGGCGGCGATGTTCCGACACCGCTTCCAGGAAGGGGAGACTGCCAAGGTCAGGCTGGTGGACGTGGATTTCCAGTGCTTCAAGGCTTACCTCCACCTCCTCTACACCGGCCACCTGTCAGCATGTATTCAGCATCATTCAGCCATGTGTCGTGTCATAAGAGTGGCCCCCTTGAAGATCTCTCGAGTTTTGCATCCCGCGCGTCCTCTTTTTTATAGGAAGGCAGGGCCGGACCCACCGCGCGTGCTTGCGTGAGCGCAAGAAACGTGATCTACGGATCAAGTGATAGACCGTACCGGCCAGAAGCAGAGACCCTAGAGTCAATGTTAGGAACGTAGAGAGACATTTTGAGAGACTTCTTTGTTTGAGGCGAGCTGGAGGAGGGCATGGACCTGGACCAAGTCTTAGAGGTGCTGATCCTGGCGGACCGTTTCCAGTCCTCGGGCTTCGGAGAGGTCCTGGCTGGGCGCCTCAGGGACCTGGTGAGTTGGGACGAGACGGTGGGCAAGGTCATGAAGCACTACGTCCGGCTCCCCGAGGACTCGGAGTACTCTGGGAGCCTCGTCTCCGTGCGGCCCGGCACCGAAGAGCGCTCTTTAAGCCAGCCTCCTCCCCTCCGCTCTCACCGATATTTACAGTCTTGCGTTCTCTTTCCTTTTGTGAACAAAAAACTTCTCCCTCCCTCCCTCTCTTTTCCCTCCGCTAGCGAGGATGGGCGACCAGCTGAGCTTGCTGAGCTTCAGGGAGGCGCTGCGGCAGACGCACAGAGCGGTCCTGCGGCCGATCGAGGAAGACACCTCTCGGCTCAAGGCACCACCTCGTCACCTTGCATCCGCATGTTTTGTGAAATACACGTACAAATATGTCCAAACGTCCAAACACACATAGATAATATATATATATATACATACATACAAAATGGGGCGTACATGTGTATATGTGGATCTCGATTTACAGGGGCATCAACAATGATTTCTGAGATGGCTCGCACAGTTTGACCGGCTTTGCCCGCAGGCCATCGCTGCTCGAGGCCTGATCTTCTCAATGCTGGCCTTTCCGATCATGCGGGACATTGCCGACGAGGTGCGGTTTCTGGGGGCAAGCTGGCCTCAGGGTGCAGGACGTGTTCGCGGCTTTTTCAAGACATCTGCAGGCAGTCAACAAGAACATCGTGTGCCTGCTTTCACGGATCACGGACACCTTTAGCTCCCTTTGTGAGCTTCCGGATGAGCCATCAGCCAAGCGGCGCAAAGTCACGGAGTGAGCACGCCGCACGCCAAGGCAAAAAAAACGACAAGCAAGAAAACCTGAGAAGGTTTTCCGGGGCCTTCATGTTGAAAAAAGGTGACAGGGACCGCAAAAGGCGTGAAGAGCGTGTTGCTCCGGGCAAGCAGGAGCTGGCATGAAGTTCTGGGAGTCCGGTGTCTCAGAACCTGTGGCCCTCGCACCTTGCGCGCAGCGAAGCGCAGCCTTCTCAACTTTTCGCTTTGCGGTGCGTTGTCTGCCATCCCCTTGAGTCCTTGAGGCTGGACCACGAAGAGGCTTCGAACTTGGAGCTCTTCGAGCAGGCGCCTTCCCATCTCGATCCATCTCGCCTTCCGGTCTTTGCCTTTGAGTGGTGATTTCACCGAGCCGAGTGCCGAGAGGTGCTGTGGATCCGCACGGGCTTTGACCTTTCCAGGGCCTGGGCCAGTGCCTCACAGCTCACAGCGCTTTGAGAGGCATGGAGAGAACGTGAGAGAACAGCTCACACGCACTCTCAGAGGCTTTGCTTTCTTCCCTTTTCCCTTTCTCGGATTTTTCTTTCAAGACTCTTCGAAGTCTCTGAGGCAATCCTGGACCCGAACAACCGTCAGGTGGGAGAAGAAGGAACGTGAGGGGTCATGAGCCGTCCCGAGAGCAAAGGGGGGGGGGTTTTTGATCGTCCCTCCTCGTCGGAGGCCCTCACGCTGCCCGAATTTGTGCGCGGGTGCCGGTGCCGACCCCCAGGGCCAATATCCCCCAAAATGTTCTTGAAAAGACACCCTTAAAGAAGAAAGAAACTCTTCAGAAGCCTCGCTGAGGGAGCTGGGCTTCGATGGCGATGCGGTGTTGGGGCGCTCGGTGAACAGCAAGCACGCAGCAAGAATTCGGTGGCCCTCACAAGTCATCCCTCTGCAGCTCCCAGTCCAGGCACATCTTCAAAGGCAGCGGCAGCGGTGCAAGCTCTGTTCCAGTTGCACCTTTCTTGCACCTTTCCTCAAGGAATCTGCGAGGGCACCGGATCCTTTCATGTCCTTCCTGCAGCCCTCGCTAAGCCATGCGCCTGAAGCGCTGCGGGACATCGGAGCATGTAATCATAGACTGGAGCTAACAGGCTTCTCATGCCTAGGGGCCCCATGGAAGATCACATAAGATCACTTGTAGGGGTCAAAGAAGTCGGAGGGGGTCCAAAAGGCAAAAGGGGTCCAAAAAGAGTCGGTCAGAGGTCTGCCATTTATGGGGGCCAAAGATGCCTTGGCAGCACAGAAGCTCCGCTCCTTGCTCCGGCGCCTCGACAAGGAGAAGGGGGGAAGAAGAGGGGAAGAAGGGGACAAGACAGGTGGTTTTAATACGGTAGGTTGGAAGAAGAGATAAAGAGCAGGCAAAAGGGAAGAGAATCGCTTGTTGTTTTTGGCCGCGTTTCATTTTGCAGGACCACTTCGGGACGGTGAGCCGGCCACAGTTTGAGTGGCTCCTCCGCCGGGGCCCAAAGACAGAAGCTTCTGACCTTTGCCGCTCGCATCGCTCGCTTGGTGCAGCTCTCTCTCTCTCTCTCTCTCTCTCTCTCTCTCTCTATCTCCTGCTCCATCTCTCTCTCTCTCTCTCTCCCCTGCTCCCTCTCTCTCTCTCTCTCGAAATCTCTGTTTCTTTCTTTCTCTCTCTCCCTCTCTCTCTCTGGTCTCTCTTGTCTTTTCGCTGCGCTTCGCAAGCTGAGGCAGCTACCTCCCGGCAGTCGAGACGGTGAGCTCGGGAGACAATTCAACCACACCCTTCTAAATCAAGAAACCCATCTCAGCCCTAAGTGGCCCAAGGTGGCGGGCCCATCATGCGAGACAAGGTGTTTCGGATTTTTTGTTTCAGGTGGGCAGAGAAGACCTGGAGCATATGTGGTCCACCTTCGCCAAGCGTGAGGACGGAGACATCGAGTACGAGGAGTGGAACTCGGAAGAGCGCCTGGGGTGTGTGATTTGTGGATTGTCTGGGGGCATGTTTGTAGGGGAGGCCCCCCCCCCCCCCCGGCCCCGCCCTCGTCAACATGCTCGCAACAGGACCTGATTCAGTGGATCCTGAAGCCCAGCACCCCGCTGTCGGTGACGGCACTGGGCGAGCTGGCATTCTTTGATTTGAAGGCAGCTTTGGAGCCCTTGTTCTGGGTCTGGCTCCCAGATCTCGCTCTCCCAGCTCTGGAGCTCTTGAATCTCACTTGTCTCACTGCAGTCCTCTGAGGCCTATGACCAAAATCGTGATGGTATCATCAGCTGGGAAGAGTTCATGGAAGCCCATGGGATCCTGCAGAATGCCCTTCGCCTGAACCCGCCCAAGGAGGGCGACATCGACCCCGCGATGCTCAAAGGGGACTTGCACCACTGTTACCTGACCATTGGCTCCGAAGGCGTCCGGTCCTCGGAGAGACAGGTCGTGGAGACATCTTCTAAGACTTGCGTGATACGTGCACAAGGCATCTTGAGCAAGTCCAATTCTCTGTGAGACGAGTCGAGACGAACTCTTTTTGTGCGGCGCTCTTGCTGAGGACAGGCGGCTCACCTTCGCCAAGTTTATCACATGGCAGCGGGATGCCCTGATGTCCTCTTCTCTCGCTTCCGACGTCTTGGCGAAGACCCTGCACAGCGTGCCTTTCAGAGCAGCTTCGGGGGATCTTTGTATTTTCCTTCCGCGTTTCGGGTCATTGGTCCAAGTTCGTCAGAATCGGGGCTTGGTCGTCGTGTCGTGGAGTCGTAAAGAGTCATAGAGCCGGCGCGTCTCTTGCTTAAGGTGGCCAAGCAGCTTCAACGCGTTTTCAAGCTCTCTGAGACCCTTGGACCCGTTTGCTCAGATTTTGGCAGAGTGTCAAAAGGGAGTGAATCTGCAACAAGATGTGCAGCGCGGAGCCTGCTGTATCATGTGTATCCTACGCCAGAGTGTCCAAGGACAGAGAAAAGAGGGCAGCTGACAGAGTCAGACAAGCAGGCCAGGAACACAACCATCGAATCGAACGAATCGAGATAGAACTCAAGTGAACTCAAGCGCTTGATCCCCTCTGATTGCAGATGCAGGTTCTTGTCCGCATCCTTCAGCACATCGCCCAGTTCAGCCGGGAGCTCTGGGGGCAATCCGCCTCGCAGTGGACTTCCGTGATCGCTCACAGCTTCGCCAACAAGTGGACGGAGACCCGACACGTGTTACTGCAGTGTTTAGGGGAAGAATGAATCAGGTTGCTGAACTGGGCTTCTCAGCTGCTCATTGAAAGGGGATGGGGCTTAGGATGGGGAGGTGCTTACTAATCGGCTTCGGATCGAGGCACCGGTGGTGGGCATGAACGTGCAGCACCTCCAGGAGGCACACCCCGCAGAATGTAGCCAAGCGCAGGGCATCTCACGAGCGGAACGCAACGGAACGCAACGCCCTGTCCTTCAATCCAAGGTCTTCTTGCACGATTTCGAAGCCGGCCGCCTGAAGTTCAGCGCCCGAGTGGCCTCCAGGGAGTGGGAGATCCTCTGCATTCCAGCCATCCCGGTCTTGAACCGGCCCCAAGCCTGGTTGGCCAAACTCCGGCTGACCACGCAGCTCACGGATGGCCGCAGGCGCCCTGCAGGTTTTTTTTTTTTGCACAGTGGCCTGCAGTCGGCGCCCTCACGTAGCGGCACGCACAGCGGTACGCATAACGGCACGCACAACGGCACGCAAAGCGGCACGCATAGCGGCACGCATAGCGGCACGTCAGGGCCTTCAGGGCTCTTCAGGGCTGATCAGGGCTCCTCAGGGCTGTTTAGGATTCTTCAGGCTACGCAGCAGCTGGCAGTTCTATCGCTATGCACAAGAGCTCTTCACCTGGCACCTCTTGACCGACGGGAAAGTCTTCGAGGTGGGCAGCGTACCAGGGGTCGAACACTGGCGTAATTCAGAAAGTGGGGAGATGTGGAGAAGAATATGCCAGAGTCTGGGGAGATGTGGGGATTCGGCAACTTGTAGCCAGGTGGCCCTGGAGGGCCTGAGCCCTGAGCTGCAACTCTTCTGCTTGCTAAAGACCATGGCCAACTTTGGCGTTCGCCTCACATGGTCCAACTTGCAGAAGGCCTTATCGCAGGCTGTGGAAATGCACAGCATCACAGATGAGCAACGCCGCCTCTGCAACAGTGTCTTCGAGAAGCAGGCCGAAGACAAACGGGCCGGGATTTCCATACGAATTGTTACCCCTTCGAGTCCTTCCACCCCTTCTTGGACCCCTTCGACCCCTTCTAGGCAGTTTAAGGCGGCAGATGCACAATGCTCAGGTGGCCAAAGGGCTTGACGCCGAGGGCCTCTACTTCAGCAGAGAGCGCCTGGAGAGAGTGACCGCGTGCCTTGTGACCACACCCAGCCACGTGATGGGCGTCTTCGCCGAGCCCTGAGAGGGAGCATCTTGTGCTACTTGTGCCGAAAGTGAGGAGCCAGCGATTTCCAGTCGAGATGGGGCTCCACCCTCCCCTCTTTCTTGACTGCTGCGTGAGTGCAAGAGAAAGAACTCAAAAGAACTTCACTCACAAGAACTGCAGAGGCCCATCAGATGCACCCCGCCCCCCCAAAAAAAGCCCAAAGAAAAAAGACCGGAATGCCCAGGCCGAGATGGGTGCCTTTCCTGTGACCTCGGTTTGGGCGGACTTCCTGGACGCCTAGAGGCTATTTGGGCCTAGAACGCCTAGAATGCCTGGAATGCCTTCAGAATCGTCTGAGCAGCAAAAAAGCAAGCTTGAACGAAGCCACGAAGCGCAGCCGGACGCGAAGAAAGCGCAGTGCTCAGCGCGCCGTGGGCCCTTGAGCACGCGGAAGACCCGTGGGCTCTCATGTACAAAGAGGAGGCTTGGGGCATCGGTCCGTGCCTTGCTATTTAGTTGCTGTGTGTTGGTGCTCATCCAAGGGCACCTGCTGCGGGCCATGACGGAACAGAATGTGCACATCTTTGCACACTGAACTTTGCACACTGAACTTTCTGCACATCGAGGGGACATCTGTGGGTGCCAGGTTTGGATCATCACGGCCTTGGGCGCTTGAGCAGGACAGATTTCGAGTATCTCCAACAGGTCTGTTCGTGCCAGCCCTGGTAGCCCTGGTAGCCCTGCTCAAAGATGCCCTGCTTTGTGAGCGCCTCGAAGCGGTTCCTCTCTTGTTCCATGTGTCCCCCTGAAGTCTCCCAGGTGCTCTGCGCAGGCTCCAGTTTCAGCATGTGCTTCGAGTCCTTGTTGCCGCATGACGCTCTCTTGTGTTTCCTGCACCGAGCTTGAAGAGAGAGCGCTTCCCAGCAGGGCATGAGCATCGAGCTGCGGATGCTGCGCAGTTGGGCGGCTGAGGCCCTGTGCTAGGCTGCTACGGCTGCTACGGCTGCTACGGCCACGGTTTCGCTTTCTCCGCAGCCGGTGGCGCCAGGTCTTTGCCGACAGCATCGAGCTGCTCCTGAGGCGTGCAAGACCTGAGGGCCAGATGTCACGAAGAAGGGGGGGCCATGGGGGCCCCTGACACCGAGCCGAGAGCTTTCTGAGAGGCTGAAGATGATTGGCGATCATGCTGGAGGTTGGGTTCAGGCGGCGGTCCCCTAACCCCCCTCGGCCCCCCCCCCCCGCCCTCCCCCTCGCCCTCCCCCTCGCCCTCCCCCTCCCCCCCCCCCCCCCCCCCCCCCCCCCCCCCCCCCCCCCCCCCCCCCCCCCTCCCGCGCAAGTTTCAATCTGCGGAAGTTCTCGCAATCCGCAGCCTCGGCCTCTTTGAGCAGGTTTTGGAGCCCTTGGACGCCTCGGAGTTTGCCCGGCGCCTCGAGGCCTTGGCCGCTCCTTTGTTGTTTTTCTTGCGAGGGAAGAGAAAGATGAGAAAGATGAGAAAGATGAGACTTCTTTACAATCAGCCAGCTTGGGGGAAGATTTGGGGGGGGGAGGGGCCATCGCTCAGGTTCTGGGCTTTCCAGGGGATCCTGTCGAGATCGCTGCGGAGGCTCCGACTACCCTTCGCTTCGTTGGCTAACTGGGTGCTCCCTTTTTTGGCCGCCTTCCTGCCTTCGCCGGGAGGTGGCCAGGTGTCGGAGCCCAGGCGTGGCCTGTGATCTCAAGAAGGGGGGGCGCCTAGCAAGTGAGGGCCCTTGGCAGTGAGTGCAGTGAGTTCAGTGGCCAGAGGGAACGTTCCGGGGGACAAGAACCAGTCTGATCTAAGTCGCCATGTCCCGAGTCGAAGCGAGCGTGCCACGGGCCGCTTGCTGCACCAATATCCCCTTTGACAGTTCGTTACCCTTTCCTCTCTAAAGGGGCAGGGGAGCAGGGTGGGCATTCCTTCTCTAACTTCCCGGGACTACATGGGACTACGCAGATGATGCAGGGGAGAAAGCTGTCCGTTGTCTGTGTGGCGGTTGCAAGGTGGTGCAGGTAGCCGAATCTCCGTGGAGCACCTCTGCTGCGCCAGCTCCCTAAGTCAAGCAAGGAATGGCAACTCGATCTATGACAAGCGTCCGAACCATACACCGTAAAGCGTTCTACCTCTGCAACGTCAACTGCAGCTGTGAGCGACTCCGACCTTTTCGAGGCCCTCTTCGGCCTCAGACAATTTCGGCGTGGAAGTCCTGGTGCCCAAGCCGCGGCCAAAGAAGCCGCGAAGGACAAGAAGAGCACGCTCGCTGGGGCCCCGCGACGTCGCCATGTTATCATGTTTGCAGTTAAAGGATGGGAGTCCGATGCCTTCCTGCCATCGGCAAGGTGCGCAAAAAGAACCCAATCAGAAAAGCTGAATGGGACTCCAGCATCTTCTCGGGTGCTGGTCTTACGGCAGAAGGGCAGGAGCATCACTGCAGGGGCTTCCGCACTGCTTCGCACTGCTTCGCACGGCTTCGCACTGACAGGTTTCTGCACCAACATCTCAAGGCGCATGGGAGCATGGGATGTGTCGCTGTGAGCCCCCCAAGCAACCCAACCCAACGGTGGTCTCAACATTTTAAGTGTGGAAAGAGAGAAGAAGAGAAGAAGAAGAGAAGAAGGCCGGCCTCTTTGAGAGTCTACTTCAGCACGCCGCGGCCTCGACGCCCTTCGCCCCTTCCACGCCCTCTCGAATCTCAATGTCACGGTGGGGTGCTGCTCTGGTGGCCTGCTTTCGTGGCCTGCTTTCGTGGCCTGCTTTCGTGGCCTGCTGGAGGCCGCCGAAGGACCCGCAGGCGAAGGAGCCGGGCCTGCAGAGGGCGGCGGCCCGAGAGTCTACAGCAGTGCACGGCAGTGCACAGCAGTGCACAGCAGTGCATGGATGTGAAAGATTTGTGGCGATGTAGACTTGTTCTCTCCCCAAGGCGGCTTCCAACCCGACACTGGCCAGGTCTTTGGACTGTTGCTCATTGTGCCTCTTTCCTCCGGGGACCTGACTCATGGGGGGTTGTTGCCACGCCCGCTTTTAGCACCACGACCAGGTTGTTGGGCTGAGAACGTTAAGAGGGTTATCTCGACTTCCGGTAGGATCACGGCAGTTCCCGAGGTTCATGTTCGGTCCTGGTTCAGAGTGCCCCCTCCCCCTTTGAGAACCCGTTTGCAGGTCGGCCCCCACGCCTGCCGGACGCAAGGGAGCTCTCCAGGCGCCGGGAAGAGCGCGAAGGGAACGCGAAGAGAACGCAAAGAGAATGAAGATGGCAGAGACAGCCTGGAGTGGAGGAGCGAGGCCGCAGCGCATCGCCGACCGAGCGCCTCCCACGCCGGGCCCTGCGCTCGGAGACCCGAGCAGGCCCGAGCAGATTCTCAGCGTTTTGAGCTTTGCTTTGGTTCGGCTGTGCTTAGGTGCGTCCGGGAGAGCTGAACCACCGACCCTGAGCGCATGAGCCTGCCATTGATCTCCTCGCAGCACACCAAAGTAGAGACAACGTGCCTTCAAAGAGGATCTCAAACCGGGCATTTACCACACTTTGGGGCGAAGTCTTTCCGAATTTCATCCATGCCGACCCTGGGCCACTGGGCCTTCGACGAAGAGTCCCCTGCCAAGCAGGGCGGCTGCGGACCGATTTCTGGGGTTGAGCTTAAGTTAATGGTTTTATTGGCTATCATCTATCGCAAACTGGATGGAAGAAGCTGTTAAAATGCGTGCGATGCTGTGCTTATCAGGCAGCTGCCCATGATCTCGAAGTGTTTCGGCGGAGCTCGCTTGGAAGCTTTGTCTCTTTTGACTTCATATGTGCAAGTTGTCCTCCGCAGCATCCTAAGCAGAAGCTTGAATCTCAAGCCGCAACATGCGAATTTGCTGTGCGATTATACCCTGCGGGCGCACGCGCACGCGCCGTGTGGACCACCTCGGTCCCTCCACACACGCTGTCTTGTGAACCCTCTGTCTTGTGTGCGACATCACGACATACACAATCCGGTGCGTGTAACAAACTGGAACCCTTTGCTTGCGTGCGTTATCACAACATACACAACCCAGTGCCTGTAGCAAATCGTACCACGTGAGGTCGCAACATACAGAACGCACGATGGGCAACAAACTGAAACGCCCTGTCTTCGGCCAAGGGCACCCAAAACCTCAGGTTAGCTGATCGCAGCTATGCCATTCTGCCATGTTATGCTGAGACATACCTTAGCCTTCAACTCAATGGCACTACATGGCTTCAAGGCCCTGTTTAGAAGGTACCAGTAGCATGTGGCCTTTACCATTAAACAGGGCAGACATGGGCAGACCAATTTAGCCAGATTGATTGCATGCACTCATGGAGAAGCAAATTTGCACCTGGGTTTTTATTCCTCACCCCTTGTTCACAGACTCAAACAGGTGGTTTTGCTCATCCGTGACGAAGAGCAACAACTTGGCACCCCGAGCTCCAACTGTATGCTCACAGCCATTGCGGAAGCCCTTGATCTGCAGTTAGGAGATCATCGGCAGCCAGCTGGAGGCTCTCGCCCTCATGGAGCTACTGGAAAGGAAGCAATGCGGCCTGTTGGCGATCCCCCCGGGGCTTGTTACCCCGCAAACCATTGGTGCTGCTATCCAGCAACACTTAGACAGGGGCCTTGGGCTCTGGCAGGATCTCCCGGAGACCTCAACAAAAGCTTGCACCGAGGTCCCCTGCCAAGGTCGGCCCCAAAGTCGCCCACGGGGCTTCCCTTGGCAAACGACCACCCCATGCTCATACCAACCGCAAACGCCATATCTTGGCGTCCTGCAAGCCTTGCATAGGCTTCGCAGGGACACTCCGCCTGCGTCTACGACGTTGCATCAGCTTGCTGGATTAAAAGGCCTAGAGGATCTCCCCCCGCTAAACCTGTCACTCGTGTCCTCCATGCGCCTCCCGCCGGAAATTGGATATGCCCTTGATATCTGTCGGTACCCTGAAGCGTGCATTTTTCAACCTGCTGGGCAGGCAGGACGTGAGCCGTGCCTCATGTTACCCCCGGCACCTACAGAGTACATGCTCAGGCAAAGGCCACTTGCCACCTCCCTTGGCACGTGGGTCGAGACATGCAGATGGGTGGGCCTCAAAATAGATGACCCAGAAAATACCCAATTGAGCCCTTATTATAGATTGGCTTATCGCCGATGTCGTTCTCACCCTCGGGCGCAGTATCACGCCTGATACTCCAATTGGCTTTGTGTCGCAGTACGAGAAGATAGTCACTGGGCTCAAAAGCAGCCTTGCCCTAACGCACGATGGACCCGCCCGAGTGCAAATCTTGCAATCAGCTTGCAATTCTATATGTTCGTTCTTGTGTGTTCTTGTATTTCTTCGAGGCTCCGCATGTCAGAAAAGATCTCCTCTTCCCCGGAAAGAAATGGACAAGCACCATGGGCTTAGCACTTAGAGGCGAGCCTTCGACGGAGTCGATTCTTGCACCTGCGGCTTTTTCTTTCTGATTCTGAGGGCTCAAAATGCCTCAATTGCTTCGAGTGCCATAAGAGCCAACAACCCAAACTCAATGAAGCGACTCCTCTTCGCCCTTTCTTTGGGGGCCCTGGCAAATGCAAAGGTGGCGGATGTGGTTCTTCTTCAAGCCCAGAAGGTGGCCGAGGACTCTACCGACTCTTCCCCGAAATTCAAGGCGTGTCAGGGTCAGCCCATCGGGCAGAGAGGCTCTGCCATCTGTGACACCCTGCCTGCGACAGAGTGCGGGTCGCGGTACGCACCGATAGGAATGCCAGGCGAGCAGCAATTCATGCAATGCGAACTCGTTGGAGACGATTGCCGTGCAGTTGGGCCTGAATGCATGTTTCTCACTGACATGCAGGTGGAGTACTTGGTCGTGGCAGGCGGCGGCGGCGCTGGGTCTGGTGGTGGCGGAGCCGGGGGTGTCCTCAAGGGCCAAACCACGCTGGAAGTGGGGGGCACGTTGCCCGTGCTCGTGGGAGCCGGCGGAAAATTTGGTGGTGGCGGCTCCCCATATTGGAAGGCAAACTTGATTCCCACAAGTGGTAGTGATAGCAAGCTTGGTGACATTGTGGCTAAGGGAGGGGGACATGGTGGTGGAGGTAGCACGAGGACCCAAACTCCGCCTGTGGGAGGATCAGGTGGCGGTGGTGGCTACGATGCAAGCTCAATCACACGCAGTTCAGGTACGAAGGGTCAGGGGCACGGGGGAGGCAGGTGCAGTGCTTCAGGCTACGGTGGTGGAGGAGGTGGCGGTGGCGCCGGTGAAGCTGGCAAAGACAGCCCACAAAAGCACTATGGCGGCAAGGGTGGTGATGGCATATCCTCGGACATCACCGGCACACCTGTGTTCTATGGCGGAGGTGGCGGCGGAGCGGTGAATGACAACACCAACCAAGCAGTTTCCGGCAGAGGTGGACAGGGAGGCAAAGGCGGTGGGGGACATGGGAGTGATTTTGGTAACGGTGCTTCCTGGTGGATCTTCAGTGGGACAGACGGTGAGCCGAACACTGGAGGTGGCGGTGGCGGCACGGATGCTGATTCCCGCATGGCTGGCAATGGTGGCTCGGGCATTGTCATCGTGCGCTACAAGGCCGACTTCCCATTGCTCTCCGGTGGCAAAGTGACGTCAGCCGGCGGCTACCAGGTCCACAGCTTTACCACGATTGGAAAGGATGAGTTGCAGTACACCATGAAAGAAACGCTCCCGATCGACTTCCTGGTCGTGGCCGGCGGGGGTGGTGCCGGCTCTGGAGGTGGTGGCGGCGGTGGCGTCCTGACAGGATCCAAGTTCATCACCAAGGGCACCTTTTGGGATGTGAAGGTCGGCGAAGGTGGCGCCGCCGGAATGGGTGGCGCCCGGCCTGCTACAAGCGGAAATGCAATGAAAGGAGGCGACTCCGTGCTCGGAGACCTAGTCGCCATTGGTGGGGGAAAAGGTGCAGATCGAACCCGCACTCCTGGTGATGGTGGATCAGGCACGGGACCCAAGACCCCCTTTAAAGACATTCATGTTCAGGAATGCCAGGGCAGACGAAACGCTATGGCTACGAAGCAGCAGTGCTTGAAAGTGCTGAAGAGACCAGTGATGGTATTTGAACAGGCTCCATCCCAAAACACGCACACACACACACACACACTCACCCAGGGGTCACAAAGAAATATTTTCCTGGTGCCCATATGAGGATCACAGTCCCAAGACCAGGCCGCACCCAATGAGCTTGCGTTTTCAGGTCATCAGTTTGAAAAGGCGGAAAAACGCAAAGCAAAAGTAAGAAAGTCAAAAAATGACCCACTCCTAACCTCAAAATGTGTAGCAAGAGCCTCGAGCTGCTCCAAATTGCCTTTTTCAGCTAGTTGCTTGGCGGCGTTTCCAATTTCGGGGGAAGCCTTCAGGCACCAGGTCCTCTCCCGTGAAAGCAAAGGAGAGAGAAGAAAAGGTGCGCGAATTTTTGCCTAATTTGCCCAGAACCTCTTAAAGACCGTTGCGCTTTCGCTTTGCTTGTTGGCTTTTTGGCTCTCCCAAGGTCTTGCGTTTTGTCTTTAAGTGAGTTCTTGAGCTCTTGAGCCTTCATGGCTCTCTTGAAAATGCAATTAGGATCTCTACTGTAAGGCAACCCGTACGTTCTAACGTTAGCAAACACAAAGGTGTAAACTGTCTAACGTTCCCTCCTCCCCCCACCCAAGTTTGAAGATTTGACGGCTTTGAACGCATGCCCCTCAAACGAATGTTTTTAAAATCGCAATCTGGGCTTGAACAAAAAACGCTGACACCCACCACCCACCCTTCTGAGGCGGCGGTGGCGGATGGGACAAGGCCGATGACCAGCCGGCTCGTGGCAGTCCAGGCCAAGGGTTCCATGGAGGGCTGTGCGCCGTGAAAGGCTGGGGAGGCGGTGGGGGAGGGGGTGGCGCTGGTGGTCCCGGAGAAGCGGCCACTGTGAAACATAAAGGTGGCAAAGGTGGGGACGGCGTGTCCTCGGACATCACCGGCACGCTCAAGTGGTACGGAGGAGGTGGAGGCGGCGGCGCGAGCGGCATGAACAACAAGCCTATAGAGAATGGAGGTGGCGCAGGTGGAAAAGGTGGCGGGGGCAAGGGGAGTGACTTCGGGATAGATCACCGTTCTGTTACTCAGAAGTTCACGGGAACAGATGGTGAGGCAAACACAGGAGGTGGCGGTGGTGGAACCGATCCGGAAGGCTATGTCGCTGGCAAGGGCGGCTCGGGCATCGTTGTGGTCAGGTACAAGAGTTCAACGCCCGTACTCACTGGTGGCACCATCACCACCTCAGGCGGATATCAGATTCACACTTTTACCACAGGCACCAGCGCCCTGAAGTACGACTGAACTCGAAGTAGCTGCACATACGCGCACATGCGAGCGCATCCAAAAGAGCATCCCTGATGCCCTCTGATGCTTTTTGTTTTGCACATTTTTAAGCATGCGGTGGTGTAACCGTACCTGGTTTCTGCTACTTGTCTTGGGGGGTTGGGGGGGGGGGGTGGGGGGGGGGGTGGGGGGGGGGGGGTGGGGGGGGGGGTGGGGGGGGGGGGGGGGGGGGGGGGGGGGTGGGGGGGCGGGGGTGGGGGGGGGGGGTGGGTGCGTGTACGGGATACTACAACCAGAAGAGGGTTATTACAACCAAAAACCGGGATATCACAACTGCTGCTGGTTTCAGGGCAAACCAGAAACCGTGATATCACAACCGCTTATTAAGGTTACAAATTACCAACCCAACATTCCAAACCAGAGTTGGGGTCCTAACCGAACACCAGGCAACTTTGAGAATATGTTCAGTTGTGATATCTCTCATCTGCTTGGACCCTGTCCTCCCTTTGTATATATATATATATACACGTAGTATAAAAGTGCATACTCTTAGTATATATATATATATGTACACTATCTACATAAAGCATTTTCATTTTGTGCATTCACACACACAGATATATATATATATATATCCAAGTGCTTGTGTTGTGGGCCACAGAATTCCCTACACCAAGAGCTTGTATAAATGAATTCATTTCGTTTCTGCAACACTCATGGATTTTACATGTGATTGCCCGGTGATTCGTGGTTTTCTCATGACTTATATGTGTTGTGGGCCACAGAATTCCCTACACCAGGAGATGACTTATATGTGGGCTACAGAATTCCCTACACCAGGGTATGAATGAAATAACTTCGTTTCTGCAACATTGATTGTTTTCATATGTTGGCAGTGATTTCATGGTTTTCTCCTTTTTAATGATGTTTATGTGTTGTGGGCCACAGAATTCCCTAGAGCAAGCTTGTATAAATGAAATTTCTCATTACGTCCCAATAAGCAAAACTTAAACTGTATTACAACCCCCACAATTCAATATCTTAATAAATAAATAAATTCCCTAAGCCCTAAACTCCAAAACCCTAGTTTTAAACCCTAAACCCTCCTAGCCTCCGGTTGCAGTATCCACCAAAATGTAAGGCACTACATGCAAAACAGCTGGTTTGTCATCAAAATGCAGCATGTCACCGTTTGCTTGACGTGTGAAGCCGCCGGCGCATACCCGCCTGGCTCAAAGGCGCATCTGGAGCGCATCTGGAGCGCATCTGACAGTCATCTGACCATGATGTCCGTAATGAAGCAAGCACGCCCGGCCATTTCGTCGGGCAGGCACTATTGTGTGCTGCTCTTCCTTGCGTTTGCTTTGCAGACCGCGTCGAAGAAACTCCATGCAACCAATTATGAAGCAAAAGCTCTGATCTCGAGTGACTCGAGTGGCGCAGAAACACATCGAGGAGGCAACGGCGGAGGCATCACAGGACATCTTCCAAGTTCGCGCATTTTGAATGCTGCGCCTCGGATTTATATGTTTGGCATTTTGCTTTGAGGGAGAGTTGTGCGTAGAAGTCCCAAAAAAGGAACGGCGCTCTTTTGGTGTAATCCACCCTGGGCACTTAGGCCTGTGACACCTGCTGCCAGAACATCAAGGTGTCCTTCCCTGAAGGCCCGCTGCAAATCCGAAGGGGGGAGAGAGCGAGTAGCAAGTCTTCGTCTTTTGCTGCCAGGGTTTGGCATCCAGAGCCACTTCTGGATTCATGACAGTTTTGATCGAAAGCATAAGAGCAAGCTGATGACCGACGCCACAGTCATCAAGGCGCGGACACATGCGGAAGCCTCAAAGTCGCATATGACAAGAATATCATGTAACACCTAACAAGATCTAACAAGATCCAACAGCGTAACACAACCAAGAAAAAGGCCATCGGCAATGTGGTGGAGCTCAAGTTGAAGGCAAGCACGGAGCCAGATCCGAAAGTGGGTTCGAAGGTCATGGCTTATTTCAGGGTTGGGGCCAAACGCAGCAAGAGCCCTCGCCGTGGTGTGGTCAAGGGAATCAGCTCCACAACCGTGGATGTCGTCTTCGGGGCACTTGGGGAAGAAGCCGTGCCAAGGACCTGGATTCTCCCAGCTTGGGCTGGTGACAAGCAGGTTGTACCTTCTTCTTGGATTTCCAAGTCAAGCAAGGATCAGCTTGGAAGCAGCTCCACAAACTGTTCCAGGTACCTTCACATGGTACCGTGCTTGGAGCAAGATGTGTGCACATGGCGAAAGGCAGCAACTGCAAGCGACTGTGTACTCTCAGACTGGGAGGGCTGGGGCTCCTGTTCAGTCACATGCGGCATGGGTCAACAGCAGCGGCAGCGTCGGGCGCTGCTGCGTAGCAGCTGCCAAGGGCAGCCGTTGAAGCTGCATGAAGAACGCTATTGCGTGCAGCCGCAATGCCCGGACAATGGCATGTGCCAGGTGCCGGGTGGCATGATGATCAGCAAGTTGCGGAACAGCTCGAAAAAGACTCAGACGAAGACGACAAAGCTCTTGGCATTGACTTCCAACGTTTCCAAAGCCAGGCCTTCTGCGAGGCCTTCTGCCCCGGCTTGGGGCTTCGGAGCTTTGTTGGAGCTTGTGGCCAAGGGCCCCCACGAGACGGCGGAAGAGGCCTTGAAGTCGGTTGGGGAGAAGAGCGCCAAGCAGGTGCCTTTGGAGGAAGAGGCCGAGTACATCAAGGAGGGGGATGGAAAGACGATCTTGGCATGGGCCGTGGCTGGCTCTGGAGTTGGTCCACAGTGTCCGGAGGGTTACTACGCGTGGCGAGTCGACATCGATGAGTCCAATGGGACAATGGTGGGCGCCTGCAACCGTTGCGCAGGTTGTGATTCCTGCTTCGGCCCCAAGCCCTCTGACTGCATGCAGTGCCCAGCGCCTTGGCTCTTTTAAAACAGAAGCCTGTTGTCACCTGCAGTTGCAACTGAGCTCAGCCTTTTGATAGCACTTTCAGAACTTTCAGCCGAGTTGGACCAATTCATGTTCATCGACACGGCGGGGACAGCAAGCTGCATCAAGGACCTTTCGAGAAGTTGCATGACTTGTGATTGTGCGCAACTGTCATGGCTTAGACGAAGGCATTGTGACAACGTGTGGCAACATTTTGACAACATTCTGGCAATATTTTTAGCCCACACGGCAGGGTGCGTGGGCGTGGGCGGAGTGTGGGCGTGGGTGGGTTCGGGTTCGGACTGGGGACATAGGGCCAAGGCGACAGCCCAGAGCCCCGGCCTTTGGGCAGACGCAGATCATATGAGAGCCACTCAGCACATGCTCAGGTCAAGCCTAAAAGGGGAGAGACTCAGAGATGTCCGTCTTTAGTCTTTTGGCAGTCTTTTGGGTGCGCAGGCGTGCCCAAAGTGCTTCACCGCTGCAGCGTCGGGATTCTGCGAGTTCGACCGGTCGCAACATGGCTGCGACCACGAAGCGGCCTTCAACCCCAGCATCTCGGTCGAAGATCGAGGAGATCCTGGGACTTGCAGAGACCTAGAGAAGTACAAGGCGCAGGAGAGGGCGTACCGCAGAATGCTGAGTGCTGCATCACGCTGCATCTCTGGAAGGTTCAAAGCCTACTGTGACTTTTGTAGACGGAGTAGACTTGTCCGTTCTTTGGCCAGGACGCTTCCCCAGTTGCGCTGCTGGCGCTCCGTGTCTCGAGCAACGAGACCCTGACGGCCAAGCCCACGAGTGGGAAAGGGTCGAAAGGGTCCAGCATGCCCGGCATCGACGCCTCGGCTTTTTGGACCCTTATGAAGAGCAGCGGAACGACCTTGGTGCAGGCTTGGGCGTAGGCTGCTGTAAGCTGCTGTAGGCTGGGTCTCTGCAGCTCTTTGCGTGTGACCCCGCAAGGAAAAGCTCGAGGTAGTTGTGAAAGAGCTGGGGGAGACAGCGGAAGCTTCCATGCGGGCCGAGTTTGATAAGTTCTTGCAAGGTGACAAGTTTTTGGCTCCTTTTCAGTCCATCTTGGGAACAGAGGCTTGGCTAATGGAGCGACACGCGTGGAGGATCATGGGGGCAGAGAGGCATACGTATAGAGGCACATGGAGGGCCGATATATATATATATATATATATTTTTTTTTTTGTCATTTTTTTGGCCTAGAAAAACAACCACCCCCTCTATATTTTCATAGGGTTTGGTCCATTTTCTTGGTTTTTCGTACGAAAACCTCCATTCCCTCTGTAGTTTGAGAGGAAAGCGTTGCGTTGCGTAGGTTTTGACTAGGAGAAGGAAGGAAGAAAGAAAGAACGAAAGAAAGAAAGAACCACAGAACGAAAGAACAAAAGAACAAAAGAACAAAAGAACAAAAGAACAAAAGAACAAAAGAACGAAAGAAAGAAAGAAAGAAATAAAGAAAGAAAGAATGAAATAATGAATGAATGAAATGAATGAATGATTGAATGAATGAATGAATGAATGATAGAAAGAAAGTTAGAAAGAAGGTTCAAAGAAAGAGAGAAAGAAAACAAGAAAGACAGACCGAACGAACGAAAGAAAGAAACGAATAAATAAGTAAAGAAAGAAAGCAAGATATGAAAAAATACAGACAGAAAGAAAGGGGTTGGGGGGGGGGTAATCCCCCTGCTCTTTTAAGTCGTGCAGGCGGTCATAATTTCGTAAACCATGATGGGAACACCGTGTTTGCAAATGGGTGGGGGGGGCTGCGAACCCCCCCCCTAAGTCGTGCAAGCTTGCTTCAAGTCATGCACGTCATTTCGTAAACCATGATGCGAGCACCGTGCTTGCAAATGGGGGGGGGGTTGCGAACCCCCCCCCCCGGGCGCTTTTTGAGTCGTGCAAGCTTGCTTCAATTCATACGCATAATTTTGAAAACCATGATGCGAGCACTGTGTTTGCAAATGGGGGGGGGGGTGGCTGCGCCCCCCCCCCCCCCCCACAAACCCCCACGCTTGTTTAAGCCGTGCAAACTTGCTTCAATTCATACGCGTAATGTTGAAAACCATGATGCGAGCACTGTGTTTGCAAATGGGGGGGGGGGGGGGGCTGCCCCCTTCCCAGCCCCCCCGCCTTTTAAGTCGTGCAAGGTTGTTCATACGCATAGTCTCGAAAACCATGATGTGAGCACTGTGTTTGCAAATGGGGGGGGGGGCTGCGCCCCCCCCCGCAACCCCCCCGCTTCTTTAAGTCGTGCAAGCTTGCTTCACTTCATACGCATTGGGGGTTTTCATACGGAAACCCAAGAAATGGACCAAGTCAAGTCCTTTGAAAATATAGAGGGACTGGTGCCCCCCCAAAACACAAGGACCCAAAACAAAACTCCACCCGAGGCACACATAGGCTTGAATGCACACGCGAAAGCTGCCGCGAAAGCGTGCAGCTGAGGACTCCCAGTCGACGCCTTCCGATGGACTGGTCGCCACCTTGTTGCAAGAAGTGTCTTCACGACTGCTTCCAGAAGGTGACGGAAGTGACTTCATTGCCGACGCGGAGGCACAATTCAGCGCTTTCTTGCAAGATAAGTTAAGCTCGCTACCAGTTCCCGTGAAGTCTCGTGGCACCATGATGGTGCGTGCTATCACAGCCGCTGTTTCTATTGAAGTCCAGAAGATCTGGGTATCAACGGGCACCGAGCTCCGTACACACGTCACATCACAGGTCCAGCAGCTAGGCATCGAATAGCGCAGCTGCTTCGGGAATTGAGAAGTCGAATCTTACTAGAGACATTTTACACCAGAGTGAGAGGCTGTGAGAGGCTGTTGCAGTTGCGCTGCTTTTCACAACTGAGGGGAGCCGTCGGCAGCATGTCCTTGCAAGCGGACATGAGCCAGTCCCTGCAGTCCGTCCTGAGCAAGGCTATTGGCGACCTCAACACCAAACTGCAGGACACCGCAGGTAGATTTGTGAGGAGCGCGTCTCGGAAGTATTGACCCCCCAGCAGAATGAAAAAAAACACAAGAAAAATACAAGACTGAATTCAAGAGAAAATACAAGTAGCGATTCAGGAACAACGGTGAAATACAAAAAAAATGCAAGACAAATGCAAAAAAAATGCAAGAAAAACACAAGAAAAAATACAAGCAAAATACAAGAAAAATGCAAGAACAATACGAGAAAAATGCAAGCAAAGGAAAAGGGGGGGCGGGGGGGCGGGGGGGGGGGGGGGGGGGGGGGGGGGGGGGGGCTTGTGTTTTTGTCGTATTTTTTCCGTGTCTACCTGGTAGATAATATCGAAATTATTCAAGTATAATCAAGCACAATCTTATATTCTTTAACCTATCATCAACAATCGAAAGCATAATGCATAAAAAAATGCAATGATGATATCAAAAAAGAGTAGTAGTGGTAGTAAGAATATTCATAATAATCCTCATATCAAAGTAATAACAACAATAAGAATAACAATAGTAGCAATAAAATCCAAAACCGATGATATCTAACCGAAAACTATACATGTACTATGTCATATACCATATGCAATATCTAGTATGTCATATGTGATATATAATATGACATATGATATGTGATATATGATATATGATATATAGTATATCATATATCATACACAGTATACAATATACAGTAGACAATATACAATATACAATATACAATATATAATATATAATATGCAATATATAATATATAAAATATAAATATATTCTATTTAATATTTAATATTTAATATTTATTTAATATTAATATTTAGTATTTAATATATATATATATAGTCTATAATATATAGTATATAGTATATAGTATACAATCTATAAAAATTATTTCATATTATTACATAAGAAACATAATCTATATTACATGGTATATAGTATATAGTATATACTTTTGAGAGGATTAGATGCCATATATATTCTTCAATACAAATGATAGGTTATAGTAAAAATTATTGTATTACATGATTTTCTATATTATATGTGTATGTACAATACATAATGAGTAGGAGTGAAACAAGGTGTGAGTAATGCCCAGGCGCTGAGAAACTTCCAGCATGGTCCAGTCCACACTTCCTTCCTCTGCTGGTCATGCCAGGAGCTGGACCTTGCAGCACACTTCGGCAGTCTGATGCCAGAAATCACCAAGCAGGTCAAGGAGGATCTTGATGACCAGCTCGAGGTGCCGCATGTCGAAGAGTCGAAGAGCACTGCTTTATATTCAAGTTATGTTTCAGGCACGTCGCTTTACTTGCAGGAGGCCGGCGTCTCCACGACGGACAAGGCGGAGATTTTGGAGAAGACAAGCAGCTTGATGCAGGAGCTCAGCACGAACATGGCAAAGCCCGTCTTTGCGAGCCTCATGGCATCCTTGATGCCGTACAAGCTCGCTGATGCCGGGGCCATTGCGAAGGACTTGATCCGTGGACTCTTGACATGCCAAAGCTGCCCAGCCAAGCTTGCCTAGTCCAAGGGATTGATTGGGCTCAGGGCTTGAGATTGATCCTTGGGGTGGTCGGGGTGGTTTGTGCCGACAGGGGCCCGGAAGTGAGGCAGGGTAGATTGGGTGGTTTGGGCCGGACCGGTTTCTCTCTTGAAGATTTTTGTTTGGGGGGAATAGGCTATTTCGTGAGACCTTTTTCCCGAGGTTTTCCTGCCCGCGACCATAGGTTTGTGGTGGTAGGATGCATAGAGTCACATTCTCCTGCTCGCCCCGCCGTATATACTAGCAAAGGAGTGTCCGAAGCTTGGATGAAAGAAATCACGAAATCCAGCACCGGCGCCGTCAAGACGCTCATCGACGAGGCTGGAAGGGATCCGGAATCCTGACTTGCTCTGGGCGTCTCCTTATCATCTTTTATCCATTCTTATCCACTCTTATCCATGCTTGCCCAAGCACATATCCAGTCCTCTTCTGTGTTCTGTCCAGGCCTTTGGCTTCATTCAAGGCCCTTTGCAAAACTTAGTCGGTGGTGGCACAAGGATGCTTGGGCTCGACGATGAAGCAGCGGAGGCTTTGACAGAGGCCTTCTTCTTGGAAGTGAAGGGCCGAATCAACAACATCGGCCGAGCCTTGGTTCTGGACATCATGAGCTTTGTCACTAAGCAGCTGCAGGACCAAACGGAAACCATTGTAGATGAACTGGTTGGGGAGCCCATGGGTGTCCTTCAAAAGGGCTTCGACGATGGATCCGTAGAAACCGTGAGAATTGCCAAGGAGGAGTTCAGCAAGGCCGAAGACCGGAATAAGAGAGAAGGAAAATCGGGTTTCACGGCGCTTTCGAAAGCAGCACTAGGTGCTGTGGATCCAATTATGAGCAGGAGCCAGCCATGGGTCTCGAATGTCACCACCGCAGTGAAGGCATCTCTGAAGAATTTTCCGAGCGTGCTGAAGCAGCAAATGCTGGTGATCACAACAAGCACAAAAACCTACTTGAACAAAGATCTCTACCCAAGCTTCAAAACAATGATGGAGCAATTGGTCTGTGACATGCAATCGTTCTTGTTGGAGAAATGTGCAGCATGGGCCACCAGCCACCTTTCTGGAATTCTAGCTGCGGTTGATGCTGGATCGAATGGCGTTGGCTCGCTGGGCTCTGTACTAACAGGCACCCCGCTTGTGTGGGTTTTGGGTTTTTTTGGGGGTCAAGTTGGAGTCCGTTTTTTTTGGCGCCCTAAGCTCCAAAGAATTCAGGAATCCTAGTACCCCCCCCCCCCCCAAACAGAACCCGAACGCCCTAGGCCCTATATGCCATCTGCAAGACTTAGCAGTTGTCAAGTTGTCGCCTCTCACGCACCTCCTCCAGTCAGATGTCCTTCCCGTTCCCAGAAAGAGAGCCCATGAAAGCTCGCCCATTCTATAGTCCCCCCTTAGGAATTCTGATGTATTTTTGTTCATAACCCAACGGAATGTAAATCTCTAAGGCGCGTACGGCGTATAGCATTGCTTTCGGAGGCATGTTGGACTCGGCAGAGGCAGACGTCGGTGAGATCTTCGAGAAGCTGAGGCCAGTGAAGCAGATCGGTGCACCCGCAAAGGTCGTGCTGGACGAGTCGAAGTTGGCCGTGACGGATGCTATCAAAGCCATCCGCACCGGCATTTCAGAGGGACAGCACTGGACCAAGACAATGGCCAAGAGCGCGAGGAGCATGATCCAGAGCACGCTGCTTGCAGCACTTCCAGATTCCAAAGCTGGCAGCTGCAAGCTGTTCGACAAGACAAAGGCGAAGGGTTTCGGAGACAGCCTCAGGAACTTCATGGACAGTGCAAAGAAGACCTTCAAAAGCTTCAGCTCCGGTGGCAAGTTCCGGGAGCTCAAGTCCACGATCCTCGTGCCCATAACGTCACTCTTGGAGAGGCAGGCCAAGGAGGAGGTACGGCTACGCAAAGCGCGTGTGCAGAAGAAAGCGCTGGACGCACTCCAGGAGGAGGTCAAGGCGCAGGACGCCGAGGAGCTTACAGGAACACTTCTGAGCACCTTCGTTGGTCCTATTTGCGTGGACTCGGCTTCCTTCGTCTCGGACTCCATCGTGAGCATGGGAAGCGGTTTTGGAGAAGCTGCCATCAAGAAGCTGGTGGGTGCCGGGCTACCGGACCTGCTCTCGAAAGAAGTTGAGGAGCTGATCCTCTCGACGGCCTCAGCGGCCAGCAAGGTGGCGGAGGAGGAGTGCCGCAAGGCTGTGACGATCGCTCAGGCGCCCGCGGCGCTGCAGCAGAACCTCAAAGCCATCAAGGCCACGACGACGGCCCACGGCCTCTTTGAGAGTGTGCAGCCTGCCAGAGCCTCAGATTTTTCACCGATATTTCACCCTTTTCTTCAAAATGTTCAAAGTTCTCAGCTTGACACATGAGAATGACTGCGTTCTTTATATTGGTGAACTCTTAAGGCTCTTAAGACCCCTCTTGGCCTTTAATCAGCCTGCTGAGGGTCCTCGGCACCTGAGGTCATGAGCGATCTCTCCGATGCATTGCTTCTAGAGCTCGGGCAGCGGAGCAAGGACATAAAGACGAAGCTTCAGGATCACGTCCAGAAAACGGCGAACGAGAAGATGGATGAGGTCCAGGCGAGCCTTGAAGAGAAGCTGAGTAGCAAGGAGTTGGGCCTCACGCAGACCGAGAAGGATAAGGTCCTGTCGGCCTTTGAGAGCGAGGTCGTCGCGAGAGTGAAGACACTGCTCTCAGGTGACTTCTCCGTGTTAGAGGGCATCAAGCAACAGGCAGCAGACCTCAAGACCTGGAACACAGCCAAACTCAAGAGTGTTTTTCACAAGCACATCTCCACACTCTGCGAGGAAATGATCCGCCGTTTCTTGCAGGACTCGGTGGTGGAGATGAAGTCTCAAATCGCAGAGCGCTTCACAGAGCTCGCCAAGGAGCAGCTGAAGAGCTTTGGAGTTTCGGGTGAAGTGACCGATGAGATGGAGAAGCTTGCAGACACACTTCAATCTTGGCTTGGCAAGAAGACAGTTTTCCTTCAGGGCAAGCACCACTCAATGCATCCCTTCATGCAGAAAGTTCTGGACGATATGCAGGGTGATGGCATGAAGACGCTGACAAGTTCTGCAACAGACCTTGTCGGCACATTGGGCATCGAGGAGGAAGTGCTTGGTATGTTCTCTGGCAAAGAGCTGGGCATCGGACTCGCGGACATCACTGGGCTCCTCAAGGGCAACGGATTGGGTGGCGTCTTGGCTTCGGGGGTGTCCTTCCTCGCGGACTTGGGCAAGCCTGGTCCGTCGATTTGCAAAGCCGGCAAAGCCAGCAAGATGGAAGCGGACTTGAACACGATCCAAACAAAGGCCATCGGGCCATCCCCGACATTCAAGTTGTGCTTAGTGCTTTGCTTTCCGTGCTTTGTGTGTCGTGTTTGTTGCGCTTCCTTTTGCTGGTTGGCCAGAGGCTTCGAACTTTGCGCAAAGGTGCCTTCTATTGTCCGTCCCGCTTAGGTGGGTGCATTGGAGCAGTCGGCCCTCTTCCAGGTCTTCACGCAGGCATCTTTTTCAAATCTGCAATATCTTCTGGCGTGTGCGTATGTTTTGTCAAAGGGCCATGCACTTCGGCTCCCGTGTTTCCCTGCAGGCGGCAGGCATGGGCTGCAGCCTGAAAGAGGTAGGCGTTGTCGTGAGCGAGGCCCTCGACAGCATCGACAAGGCTGTCTTTGTTGTGGACGACTTCGTAACAATCTTCACAAGCCTGCCAATTATCAAACAAATTGCGAAGCTCCTGGAACCAGTTGTAAAAAAAGTAAAGAAGATGCTGGAGTCAACCCTGAGAAAAATTCGGAAGTTTGTCGACGAAAAGCTGATGCCCGTATTATCAAACTTCTGCGACTTCAGCATTGACTTTCAGGGGAAGCTGGAATACTTGGACAAGGCCATCCACGCGCTGAGATTGGTGGCATTCCCACCCAAAGGAGCCGTGGCAGCTAGAAACATCGGGGAGAGCATGAAGGTTTGCGACTGGATGCCTCCGGCCACATCAACTCTTGCTCGTGTCATGACAGCAGTGTTGGACCTGGAGATCTTCCCGAAAAGTTGGCTGGCAACAATCACGGATTGGCTCGATTTCTTTCCAGATGCGATGGTGAACGCGTTCAGGAAGGGGAAGAGGATGCTCGACACCTTCCTGGGCCCCGCACCTTGCCGGAGTAGCAGTCATATGCTGCTGTGTGTGGTAGGCTCATCACTCAGCCCTATAAGCAATGACCTAAACGTCCCTCAGGTGCTGAAATTCAACGACATGATGACAAAGAAGCATAAGGCTTGCATTCCAATAGTGGGGTGCTATGAGTTTACATTGCGCCAGTTGCTGAAGGGGCTCACCGGCTTCCTCGAGAGTCTCTTCGACTTCGCCCTCTATCCCATGAACAAACTAATTGAACAAGTCATGGACCCCATTGCGGCCCCTATCAAGGAGGGCATTGCCGACAGCCTTCCACTTCCAGATCTCGGCATGACGGACACCGACGTCAATATCCCTGTACAAGATGGCAGTGATCCAAACAGCGACGTGGGGACGCTGCTCCAGAACGGTTTGCTAGGCGAGCTATGTTTTTGCATGTTATGCTCTAGTCCTGCATGGCCTCCTTTTTGACAGTCGACTGTTTTGTAAGAGGCAAGCTGGAGACTCTCTCGAAGCACACCCAGGAGGAAGCTGGCTTTTGCTTCGCCTATGGTGCTTCCATACGAGCAGACGATGCCATTTGCCAAGATCTCGCGGTCGGAGAAGTCAGTGCGCCACATCAGTGCCAGGAGGTGTGCAAGGCTTGCACAGGTTGTTGGCGGTACTCCTTCATAGCAAATGATGCGGCGATTCCGACGGGAACTTGCCGATTGGGTGGTCTTAAGGCTTTGTACGTGAAGGACACGCCGAACAGTGTCAGCGGCCCTATGCAATGTGAGGACCCTCAGAAGTTTGGGTCCACTCCATGGAGGGAGTACTCTGTGGCCGGGCTCTGTGCTGATATGAGCATCTTCCCGAATGCCGACACTGACACCACTTGCCAGATGGCATGCTATGCAGACAAAGAGTGCGATGTGGCTCAGATGGCATCCGGCACGTGCTTCATCGGCAAAGGCAAGAAAGACTGCACTGGCAAGGAATACCAGTTCTCAGTGGAGAAGATGCGCTCGGCGAAAGAAGCCCAGCAAACAAAGTGTGATGCTGCGGCTGGCATTTCCAAAGCGCAAGCTAAAGCCTTGTCCGCGTGTGCTGGCGATAAGGATTGCGAGTCAGAGGTGCTGCAGGCTGCTGCCGAACGAGAAGGAATCCAAGGAGCCGACTCAGGTGTAGCAGGAGAAGCGCTTGCATTGTCGCAAAGCAGCTATGTGAAGTTCACATGTGAACTGCTCAACATGGATCTTCATTGCCCAGACGTCAACACGGGGGAGAAGGTTGGGGGCTTTGAGGACTGCAAGTCGGGAACGAAGCAGGCGTTCCTTCAAGTCTCCGAAGCGTTTCCGGTTGGAAAGTCCAAACTTAACTGGAAGAGGCTGGTGCCCAAACTCGACTCTTCCTTTCAGCTGCTGAAGTCCAATATGTCTCAAGAGAAAGAAGAGAAGCAGGAGTCCTGCACAAAGGCGGACCGGATAGAAGCCTTATGGTCGTGTGTCTTTTGTTGTTTGTGGTTGCGCGTTGTGTGCGATGGCCTATGGGGCTCCGAGGCATTTTCCGATCAGTGGATGTGTGAGATGCAGGCGATGGCCACAGGCCCTTGGGACATCCCTCAATTGGACCAAATGATAAGATTAGGCCCATATTAGGCATTGTGTTCTTCCAGTGAGCATCCAGGCGATGGGGCTTCAACTGCGGAGCTGGCTGTGCTTTACCAGACTCAGCTCCACAACTACTTCATGTCAAACCAGGCTCGTGTCCTAGTGTCTTTGCCATTTTTGAGAGCCAGCTTTGTCCGATTTCTCCGAGCTTGAGCCAATTGAGCCATGGCATGTTGTGCAAAGGTGGACAAGATGTTGGCGAACCAAGCAGAGAATCGAGAGCAGATCTTACAGACACAGAAACTGGTCAACGAGCAAGCTGCCAAAACACGCCAGAAGCTTGCGGAGATGGAGGCGAAGAATGCAAATCGGACAAAAGAGCAAACTCAGCAGCTAGTTGCGAAGATCGACGAGGCGCAGAAGGAGCAGAACGCGCGCTTGGCCTACATGATGCAATCCCAGCAGTGCAACGCAGAGATGCAAACTGCTCAGCTGAAAGAGTTTGTCGGCGAGAAGATGGCCGAGCTACAATCCGCCGTGCTGAGTGGCACTGGTGCACAAATCGATGCTGCCGTGGACAAGCTGACAGACACAATGAATGCAAACCGCTACATCTTGGAGGAAGCCATCAAGACCAGCACAGCATCCACGCATGAATTGATTAATGAGCGCTTTGGGGAGCTGAGCACGCGGATGGACGCGGTGGATGAATCGCTTAAGGAAGTACAGGACCTCCTTGACGAAACACTTAGCCGACTTGACAAGACGGATCAACGCATCGCTGACCTTTCCGCTCAAAGCCAGAGCCAGTTCCGCAGTTTGCGCTCAGGCCGACATGCCATCATGGGCCATAGTGGGCCATGTGCCTCATTTTTCGGAGACCTTTCGGAGACTTTTGGGTGACCTTTTTTTCTGGGACTAAAGTTCAAGAGATTCAAGACTGGTGCCAGGTCAGCAGAAGCAGATGAACGCACTGCTTGCCGTCGTGCAAAAGCTGGACGTAATCGAGGAGAAGGTGGACGAGATACCGCAAACAGCCATGGGCTAAGCTTTGCAAAGCTTCAAAGCAAATCCTTGGGATACCTTGGGCTCACGTGTTTTGCGCCTAAGGTCGTGGAGATGAGGTTTCAAGACTTCATATACGAGTTCGAGACCATCATCTTGGAGATGAACAGCTTCTTTGAAGACTTTCATGCGATCTCACAGCAGAGGCACCGGGAGCTCGCCGTGGTGAAGTCCTTACAGCAAGCTTACCGGGCCTGTGGCGCCTCGCTGCATGCCGTGACAACGGCTACATATCCGGCAGTGGCAAGCTCTTCCTTGTATGACACCTCAGTGAACCCTAAACTTCCCTAAACTTCCTATGAACTTCCTGAACGATTCAAGTAACGGGCGGATCCACAGGCCATGGTGAAGGTTGAGAACACCAGCCTGGCCGTCACCAGGCAGGTTTCCGAAAACATGGCTTGGGAATAAAACCGTGGAACTTTAGGGGCGGCCCCGAAATCAAGGATTTCGCGAAAAACGATAAGGAGCAAAAAACGATAGGGTTTACAGGTTCACATGAGCGTTTGAGCATGTCAAGCCTCACGAAAACGTCACTTCCAGTACTGAGCTTGTGCTACAGAGCAATGAAAAGCCAGCCGGCTCACGGACACATCGATTCCAATACTAAGCTTGCACTACAGAGCAATGAAAAACCAGCCGGCTCACGGACACATCGATTCCAATACTAAGCTTGCACTACAGAGCAATGAAAAACCAGCCGGCTCACGGACACATCGATTCCAGTACTAAGCTTGCACTACAGAGCAATGAAAAACCAGCCGGCTCACAGAAACATCGAATCCAGTTCTGGGAGCTTGTACTAGAGCACAATGAAAATCCATATTTTGTCGCCAAACCCACGGCCACTCGTTCCTCGACGTAAGCACGATTTTGAATCAACTCGTGCACACCTCCTAGACGCGGCTCCGGGGCAAGCAGAGACATGTCCAGTAATAAAGATGTACTACTGTGTGCCATCATAGCCGTGCTATCTTGGATGTGTGGTTTACCTTGCAAAACGATAAGGAATAAAATTCGACAAGGTTTGCACTCGGGCACTTTCGTTTTCGACGTTCTTGTTGCTAGAAGGGTCAACGCATGCAATCTGACTGGTCATGAACTTACGGAGCCATAAACGCAAGACAAATCTGTGTGACAGCAAGGCAACTGCAGCATTCCTTCGCTGGCTCTGTGAAGAAATTCTCGCAAATTGCGGCGCTGGCGGTTGAAGGCAAGTTCACACGAATGCACTTCGACACCCTCGTTGCGACTGCAGCGGAGGAGATAAAGGGGAATGCCACACTCATGGAGAGGCTCCTGCTGGGTACGAGCTTGGCAGGGGTCATCGAAGAGGACCAGCGAGTCATGCATGGCCGGGTCTTGGGACAAACACATCCCAGAACTTTTAGAATGACCCACACTTGTTTTTTCCATGTCTGTTGATGCTTTTGATGTCCATGTTCATACGGATCGCTTGACATTGCCATGGCCTCCCAGCCAATTTTGAACCCCGAGCTGCCAGGTGACGGAGTTGAGAATTGCAAGAAGGCTTGCAGCCCTAACGGCGATGCCGGCGATGTCACGATTGTGCGGGCGATCCCGTGTGACCGGGCTCTTGTTGAAGGGTTGCGTTGTTTCTTCATGCAGGTCCTCAAAGAAAGAAGCAGGAACGTATGACACTTTTCCTCGAGCGACGATATTTACAGCGTGTTAATTGTAAACGCTGGCGCGCGCCGCCTCGGCAGCCGGGCCGGCCCACGTCCCAAGGCCCAGGAAATTCCAAAAACCTTTCAAAGCAGATCCCAACCAAAGCACCAAAAACATCCACCCAGGTTCTAGGACGTCCAGGGGATGGGTCCAGGGGCCGAGGGGGGGGGGTTCTTGAGTCCCAGCGCCCAGGCAGGGGAAAAAACGCGATTTTTGGGCGCCAGCTCTGTAGGAGCTGCCGACAGGCAGGACCCCCACGGGATGGGTTTGCAGCTCCTCCAAGCGATCTGGGGGGTCCCACAGGGCGGGGGGGGGGGCCGCGATCCGTGTCCATCTGCTTGTCCTGAACGCCTCTCCGCCGGAGGCCGAGGCGAATAATAGCACCGCTCTGAGGTATTTGCAAGGATGGATCCTATCCACAGCGGATGATCATGGGAAAGTATTTGTACACCAGTGAGGCAGCCAGCATCTTCCATAAGCACTTGGAGGATGCCCTTGACGACGTTCCCTTGGAATACACGATCAGTATCATGAACTACTACTCGCAGCTCAAGATGCTGCTTTCCAAGTTCGCCTCCTGGGACTTGGTTGCTGATGAGCACTTGGTGCAGCAGATGGAGGAAGCTTTCCAGAAGATTGCATTCGACTTCGAGTCCCTTCGTAAACATTACGCAATGAAAACCACCGACCAGCAGATAGTCTTGGGGGGCTTAGAACTGACGACAGAACTACTCGACCTTCTTGGCCCTCACTTCAGCCCAGCACCTCTACAATGCCAGAAGCCAGCGCTCCTCGAACTTGGACAAGCGGACCTTTCTCGCTTGGTTTACTGGGGGCCAGTCAAGCTAAAATCGCCGCTGACTGGTGCGGCTTCCTTGATCATGAGGCGCCCATCGAAGCTGCTCCACACCCACGCCCTGGCGTGGAGCTATAGTTTGCATGACACACCATGTCAGAGCATCAGCTATCCCAACATCAAGGATGTGATGGAGAGTAGCTTCATTTGCTGGACCGACAACAGCGGTGCAGTCAAGGTGCGCTCGCTTTGCGACAGTGACTTGGCAAAGGTTGTCGACACAAGTTCCTTGCACTGGGCATCGGCCAACAGAATTGCCGCCAAAGATCTCAACAAGCTGGTCACACCCATCGAAACCAAGTATGCGCGGACGACCCCCTTAGACCCGGATCTCTTCAGGCCATCGCTTCAACATCTTGGGAACATGATGTTTACGCTTTTCTAGGGACATTGGCGCCCTCTGGAGGCCTAGCCGTCCCATGTAATCCGAATGCCGTATGCTTCTGTGACTTCTGTGATCTTTCCCTTCGAGGTTCTGGGGAGCTACCGTGGAGCTCCTTGCGGCAGGGGATTGTGGGAACGGCAGGCTGGACATGATCGAGGAGTGTGACTCTCCAGGTGCGTCCTTGGGGGCACTGCTTTCAGCTTTGTTGCTACGCAGAACCATGCAGAAGCCCTTACGGCAGTTAGGGTGATTCAAGTCTTGTCCGAGCAGTATGCTCTGTATACGGCTTGTTCGGGAAGACTGGTCATGCAACATGATGCAACAAATGACACATGGTCACATGGTCAGTTCCCTAAAATGATGGTGCCTTTTTGGGTGGGAGAACACTCACTTGTGACAACTGGAAACTCTCACTTGTGACATCTCGGCAGTTTAAGTTGTGACATTGTATGTGTTTGAAGTCAAAACGAGGGAAAACGCTAGGGAAACGACAGATTCGAATCAAAGCACGGCCCTGAACGTATAAAAGAAAAGCAAGTAAAAATCACAAACTCAACTGAAATCTTCAGAGAGCAGAAGTCAACCCCAGTAATCAAGAAAAACCGCAATTAGCGATAAAATCAGACAAGTGAAGCCTCCGGTGGAGTCCAAAAGAAAATCAACAGGGGCGTAACAATTGGAATGAAGGTCTGCGGTCAGGTGGTTTTGCTTTCGGGGCCGCCCAAACAACGAGCATCATGAGCATCAGTGGGTTGTTTGGGCGGCCCCAAAAGCAAAAGCACCTCCTGTAAACATTGGAGTGAAGGTCTGCGGTCAGGTGGTTTGGCTTTCGGGGCCGCCCAAACAACGAGCATCATGAGCATCAGTGGGTTGTTTGGGCGGCCCCAAAAGCAAAAGCACCTCCTGTAAACATTGGAGTGAAGGTCTGCGGTCAGGTGGTTTTGCTTTCGGGGCCGCCCAAACAACGAGCATCATGAGCATCAGTGGGTTGTTTGGGCGGCCCCAAAAAGCAAAAGCACCTCCTGTAAACATTGGAATGAAGGTCTGCGTCAGGTGGTTTTGCTTTCGGGGCCGCCCAAACAACGATCCTTAGATCACTGGGAGGGCCCGAAATGCATTTCTGGGAGCTTGAAACATGCATTTCGGACTCTCCGGTTGATCCGGGCGATCTGGCACATTTTTTGGGAGGATCAATGGAAGGTCGGAGCGACGACTCTGCTATACGAAGGCATTCGGAGAGCATTCCCTCCAAGGTGTACAAGTCAAACCCTAAGGTGTACAACCCTAAATTGTACAAGTCAAACCCTAGGGTGTGCAAGTCAAACCCTAAGGTGTACAAGTCAAACCCCAAGGCGTACAAGTCAAACCCTAAGGTGTACAAGTCAAAGATGCAGGAAGAACAGAAAACCCTCCAAATGTCACAGTTGAGAGTGGCCTTTTAGTGGCTTAACAAAAAACAAATGTCACAGTTGAGTTTCGCACTCCATTCTCGAAAAAAAACACGTTTCCCCAAGCCGGGATGTCACAAGTGAGAGTTTCCAGTTGTCACAAGCGAGAGGCCTCCCCAGAAAGTCACAACTTAAACTGCCGAGATGTCACAAGCGAGAGTCCTCTCTTTTTGGGTCCTTATGCTACGGGCCCTAATATTTCACGGAGAACTGCCCACATGATGATATGTTCGACAGGTGAAGGCTGCAAGGATTGCACGGTGATCCCAGGCTACGACTGCCCGACACCGGGGCTTCCCTGCGTGGCGAGGAGTGGTGCTGAATGATAACACGCGTACTTATAGTACTCGTACTAATAAGAAGAATAAGAGGAAGAACTGGAATAGCAGTTATATGAATACTTAAAAAGTAATATGAATACTAGTAATAATATAGGATAATAATCATCAGGATAACAAGAAGAAGCAGAACAATCGCACTCAGTGCAGTTCTCGTGTTCGAAAACTCATCGAAACTTCAAGAGAGGGGTGAGCATGGCTGAAGTGAAGCGTCCTCTTTGCACAGGTGTGGTGACCACAAACCCGTCAAGAATGAAGACTGCGACGAGAACGACTTACTCGAGCCCCAGCCACATAGGATTTAGACTCACGGTCTTGCCTTTGAGGTCGGGCGGGGAGGCTCTTAAGGCATCTGTCACAGCTGTAGATCCCCAAAACAGCTTCGGCTTAAAGGGCGGTGTTTGAGCCGATTCTTGGTGCCTTCTTAAAATGAGAGGGAAAAGCAAAAGCGAAGCCAAAGCAAAGCGAAGCAAAGCGAAGCAAAGTTAGGACAATGATGGCTGCTCGTCCAGCTGCTTGCTGGAGTATTGTGGCCGCACTCGCATCAGCAAGGCCGTGGAGGGATTAACTCCTGACCTCAGCCTGGAGGACCACAGTAGGGACACTCAAACACGTGAGATACTCACGATGATAATTTCAGAGCCTTCTGCGTTGTTTCAGTAGGACCTCTCACTCTGCGCAACGCAGCTTGAGAGTACCGCTGCCCAGCCAGAGAAGTGCACCTACCAAGAGCTGACCTTCGCCGGTTTCACGAAGAAGGGCCGATGGGTCCGGCACGACGTAAGGCTAGAATCCAAGCTGGGTGACGTGACTCAACCAATGGATCCAATCAAGGCAAAGAAAGGGAGTCCATACAAGCTGTGGAGCGATGGACAGACACTTTCCCTCACATGTTCTGGAGCTGATGCGGCCAGCGACTGCCTCTTCGCCTGCATGGCCCTGAACGCTTCCTCAGAGTGCCTTACACCTTGGCTGGTGCAGACGCATTCCGCCGAGAACAGCAGCCTGGACACCGCTGCAAAGGTCCTGCACATCTACGGCCGCTCTCTGCCCTTCCTCTCCACCTCGGACTTGCAGAAGTGTGAGGAGAGCGACGGCAAAGACCTCTTCGCGCTGTCTTGCGGAGATGGCCGCGTCGCAGGCTAAGAGTGGGTGTGAAGTGAAGTGGTGAGCAAGTTGCCTTAAGTTTCCTTCTGTGATTACGCCATAAGCTGCCTAAGAATATCTTTAGGACATATTAGGACCTTGATTAGGACTGATTGAACGATGGTGAAGCTGTTTTTTGATGGAGACGTAGGTGCGACACAATGGTCTCTTCAGCTCTGAATTCACTCAAAGAAAGCAGTGGAAAAGTAAACAACCGTAAACAAGGAAAAACGCATCGCGAAACGGCCGTGTTAAGCAGGGGTTGTTCTTAAGGTATCTTGCTTGTCCGAGGAAAAAACGACGATTTCGGCTTGAGATTGTTTTGGAGGAAGGGCCAACCTCGCTCACCGGCCCAAGTTTTTGGGGCCTATTTTTTTCTGAAGTTTGCGATTTTGGGAAGCTTGTTTTGTGTGTTTTTACCCAGGCGCAAGCCACGTTTTGGTGTAAGGTCTGATGGTCGTTCGTAAACATGTCTTCACGGTTTTCCGGATACAATGCCATTTTCTCATTGCTTGAAGTTTAGGGCTTTTTGGGTGGTTTTCGGCTGCATAATGGTTTGCGAAGATTTGTGGCCGCGGTCTTGTATGTTGTAGAATCAAGAAAAGCACTGTAAATAGCAGTGTCTGCGGCATGTTCGCAAAGGCATGAATAGTTGTGGCAGCATGTCTGGTTGCAGAAACATCAAACATACTCTTGCAATATATTCTATACAAGGCAAACACGCTGAACATTCCAGTGTCGTGGGTTCGCAGAAGGCCTTGTGACAGTGCGTCTTGTTCCAAAAACGCTAAAAATCCTGGTGCAGTGTTGTATAGAGGAGCCAAAATGCTGTAAATACCCGGTGTTTTGGGCATGGTTATAGGAACATGGTCGTAACCAACCCAAAGATCCTCGAAGAACCCCGAAGCACCAGCAAGCAAAACCGCGGGTGAATTGGCACGTTAGCGTAAACAACTCCAACTTCTCAACCTTCTCCGAGCCTTCAATGGCACGGGGTGCTTTCATATGCCTATGCATATGCCTATATGCATATGCCTACGCATATGCGTATTCCTTCATTTCCTCCGCGGCACAATTGAGGTCTCTGGCGATGAGGAGTGCGACCCGCCGGGACCCGGCTGTGATGCGAACTGCAAGACCCTCGCCTTGTTGAGAGCACAGTAAATTTGAGAACTTTGAGAGGTAACATATAGAAGCCTTTTTAATAAGGCTTCTTTATGAGTGCAAAGGGCACTCTTGGGGATGCTGGTGGGGATGCTCTCTGTTGTATTCTGTTGTTCCGGCTGAGGATCTTGGATGGCTGGATGTGTGAGCCGAAGCGTTGCGTGGAGATCTGTGGGGATGGCCTCGCCGTGGGCGACGAGATGCTCGGCTGCACTGACTGCAAATTCAATGCAAAAAAATGCACTGCATATATTGAATGCACTCTCGGCAATCTTCACTGCAATCTTTGCGAGTGTTTGAAAGAGCGGTTTGCGGCACTTGACACTGCTCTTTTTATTCCCTTTTTTCCCTTACGATGTCAGCTTAAAGTGCTTACGGCAGAATGCTCTCAGGGTTTGTGACGATGGCAACGTGCTGGACGACGACTGGTGCGCGGCCGACTGCAGGAGTGGCCGAAGGACGTGCCATGCCCTGCTACAGGCCAAAGCCTCCGCCATGCCCGCAGGCCCCAAATAAACAAATCTTATAAAAAACAGCCTTTTTTTGCGCCTCTGACATCGTTTTTTCTTGACAGGTTTTTGAGGCAGCTTTTTTAAAGTACAGTAGAGCTTTTCGCACTCCATATGACAGGCTGGTACCAGCTGATGAAGGGGAAGCAGGAGTCTCACGCCGTCTACTGCAACCTCTGGGTCAACGCAACGAGTTGCCAAGAGCTCCTGAACAGAGAGAAGACCTTCAACGTGGAGTTGCCCAGCGGCTGGTACTCTTTATTCACCCAGACAAACGCGAGTGACACGGGAGCCGGAAACGGCATTGAGATCGTGGACGTGCCCGGCGTGCCCGGCGTGCCTTTCACCTCGGCCAGCCATGACTTCGCCGACATGGCCTCCCGGCTTTCAGGCGGCCAGGTGTTCACCTGGATACGTTCACCTCAAGGGAGCCAGCGCATGGAGCTGCAGTCGCTGCTCAACGATGGCGACACGTCGACGGCTTGGAAGCCGCGGCTGGACCCGAAGCAGGTCTCTCGGCCGGAGTATCTGACCAGGGTTTCTGCATGGTTTGATTTCTTTGCGGTGCCGTGCATGCGCGTGCTCAAGCAATGCTCAAAGCAAAGCTGAAGCGTTGCTCAGGAAGGCGGAGTGGACGTGGTGCTTGCGGCTGGCAGCCTTGTCCACGGGGTGACCCTGACTGCGCAAACCTTGTCCAGCGTGACATTGGAGTTCGCGCACGCATCAGCCACAGGCTCCAAGATGTGGACTGAGCTCGCCAAAGTTACTTGGGCAGACTCGGATAGCCCGGTAACCCAACACTGGAAGTTTAAGGAGCCCGTGCGCGCCGGGGCCTTGCGCATCTCCGCCGGCACTGCATCCTCTCCTGCATTCCACGAAGTTCAGGTCTGGTCCAAGGTCTCGGAGCCCTGGAACATCCTCAGCGATGGTTTCACCACCATGGCTTGGTGTGGCTTCAACTACACCAACAGGAGACGACCCCGGTCATTTTCACGGCAGGGTCCCGAGATTCGGGCCGATTGAAAGATCCTGAAATGGAAGTGTTAAAAGTTGAAGGGGGTGTACGGATGGGGTGCTGCTTACTCGGGGGCTTCAACGACTGAAGGACCTCAACAATAAAGCTGCTGAGTGACAGAACCCTCAGTAGAGAAAAGGGATGCGCGAGGAGAGGGAGGGAGCTAAGAAAAAAAACATACACACGAAGTATAATCATATATCTAAATACTCTATATATATATATATATATAAACAGGAACAAGAGTACATAAAATACATAAGCAAAAATATAGGTATAGGAGATCAAGTCGAGGAGCACCGCGACGGCCTTCACGGGCGGCGTGGTCACGCCCGCGACGATGCCCAAAACCGCCCAAGAGTACCAAGACTTGTGTCACAAGGGGGGGTTTTTGGAGGCCGGGGCCTTCGGGAGCGCGGGAATGGCCGAAGTCCTGGCGCAGCAAGAGGCCTTCCAAAAGGAGCTGCCCATGTCCGGCGCAAACGGCGCAAACTGGATGGCCTTGCCGTTCTTCTGGGACAGCAGCTCCAAGGCCATGCAAAGCCTCCAAGGGACCCTCAAAGCCCAATGCGGAGCGGATGATGCTGAGATTGCACACTTCGTTTATAAGTTCGTTTATAAGTTCGTTTGTTTTTGAAGAGCGGAGGGGCAGACCGAAGGGGCGAAAACGGAGGAAAGAAAACGGAGGATGGTAGCATATGGTAGCTGCCTGCAGTGCAATTCTTGACAGCGTCAGCTCAGGAAACGAGCTCTTCCCAGCCCTTTTGCAAGGCCGACTCCAGTGGCATTGCCACCCATCCCAAGTCCGCTCCCACATCCCTGTCCTGCCTGTCCGTGCAGCTCTCAGAGTCCGGCGGCGGAGCCCTCATCAACGTCTGGAAGCATAAGAAGGAAGGTGCTTTCAATGATGGGAATGATTTCCTATACAGCTCCGTTGTATACGCCGACGACAAGACCGGAGACTTCACCGTCGCAACGCAGCCGGGCCCTCAGCCGTTTGCTGCATTGGTTGTGCGCCCTAGCGCGTGTGCGTGCGCTCTTCCGTGTTAATTAGGCACAACACCGGTTGGCATCCACGGATGCGAATGGACAAGTTCTCGAAGTCGGGTGTGCTGGTTTGGAGCCATTATCTTTCTCACAGTCAGCGGGTTGAGGGCTGCGCTGTGTGGCCCACTTCGAAGGACTTCGTGTGCATCCATGCGGGCCCTGATTGGAAGCGGGATATCAGAAAACAATCCGGCGCCACAGGAAAAGAGTTGTGGTCTTTGGCGCGAGACACCTGGATATACAGCGCCAGTTACAAAGTAACGGTGCAGCAAATCAAAGTGGACCCCAAAGGCTACGTCTGGATCGCCGGCTTCCGTTTTTTTACTTATTATGGTACTTGGGACGCTTTGGTAATGAAGCTCAACGGCGAAACGGGCAAGTTGGATCGCTCAACCGTCGGGACTGCAAACATACGCCAGGGATCGCCGAAGGTGAGAGCCCTGGAGTTCGATGGATCGAACCAAGCTTACGTGATGATGGAGCACGAGGGGAATTGGGGGGGACGTCGGGGCAAGCAAGACGTGGCGGTGCTCGCAACATATTCAAATACCGGTACACGATGGTCCAAACAGTATGGTTCCCCCGAAGGCGACGCACTCATAGATGCACGCATGGATGAGCAGAGCACCTACATCGTGCTGTTCGCGCGGACACAGGGCGCATGGCTGAATGCAGGCGGCAAGAAATCTCGCAATGAGGATCTCGTCGTGACGAAGGTCGCTTGCCATAATGGCGCAGTGCTGTGGGCCACGCAGATAGGACCTACAGGAGGCTCAGGCGGCTGGCAGACCGCTCGTGTGCTTTCGGGCACACAAACTTTCTTGGATGGGAACGGTGATGTCGTTGTGGCCGGAGCAGCTTTCAACGGCATCCTGAAGCCGGGCTTGCGCCAGCCCAAACAAAACAAACCGAACTGTTTCGTGCTAAAAAGGTCGCGGGCGGCAACGGGCGGACCCTGTGGCTCGATCAGTTCGGAAACCCAGAGAACTACTGCGAGGCCAGGTTCATAAGTCCGGACACAGAGGGCAAGAACATGGTGGTGGTGGGCACCTCTTGGGGCCCCGTGGAGCCTGGGCTGAAGGCTCCTGGAGGCTATGATGCTTTCGCGAGCAAGATCAGCAACTCCGGCGAAAGGCTTTGGAACATCCAATGGGGCAATTCCAATCATGAAACGCTGAAAGGCATGAAGCTAGATGAGAGCGGCAATGTGCTTGTGTCCGGCTTCCACAACATGGAGGTGGGCGGGCGGGCCGTTTGGCTGAGCAAGATCAGCAACGCTGGTGCAATGATGTGGGATACCTCGTACGAGCCAGGCAGCAACACACAACCTTACTTCTTCGGCATGGATGCAAAGGGCTCCATGCAGTGGGGCGCCTGGGAGAAAGACGTCCCGAAGGCCAGCACGAACCCCATCGTGTTCAGGTACTCCTATGTTCCAGGTGCATCAAAAGCCTGGGGAGCGCGCATCAGCTCCTTGCGGACGGATTTGGAGAACGTGGACGCCGAGGAGGGCAAGAAGGCCTTGAGCAAGTTCGAAGCGAAGAACTTCCTTGGCCACTGGTCCATCTACGCTACGTCGAAGCCGGAGCCAGGCACAGTTGAGAGAGTTGCCAGAAGCGCATCCATTGCTATCATTTTATGCCTTCTTTGATGAGAACTATTTTGAAACCACCACTCCAACAACAAATGACAGCAGCAAAAATAACAACATCAGCAACACCAAGAGAAACAGCAGCAACAGCAACAACCGCCGCCGCCAACCGCCACTGCCATCACCACCTCCGCCACCCACCGCCAACATGACCACAGACACCACAGCCATAGCCATCCCCAACCAACAGCAAGAACCAACACCGAAAACAACAACCACTAGTGTAGCTAGCTGCGCGATGAAAAGCAGTGTGATGACATCTTCAGTGTTTCCCGACCAATTCTTCGAGTGATTGGCATGCTGAAACCCTAAATTTTGGAGAGCCATTTTTTTCAAGCCTATTTTTGCCTTGAAGACAGAGGAAGCAAATGAGGTGATATATTGTGTCTTGCAGAGGTGGCGTAAACGGATCTGGAATCTCCGATAACTTTTCTGGGAGCTCGGAAAACACAAATCATTAAATGTCTATTTTGAATCCTGGTCTTGAAGCATGAGCACTATGAGCACTGTCAATCCCCCGGTGCTCCATGAACTGGCTTTGGATTCTTTGTCACTGGCTTAGTAGATCTATAGGCACAGAATCGTCACACGAAGAAGGATAAGAAGAATAGAAAGAGAAGTAAAACAAGACAAAGAGAAAGCTGAATAAGAAGAAACACCGATCGGGGTGTGAAGGTGCTTGAAGGAGTGGCTGTCAAGAGGCCTTTCGGGGGTCGACTCCACAGCAACTACTGCATGTTTTCTACTGCATCTACGAGAACTAAGCTGATGAAGCCCTTCGCTTTGTTTGACTTTTTTTTTTGATTTTTTTGGTGGGAGGCGCTGACCGGTCGGAGCTGACCTTCACCACGCAGCCAGACTCAGGAAGGTCCGCGCCCGCTTTCATCACCAAGGGGCAGAAGATGGGACTGCCCGCCGTTGCCGTGCAGAAGGCCTTACGCTCCTATAAGGTGTTTTTTTTCTCAAGTGCTCTCTGTTAGAAATGCGGTAAAAGAGATGGAGTCAAATGAGTAGAGGGAAAGAAGAGGAGAGGAGGGACAAACCGCCTTTGAGAGAATATCGGAGCGCCGAGAGCCGAGAGAGTCATTGAGGTCGTGGAAAGCGGTCGTGCCGACAACGCCTCGATCGCCTTGCACCCGGGATGTGAGCCACTCGGAACAAGACAAAAAAACGCTCAGATTTTTTTGGGGAACTGCAACTTCTTTGTTGCAACTTCTCTTTTTTGTTTTTTAAAGAGCTTAAGTGCTTTGCTTTTAAGCCTTATGAATGTCAGGCACAGGCGCTCTTACCCCTGTATCATATGTCGAGACAATGCTCAGTGTTTCTCGAACAGGCAAGACTCCAAGAAGAACTTGGAAGTGTCGTTCACAAGCAAGGAGCGCATCTTTTGGGGGGACCCTCAGACGCCGGAAGCCTCGGTAGCCTCGGCGGCCTCGGTAGCCTCGGTAGCCTCGCTTCCTTTGAGTCGCAGGAGACTGTGCATTTGATGGGCCACGTGCACCAGATCGGCTCACACTGCGGCGGCATCGACATCTATGTTTTCCAGGGCGACAAGAAGTTGATGTCCGCCGAGCGGCTGAACACCGATGCCCGACTCACTCTCCCCGCCGTGAGGCTCCAGAAGGGCGACAGCATCTCCGTCTTCCTCGCCGCCGGCGCCTCCTGCGCCTGCGACCACGCATCGCTCTCCCTGAGTGCCACGAAGGACGACTGAGAGGAATGAGGGAGCGGGCCACCTCTGAAGCGCCGTAGAGAAAAAGCGCTCTTCCCAGATCGCCTCGAAACCTTTCACGACGATTCTGATCTGCTTTGTCGCCTTGCTTCTCGCTTTGCTTCTCGGTTGCCCCAATTTCAGCACAGATTGCCCACATCCGCGCGCCCATCGAAGCTGCACGTGCATGTCCCTGTGCAGTGTTTAAGCCTTGCACCATGACACCTATATCGAGCTTCTAAGAAAAGAGTGGCATTTGCCCATTTTCCATTTGCAAGTTACCGTTCAGCAGCAGTCATCAGCAGCGCGCGCGGCCCAAGCCATGAACAGCTTTCGTTGGTCATGTTCTCAGTTGGGACAGGATGGCGAATCCGGCTCCGATGGTCTAGTGTTGAAGGCCGACTTTCAGTGGGACACAGGACACGCGTGTTGAGAACAAGATCAGTCATTCGTTTCCGATTTTACCGTCTTGTTGTTTCCGATGCTTTTGTCCTTGAGCAAAGGGTCTGCAGTTCCGTCGGACTGTGCTACCTTGCTACATCACAGCAGCAGGCAGGAAAATGATTGCACATGAAAGCTGGATGCACGGGTGTTTCGCTTTCCACGTCTCCCTAGATGCACGGAGACATCTTGGATGGCTGCGCCAACATCGCGCGGCCGTCAACCAGTATATACTATATACATACAAAGCCATGGAAATGAATGAATTCAGCTGATCGTATGTCGGACAGTGCAACCTTGCGGGCAGGTAGGAGCCCTTTAAGCATTCCACAGCAAGGGAGGTCAAGGGGGTAGAGGGTGAGAGGCAGGAGAGGGTAGAGGAAGTGACCTTCAAATGTGGAAGGTGAAAGATGTGTGGGGTGGGGGAAGGGCGAGGTGGCGTTGTGGGCGGTGGGGTGGGGGTTTAGGGTTGCATTGGAGCCCTGAGAAACTGCTGTGTTTTCTTCGATGTGTTCTCAAGAAGTGGCCCTGGGACGATTGACTATGGACGATTGCCGTTGAAGTATGGCAACGGAAGAAAACGAGTCAGTGAACTGGCACACATGATGATGCACATCCTTGCAACCGTCAACCCCAAAGTCCTTGCACTTAAAGCCCGGCAGCCCGAGACAATTCCAATGCAGGCTGCTAGTGCAGTGCCCAGGATGTGCTTGAAGCCGTTTAGTCCGCCAACAGCTTCACCATCCCCCTCTAGAAAGAACAAACCCCCACCTCCAACACCCTGAGAAGGGCCCTCGAGTTTACAAAGTTTACACTGCTTGGGAGCCGATCTCACAGGCTTGGGCTCTGGGTTCCCTCTGAAACTCTGTGGCCTTGCCGTGCCTCGGCCCATAGTAAGCCATAGTGCACGCGTAATGGAGACATACGGAGACCATCCCGAACCCAAAAAATCTTTTGAACCCAAGCGCCTCAACAACTCTTTCGCAAAGGTCTTAGTGCCTTTTAGTGCCTTTTGAGCCTGATTTCTTCCAACGCCTTTGGGTGAGCTCCCCGCAGCTTGGCCACGAGCTCGGGCTTGCAGAGTTTCGGAAAATGGGGGAAAGAGAGCCTTTCGGTAGGCTCGAGGCTCGAAGAGTTTCATGTTTAGGAATGTTTGCGTCCTAAAAAAGGTGGAGGCAATGCCACAAGCAGACAATCTCGAGCGCTTGCATTGGTCACACCACACACTTTGAAGGATTCAAGCTCGAGAAGGCCTCACCCTACACCCTACGCCTGCAACATCCCGCAACCACAAGTCTCGTAAGCAGCTTATATGACTCGTCCAGAGCACTCGTTGGTGCCGGACTCAGCTGTGGGATCCGGCCATCACCGGAGTGCTAGTGTTGGAGTTGAAGGCTGAGTTTTCGGAGTGCCTCTTTTGAAGGTTTTGAGAACTTGGCAATTTTATTGTGTTTTTATTGTCATCCCAGAGCCATCCCTTCTTTCACTATGCCGCCTTCTTTTCCATGAGGCGAAAGCGTGCCCGGGGCCCTGCGTTCTCACGGCAAGTTTCGGACCTCAATCCGGATGCCGGTGACATCGTCGGCGGGGCTCCTAGACGGGAGGTAAGGGGTGGCCATGGGTAGGGAGGAGTCCGTAGAACATATGGAGTTCGACAACAGCCTCTCAGCATAACCTACTGCAAGAAATGGTTTCATGGCCTATATGAACGCTTCAAGCACCCAACGACCCTGCACCCAACGGCAGCTCAGATCTGCGATTTTGGGTCCCGGCGCGCTTCTCGCCAGATCTATTAAAAACGGCCGAGCGTTGGGGCTTCGTAGAGCTTCTCCAGGACAAGCAAACGACCACGAAGTGCTAGCATGTGTTTCTGTGGTTCTTCGCACATCCTTGAAGAGGTCCCTTACTCGCCGTGGCTCAAGCTCAAGTCCTGTCCAGGCTTGGCCGTGTAGGTTTTCAAAATTTCACTCCAAAGCAAAATGAAGCTGGCCTTTGGCGGGCCAATGTGGCACCTTTGGGTGCTGCTCTCTTCCATTGCAGTTCTGCGGCCTTGTGCCAAGAAGCTGCGCTCCAACTATGAAGCAAATGCCCTGACCTTGCGCACCTCGAGGGTGTCGTCGTCACTCTCAGGGGGCGTCAAGGCAGGTCTCATTATGAATGCAGCGGCTTGGCCTTGAGTGGGGAAGGTTTGGGAGGGGGTTTCGATTCAACTTCAGTTTCGACTTTTCAGCCCCAGCCCTGTCAGCTGTCAGGGAGCCACCTGTGACAGTTGCTGCCTGCAAAAGAATCTTCCACTTCCACAAGGCCTGGCCTCATTTCCATCCGGCTGTGTTTGAATTTCGCCCCTTTCTGCCAGGGCGACAGGTCCAGACGCACTTCTGGTTGAAAGACGGTTTTAATCGCAAGCAGAAGAGCAAGGTGCTGACCAACGCCACCGTCATCCAGGCGCGGAAAGCTTCAGAGCCTGTCCGAGTTGTCACAAAGCAGAGTCAGATTTCGTCCAAGACTCCTTGGGGGCGCTTGGAGGCCATCGGCAACGTCGTGGAGCTGAAGCTGGCCAGTTCAGAAGCAGAAGATCTGAAAGTGGGGTCAGCAGTCATGGCCTACTTCAGACGTGGAGCTGGACGCAGCAAGAGCCCACGCCCAGCGGTGGTCAAAGCAGCGACAGATAAGACGGTGAATGTTTCCTTTGGAGCGGCTACGGAAGACACAGTGCCCAGAGCTTGGGTGCTCTCTTCTTGGGCTACCAGCCGCCAGATCGTACCTTCGTCTTGGGTGTCCAAGGCCAGCAAGAAAGGTCTTTCCAGCTACCACGACATGGTCCCTTGCATGGAGCAAGCTGCGTGCACATGGCGGAGGCCTACACCTTCAAATGACTGTGTGCTCTCAGATTGGCAGGCCTGGGGTACCTGCTCAGTCACGTGCGGCATAGGTCAGCAGCGACGCAAGCGGCAGGCACTGCTGCGCAGCAGTTGCCAAGGGCGCCAACTGAAGCTGCACGAAGACCGCTACTGTGTGCAGCCCCAGTGCCCGGACAGCGGCATGTGCCAGATTCCGGGCAGCGCGCTCCTCAAGCTGCGAAACGTCTCCAAGACGGGCAAGGCAAGCAAACCCAAGCTCTTGGCCCTATCTTCAGCTTTGCAGCCTTCTGCGCCTTCGGCGCCTTCTGCGCCCTCGCGGCCTTTGCTGAGTTCTGCTCCGCCGCCCTCGGCGTATGGGGCTCTGTTGGACCTCTTGGCCAAGGGCAGCCGCGGGTCGCTGGAGGAGGAGTTGAAGGCGCTGGGGAAGAAGAGCCCGAACGTTCCCTTGGAGGAGGAGGCGGAGTTCAATGAAGAGACGATCATCGAATGGGCGGAGAAAGGCTCCGGAACTGGTCCTCAGTGTCCGGAAGGCTACTACCTGTGGCGAATTGACGTGGATGAGACCGACAACAAAGTGGGGGGTGCATGCAACCCTTGCGCAGGCTGTGATGCCTGCACCGGCCCCGAGCCCGGTGACTGCATGCTGTGCCCCTTGGACGAGTTCTTGTTCATCGACACGGCCGGGACCTCCAGCTGCGTCAAGGACTGCACCCCCCCCCCCCCCCCCCCCCCCCCCCCCCCCCCCCCCCCCCGCCCCCCCCCGCCCCCCCACCCCGCAACCCCAACTACAAAGAAAAGAAGGAGGGAGGGGGGAGGGAGAGGGAGGGAGAAGGAGAGGGAGGGAGAGGGAGAGGGAGGGAGAGGGAAAGAGGCGATCCCTTCCAAAGAAGCCCGGTCTCGGGGCTCATCAGTTGTGTGGAGGAGAGGGCAGCAAACAAGGGAGAGGGAAGTGAGGCATGAGTGCAAAGAGGGGCTTGTGCCAAGAGAGGCCTGCCCGAAGTGCTTCACCACGTCGGAGATGGGGTACTGCGAGTTCGACCCATCTCAGCGGAACAACTGCGACCACGAAGCCGCCTTTAACCCCAGCATCCGACCTGAAGATCGCGGAGATCCGTCGACCTGCCGAGACCTGGAGAAGTACAAGCCCAAGGAGAAGCGAATTCAGGGGGAAGCCGGGGGGGGGGGGGGGCAGTGCATCGAGCTCACGGTCTTCAGAGCTCTTCTTGTTTGTCATGCTTTCTTCATGGCCCTTTTCCTTTAAATATTTCAGCCGCTGCCAGGAAGGAGCTTCCCAAGTCGCGTTGCTTGAAGTCCACGTTTCAGGCAACATGACGATGCCTGCGACGCGGCCCCGCGGCAAAGGCGGCAAGAGCGGGAAATCGGGTTTGCCCGGTTTGCCCGCCGGGTCTCTGAAGGCCTTCTGGGATCTCATGGAGGACAAAGGCTCGAAGCTGGTCCAGGCGCGCTGTTTTTCTCATTCTTCTTTGAAAAATCTACTCTCACACACACGTGGGGGGACACAGCCCCCTTGGAACGACACGTGGGGAGACAGCCTCCCCCGTTTTGAAGGAGAAGCTCGGGGAAATTGTCGAGGATCTGCAGGATGCGGCGCAGGCGTCCATGCGGGACAAGTTCGAAGACATGTTGAACATCGACACGTTCATGGCTCCTTTGAAGTCGGTCATGGGGGCAGAGGCTTGGCGTGTGGTTCCTCTTTAAGCGAGATTCCATGGCAGAGGTCGCAAAGCAGTCGCAAAGCAAATGTTTCAAACCTGAGCATTGAAGAGCTAGCAGTTGGGGCCCTCAAAGCCGAGGATGCCAGTTCGCCTTCCGATTCCTTGATCGACGTCTTGCTTTCACAGGTGTCTTCGCGACTGCTTCCGGGAGGTGATGGCAGCGACTTCGTAGCCGACGTAGAGGTGCAATTCTCCGCCTTCTTGCAGGAGAAGTTAAGCACGCTTCCGGATCCCGTGAAATCCCGCGGCACCATGATCCTTCGCACCATTACGGCCACTACGTCGATTGAGGTCCAGAAGCTCTGGAAATCAACCGGCCAGCAGCTGCGGGAGAAGGTCGAGGCGCAGGTCAAGCAGCTCGGCGACCAAAGTGAAAAAAAGTCAGCAACTTTTCATTTGGGGAGCTGCAAGCCGGTCTGCACAAGCACCGTTCAGGGTTTCGGGTGGGCGGCAGGTCGACGGGTCATTGCATCCATTCAACGTTCATACCGCGAACATGTAAGAACCCTGACTGCTACGTACAGCATTCCGTGTCGTCGCCAAACATGCTGTACGTGACAGTGCTTGGAGCGGTCGAGTACCCCGAAATGTTGCTATTTATACAGTTGGAGATGGGGTAGTGCATGACAAGGAAGCAGATCCTTCTTAAAGTTCCGAAAGTTCATTTCTCTCCCCTTGGTGTGCTGTGACTTGCCAGCACTGCCAGCGCCAGGGCACAGTTCGCTTGTTGCTCTCAACTTAGGCAAGCTGCCGGCCGCTTGTCGTTGACCGACATGAGCTCTCTGCAGCCAGTCCTGGCCGACGCCGTCGGCGCCGTCAACCAGACCCTGAAGGAGCTAAAAGCGGTGGGAGGAGGGGGGGGGGATATGGGGGGATAGGCGGATTTGTTTATTACATGGCTTTGAGAGAAAGTTTTATTGAGGATCGGTTTTCCAGGAGATGGACCCTGGGACACAGTTCGGCAACCTACTGCCGGCCATCAGCGAGCAGGTCAAGGAGGATCTTGACAGCCAGCTGGAGGTGGGGCAGACTTTTGGGGGAACTCCCTGAAGTGTGTCAAGTTGTCAAGTGACTTGCTTGCAAAGATGTGTCATGCGCTCCTGGGAGCTTAGCATGTTTGATGCAGGAGGCGGGCGTTTCCACGACGGACAAAACGGAGATTCTGTCCAAGACCGAAGACTTGCTTCTAAAGGCCGGTAGCTCTTATAGCACCTCAACCCAATAACAGCGGCAACAAATACAAAAACACCGAACACAAACATTGGAAGAAACCCCTTACAAAAACAAGCGAACAAAAGCAGATCAGTTCTTTAAAGCCAGAAAGACTTGTTGTTGAAGGAGCTCAAAACCAACTCGGCCAATCTCATGGGATCCTTCATGCCGCCGTACCAGCTCGGCAACATCGGGGCCATTGTGAAGGACGTGATTCGAGGACGCTCGGCTTGAAGCCGAAGCTGTCAAAAGCCCCAGTTCTCTCTCCAGAAAGAAAAGAGGGCTCCAAAACCCCTGCGTTGATGGTCTGTGCCAAGGAGTGTCCGAAGCGTGGATGGAGGAAATCACCAAGTCCAGTACCGGTGCTGTGAACACGCTCATCGAGGAGGCAGGAACCGGACTTTCTTTGTCTTTTCTTCCGGGTCGTCACGGAAGAAGCCCCCAGCTGTGTCATGGCGTGTCCTTCAGGCCTTTGGCGTCATTCAAGGCCCTTTGGAAGCATTGGCCGGTCGCGGCGCAGTGATGGTTGGGCTCGACGACAAGGCCGCAGAGTCCTTGACAAGGGCTTTTGTGCTTCAGGTGAAGGGCAGAGTCAGCAACATCGGCCGAGCTTTGGTCCTGGAGATCATGGGCTTCGTTTCCGCTCAGCTGACGGAGCAAACGGAAAGCATCGTCGATGCTTTGGTGGTCGAACCCATGGACGTGCTTCGCCAGGGCTTCGCAACGGGATCTGCCACAACCGTGATTATCGCCAAGGAGGAGTTTGCCAAGGCCAAAGGCGAGAGCTCAAAGAAGGGGACTTCGGGCCCTTCGGGCCCTTCGGGCTTGGGAGAGCTCAAGGATGCCGCCCTCAAGGCCGTGGCCCCCACCATGGAGAAGAGCAAGGTCTGGGTCAAGAATGTCAGCGGCGCAGTGAAAGTCGAGCTGAAGAAGTTTCCGACTGTCCTGAAAACCCAAATGAAGAACCTTACCACGGAGACAAAGGGCTTCTTGCGAGGAAAGCTCTACGAGAGCTTCAAGACACAAATGGTTCAACTGGCCTGTGACGCGCAATCCTTCTTGGTGGAGCGCCTTGCAGAATGGACCGCCAGGCAAATCTCCAGCCTCCTCACATCCGTCAATGATGGGTCGAATGGCCTCGGAACAATCGTGTCAGGCTGGGGGCGCAGCGTGGCGCAGCATCTGGCAATCTCGTAGCGTGTGAGATGCTTCAAAAGAGTTCGCCCTGGACCCACAACCCCCCTTTGTCAGGCGTGCTGAGCTCCACGGAGGAGGGTGCCAACGAGGTCTTTAGACAGATCACGCCCCCAGAAGTGAAGCTGATCGGGCCGGCAAAGGTCGTGTTGGAAGAGTCTGAGTTGGCGGTGAAGGACGCCATCAAAGCTCTCCGTAGCCACGTGCAACAAGGAGAGGCTTGGACCAAGACGATGGCCAAGAATGCCGGGGACGTGATCCAGCGCACGCTGCTGGAGGCACTGCCCGAGTCCGACGCCGGTAAGTGCACGCTGCCCTTCGACAAGAAGAAGGCGGAAGGGTTCGGCAAGACTCTGGCGAGCTTCGTGAGAGGCGCAAAGCAGACTTTCACGAGCTTCAGCTTTAAAAAGCTTCAGACCATTGTGGTGCCGGTGGCATCTCAAGTGGAGAAGCGCGTCAAAGACGAGGTTCGTCAACGTAGGGAACACGTTCAGAAAAGAGCTTTGGAGGAGCTGCAGAAGGAGATCCAGACGCAGGAGACTTTTTCTGTTTGTTTCGGGGGTTGGAGCGGCTGAGAAGGGTCTTTTTCCCCTTTTTGTGCCAAGCAAAACGGGCTGCGGGCATTCTGGGCGGTGGCCAACGGGACATATATGTGCTAGGGGTGGTGTACTGCGGGACGAAGTGACGGGACACATGGCGGCGGCACGGGAATTGGGCTAAACATCTCACAAGGAAAATCACCGAAACTCCGCCAAAATCCGCCAAATCGCCACGAACTCGCGTTCGCCATGTTCTGATTGTCACGAGCTAGAGGAGGGCAGAACCTCGGGCGGCAGTCGGCGCTCGAATTCACGACCAGAGTCTGAACCTGGTACTTAGAACCTCAAAACCCCCGCACCGCGTAGCAAACACGATCCTAAGCCTTCGACCCTCTACATTCTAACTCTGAGCCTTGAAGCTTGAACGACAACCCTCATTCCTGTCGAAAGAGTAAAACACGGGGGAAGGGGAGGGGACGGAAACGGGTCACGGGAGGACCGGGTGGCGTAGGTGCGGAGCAGTGGGGGGTGTGCCTTGGCTTGGAGGCCAGCTGCGCGACGTGACTTTTCGGCTGCTTGAATGCGTTGCGGAGGACGCCGAGGAGGTTGGGGGGACGCTCCTCAGCACCTTCGTGGGGCCCATGTGCGTGGAGTCCTCAGGCTTCTTGTCGGCCTCCGTGTTGGGCCTCCAGGGAGGCCTCGGCCTGGCACCTGACGTCGTCTTGGTGGAGGCAGAGAGGCTGCTGGGCTCCACGGCATCGGCCGTGGCCAAGGTGGCAGAAAACGAGTGTCGTAAGGCCCTCAAGAAGGCTCTCGCCTCCTCCCCCTCGAGCCTGAAGCAGCACCTTTCAAGCATCCAGAAATCTTCGCCCTCCGGCCTCCTGCAGAGCGTGCAACCCGTCATACAAGACCTCTCCGACGCACTCCTTGAAGGGTTGAAGCAGCAGGGTGCCGCTCTTCAGACCAACCTCAAGGAGCAGGTCCAGCAAGCCGCAGAGGCTCAGATCGCCGACGCCGAGGTGAACTTTGAGGAGAAGCTGAGCAAGCAGACCGCGCTCACGGAGGCCCAGAAGGACGAAGTCAGGCGGGAGCCGGGACAAGAGAGCGCTTGTCATAAACTTTACCATTTGCATCGCATAGCAGGAGTTGCGTGCGTAACACATTGCTGTTCAAGCGTTTGTGAGAGCTGGAGCCGGACACAAGCCTCTGAATGATCCACCTAAGACGATAGAGAGTTTTGTCTGCGTGCCTTCGAGAGTTGCTCTCCGTGATGCAGAGTGATGTTTGGCAATCTCCGTCATGCAAAGTTTCGGACGGACCAAGTCGTGTTGCGTCTTTCTGTTTCAGGTCGGCCTGGAAGAAGCTCGTGGGCGCAGTGACCACGCTTCTCCAGGGTGACTTCTCGATGGTCGAGGCTATCAAGGGACAGGCCTCGGACCTGAAGACCTGGGACAAGAAGAAGCTCTCAAGAGCCTTCAAGAAGCACATCTCCACGCTCTGCGAGGAGATGATCCGGCGATTCTTCCAGGACTCCCTTGTTGAGATGAAGTCTCAAATCACCCAGCGCTTCACGGCGCTCGCGGAAGAGCAGCTGGAGAGCTTGGGGATTCCCGGGGAAGTTGTGGAAGAGTTGACGAAGTTTGCGGAGGCGCTTCAGTCCTGGATGGGCGAGCAGAGGGCGAACAAAGGGATCTTCCTTCAAGGGAGCCTCCACTCCACTCATCCTTTCATGCAGAAAGTTCTGGAGAGAATGGAGGGCGAAGGTGTCGCCAAGCTGGCGAGCTCGGCGGAGAGCCTTGTGGGCGAGTTCGGCGTCGGAGATGAAGTGGTTGGGCTGTTCGAGGCCAAGCCTTTGAAGATCAGCGCAAGCGACCTTTCCAAGCTGCTCGCGGGAGCCGGCGGCCCGCTGGCTCTCGCGGGGCAGTTCCTCGCGGCCTTGGGGGAGCCGGGCCCCCCCCTCTGTCCAAAGCACGGCACGCAGATGGAAGCAGACCTGAACACCGTCCAGGAGAAGGCAAACACCCTTCTCAAAAATACCCCAGAGTTCTCACAGAGTTCTCACAGAGTTCTCACAGAGTTCTCACAGAGTTCTCACAGAGTTCTCACAAGCACACCAAGGGGGGGCAAAAGGGGAAGAGTCTCCCCCCTGACCAGGTGGCGGGCTTGGAGACGTCGGCCCTGTTCCAGGTTTTCACGGAGGCGAGAAGCAGGGAACGAGAGGACCAGAAGAGAGGAAGAGAGGAAGGGAGGAAGGGAGGAAGGGAGGACAGGGAGGACAGGGAGGACAGGGAGGACAGGGAGGACAGGGAGGACAGAGAGGACAGAGAGGACAGAGAGGACAGAGAGGACAGAGAGGACAGAGAGGACAGAGAGGACAGAGAGGACAGAAAAGAAGAGATGAGGTAAGAGAGGAGACTGGAGGGAGAGCGGGGAGAGCAGAGGGAGAGCAGGGAGAGGAGGGACTGCTTCAGGCGGCTGACAAGGGCTGCCAGATGCACGAAATCGGCTCCATCGTGAGCGAGAGTCTCGACACAATCAGCTTGGCTGCTGAGGCGGTAGGCCGGTTCGTCAAGATGGCCTCGAAATTGCCGCTTGTGGGCGTGCTGGCAAGAGCGCTGGAGCCGGTCGTGAAGAAAGTCGTCTCGATGCTTGACAAGATCCTCACCAAAGTGCAAGTCTTTCTCGACAAGAAGGTGCTGCCAGTCTTGGACAAGTTCTGCGGCTTCAGCGGAGACCTTCAGGAGAAGCTGGCATACTTGGACAAGGCCATTCCGGCACTGAGATTGGTGGCATTCCCACCCAAGAACGCCGTGGCGGCCAAGAGCATCGGGCAGAGCATGGGCGTCTGCACATGGATGCCAACAGCGACATCAACTCTGGCTCGGGTCTTGACAGCAGTTCTGGACTTGGAGATCATCCCGGCAAGCTTTGTGGAGAAGATCAGGGCGCTGATCGAACGGTTTCCGGATGACATGGTGGACAAGTTCAAGGCGGGGAAGAAGATGTTCGACACCTTCTTGGGGCCGGCGTCTTGCCTGGAATGGTGCTGCCGCGTGACTTCTTCTCACTTCTTGCATCCCCTCCTCAGTCCTCAACCCTCAACCCCCCATTCGTCCTACAGGTCGTAAAGTTCGACAAGGCGCTGAGCAAAACGCATAAGGTTTGCGTCCCACTATTCGGATGCTATTCCTTTACAATGCAGAAGTTGCTTGAAGCACTCGATGGCTTCTTGCGGGATATCTTCGGCTTCGCCCTGACACCCTTTGAGAAGCTGGTTGATCAAGTCACGGCGCCAATCATGGCCCCGATCAACAAGGGAGTCCACGACAGCCTTCCTGACCTTGCTCCCGATGTTCTCGACACCGACATCGACGTCAAAGTAGAGGATGGCGAAGACGAAGACAGCGACATGGGACAGCTTCTCCAGAACGGCTTTGAAGGCTCGGTCCAATGTGTTTTCGAAGTTTGTCAGTGGGCTCCTTGAGAGCTGGGGGGGGTTCGCTCTCTATTTTCAGTTGATTCCTTTGGTGCTTTTCCTCTTTTGCTTCGTACAGGCAAGCTGGAGAACCTCACGACGCACACCGAGAAGGCAGCTGGCTTTTGCTTCGCCTACGGCGCTTCCATCCAAGTCGATGATGCCATTTGCACGGATCTCGCAGCTGCGGTCGGAGAAGTGAGTGCGCCGGTGCAGTGCCAGGACGCGTGCAAAGAGTGCGACGGCTGTCGGCGATGGTCCTTCACAGCTACGGATGCGCCAGTTCCGACGGGGTACTGCCGCTTTGGCGGCCGCGGCGCCATCTACGTGAAGGACACGGCGGGCAGCGTGAGCGGTCCCGTGGAGTGTGAGGACAAGAACACCTTCGGCTCCGTTCCCTGGAGGCCGCTCCCCGTGGCGGGTCTCTGCGCCGACATGGGCATCTTCCCGAATGCCGGCACCGACACCATCTGCAAGCAGGCCTGCCACGCGGACAAGGAGTGCAAGGCCGCCCAGATGGTCTCCGGGACCTGCTACATCGGCCTTGGGAAGAAGGACTGCAAGGGCGCGGAGGTGCAACTCTCGGAGCAGAAGATGCGCTCCCCGAAGGAAGCCCAGCAAACGAAGTGCGATGCTGCGAAAGGCATTTCTGCGGCAGAGGGCGAAGCCTTGTCCGCCTGTGCGGGTGACACGGATTGCCAGGCCCAGGCCTTGCAGGCAGCAGCAGAACGAGAGGGAATCCAAGGAGATGGCGTTGCAGGAGAAGTCCTCGCGCTGTCGCAAAGCAGCTACGTGAAGTTTGTCTGCGAAGTGATGAGCATGGATCTCGACTGCCCGGATATCAATGTTGGGGAGAAGGTGCCAAACTTCGAGGACTGCAAGTCAGACCCCAAATCCAAGACGGCGCTCCTGCAAGCCTCCGCTTTCTCTGCTTTTCCCGGGATGCGAAAGATTGAGTTCAAGACCTGGCGGCCGGAGCTCAACCTTTCTTTCGAGATGCTCGCGTCGAATGCCCCTGAAGAGATCGTCAAGGAGGAGTCCTGCACGAAGGTGCCCGATGGTTAGGAGTATGGTTGAGTGGCAGTCCGATGGTTTTGAGTTGTCTCGCGTCGCGGTCTGAAGCTCGCGTCTTTTCTTAGCTCTTGTGCCTTTGTAGTTGACCCGAGGCATTCGGTGATCAGTGGATGTGTGAGATGCAGGCGCTGGCCACAGGCTGGGCTTCTGTGTGCTACGCTGCTACAAGTTTCCACTGCTTGGTGCGGACATGTGCAGATTCGGACCACGTCACAGTTTTCTCCCCTTCTCAGGCGAGGGAGCTTCAACTGCTGAGCTGGCTCAGCTGTATCAGAGCCGCCTCCACGAGTACTTCATGTCATCCCAGGTGTTCCGCTCGTCGGTTTATTTGGGTACAAAAACTCCTGGTCTCTCCTTCTCTGGCCTCGCTTGTCCCTCTTTTTTTTTTTTTTTGCCAGCTTGCGTAAATGTGATCGCGCCCTTATATGAGGTGGACAAGATGCTGGCGAAGCAGGAGAAGATGCAGGAGGACATCTTGGAGACCCAGAACATGGTGAACCAGCAGGCCGCCCAAACACGCCAGCAACTTGCAGACATGGAGAAGAGGGACGCGAACCGAACCAAAGAGCAAACTCAGCAGCTCGTGGCGAAGATCGACCAGGCGCAGAAGGAACAGAACGCTCGCCTGGCCTACATGATGCAAGCATCCCAGTGCAATGCGGAGTTGCAGACTGAGAAGATGAAGGAGTTCGTCGGCGAGCAGATGGCCCAGCTTCAAGATGCCGTGCTGAGCGGCACCGGTGCACAAATCGACGCTGCCGTGGACAAGCTAACCGATGCCATGAATACGAACCGCTACATCTTGGAAGACCTCATCAAATCCAGCACGGCATCCACACATGATCTGATTAATGAGCGCTTTGGGGAGCTGAACACCAGGCTGGACGCAATGGACGAGTCGCTGGACCAAGTGCAGGACCCCAGCTTTTCACACGATTGACGATGAACCACCTGCCTGTAGGTTTCCAAAGCCCAATGTCGCCCCATGTCACCCGTCATCTGATTCTCCCTGCTGCCAACGCTGCAGGACCTGCTCCACGAAACGCTCAGCCGACTTGACAAGACGGACCAACGCATCGCCGACCTTGCTGCCCAGAGCCAGAGGCAGTTCACCGACCTTCGCTCAGGCCTCCTGGAAATGCCCCGAAATGCCCGGAAAGAATTTGTTGTTGGGTACTTTGCTTTTGGCATCCTTTGGCCTTCGTTTTGCCAGATTTCTTTGGTTCCCAGCCAGGCCAGCAGAAGCAGATGAACGCGCTGCTGGCCGTCGTGCAGAAATTGGACGTGATCGAGGAGAAGGTGGACGACATTCCCCGAACGGTCTCCGGCTGAGGTTCTTACGCCATCTGCGCCCCCTTTTAGGCTAAGGCTAGCACCTGCGAGCTCGCATATTGACTTAAGGTCGTGGAGATGAGGTTCCAAGATTTCATCTACGAGGCCAATCTCTTTGAAGCAGCTGGCTTAAAGTATGAAGACAAAAGTAGCGAAGATGCTCTGATGCGCCCTTGTTAGTTCGAGTCCATCGTGCTGGAGATGAACGGCTTCTTCCAGGACTTTAATGCGATTTCGCAGCAGAGGCATCGGGAGCTGGCCATCGTGAAGTCCTTGCAGCAAGCCTACCGAAGCTGTGGCGCGCCACTGCATGCCGTGACGACTGCTACGAAGCCAGCAGTGGAAATCGTGTGTGGTTCTTTTCTCGTGGTTTGTTACGGAGTTTGCGGATCCATAGCTTTTTCACATGTTTGGAAGAGTTCCTTGCTCCGCACACAGGCTATGGCGAGGGTTGAGAACACCAGCATGGCAGTTACAAGGCAACTTGGTTCCGCTTGGGGCATATAAAAGGGGGGATCACATCCGGCGGTGGGGGTAGGGGGGGGGGGGGAACTGTCAGTCAGAACACATGCCGAGTGACGAATCTGCAGTATGACGGCAGAGGCAACTGCAGCATTCCTTCGCACACTCCGTTGAGAAGTTCTCTCAGATAGCGGCGCTGGCAGTTGAGGGCAAGTTCACGCGGATGCACTTTGACACCATTGTCATGACTGCAGCAATCGTTGAGGACCAGAGCGCCATGTATGGCCGGACCTTTGGAAAGTCGTTGTCGCTGCCACATGCTACTCTCGTAGTCGTAGACATTGAAACGAATGTGTAGAATCTCCGCATGTCAACATGTATTCTTATTCTTACATGTGGGGTTTGGATTTTGTCGATTTCTCTCTGCTGAGAATATTGAGCTGCCACCCCCACCCCCTCCCCACCCTCCCGAGAGCCCTGAGATACCCCAAATATCCGTGCCAGGCGGCTCGCGCGAATCCTGCGCCCAGTCCTGTGGCAAGCGCAAGGTGATGCAGATCAGTCCATGTGATTGGGTTCTCGTTGGGCATACCCTTTTGAGTTGTTCTTGCCTGTTGATGTTTTTCGTGCTGCTTTTTCTGCGTGTCTTGCGTGCTGCACGCCGCCAGCAGATGGCCCAGGCAAGTGCTCCGATGGCTCCTTTCCACAGCGGAGGGTCATGGGCAAGTATCTGTACACTACGGAGGCAGCCCAGATCTTTCACTCGCTCTTGGAAGATGCCCTTGACGGAGTTCCTTTGCAATACACGATCAGCCTCATGAACTACTACTCACAGTTGAAGGTGTTGCTTTCCAAGTTCGCCTCGTGGGACATGCTTGCTGAAGAGCGGTTTGTGCAGCAAATGGAGAAGGCCTTCGAGAAGATTGCCTTCGACTTTGAGTCCCTTCGTAGGCATCATGCCATGAAGGAAACCGATCAGCAGGTCGTCTTGGGTAGTTTGGAGCTGGCGACAGAGTTGCTTGATATTCTCGGTCCCCACTTCAGCCCAGCACCAGCCGAATGCCAGAAGCCAGTGCTCCTGGAGCTGGGACAAGCGGACCTTTCTCGCTTGGTCTACTGGGGACCGGTCCCGCTGAAGTCACCCTCAGGTGCTTCACCAGCATCACGCGTCGCTTCCTTGATCATGCGAAGGCCCTCCAAGCTCCTTCACACCCAGGCTCTGGCCTGGCTCCACGACTTTGACGCGACAGCTTGTTCGCAAATCTCCTACCCCAACATCAAGGACCTGATGGAGAGCAGCTTCATTTGCTGGACCGAAAAAGGCGGCAAAGTGAAGGTGCGCTCGCTTTGCGACCCTGCCGGCTTGGGAGATGTCGTTGACACGAGTGCCTTGCGCTGGGTTGAGAAGGCGAAGAAGGAGTGGTTCAGGGACACGAAGAACAGCAAGCTGGTCACCCCCATCGACGCCATGCTGGTGCGGACCACTCCCTTGGATGCAGACCTCTTCAGGCACAGGGGGGGGCGCTGAGAGAAGTAGCGGCAGGCTTCTTCTCAAAGGCTTGGGTCCCTGGTGTTCTCCCGCTCGTCACAATAGTGTTACCATCAGAATCGGAAAGGCTCAGGCTGAGTACTTGCAGCTGCCTAGACCTGTCAGCTGTTACACTTCTGCAGCTTTTGTGGTCTTCTCGAGGTTCTGGGGGGCCGCAGTGGAGCAGCTTGCTGCAGGGCATTGCGGGAACGGAAAGCTGGACATGATCGAGGAGTGTGATTCTCCAGGTGACGGGGCTTGATCGCACGCTCATGTGCTCTGGTATGTAGTGATGCTCCCCCTTAATAACTTAAAGCTGTAAGCGGTGAGTTGATTCAGGGAGCCCTGTGAACTGGACAGTCCCTGACCGAAAAGCTTGGGAAAGGGTGCCGCAGGCACTTATGCTTGCCAGCTCCGCTGTGTTTTCCGAGAACACTTTCAGGATCTTTCAGGCAGCAACACACACACACACATGCTACCCCACGTTACCCCACTTTACCCCACGCATCCCCACGCGCCGAAATGTGCTCAGCAGCTCAGCAGAGCATCAACATGAAGAAGAAAAGGAAGCTAACGCTGGTGCCGGTATGTGCCCCTCGAGTCCGGCGCCGGGTAGACGCCCGGCTCAGCAAACACAAAGGGGGGGATTTTGTTTTTTCTCTTCTCTCGCCCATTCTGTGCCAAAGCCCGCCGGCAATGCCCTCTGCACCCAGTTGTGCCTGGTACTGGCACGTGACCCAGACACGACCGGCCACCCGCTGCTTGGCCTTGACACTTTCGTGCTATGAGCGCGAGCAGGCACCAACTCAACGGCCGGGGATCATGACCAGCCTGTCTGTGCTTTCTGTACTTTTGACCATCATTCCTTGCAGTTGGGTCTGTTTTTGAGGGAGGGTGTTGTCGGAGTTCTGAAAAAACACGCGCAACCTTGTTTCAACGAAGTCAAGAAGCGAAGCTGCAGGCTCGTGCTCACAAGAGCATGCTTCTGATATCTCTCCCAAGTGTGTTGCGGCGTGTTGCTTGCGTTCTGCCGTTCTGCTGCGCCTGAGGCGAGGGCTGCAAGGACTGCCAGGTGGTCCCGGGCTACGACTGTCCTGTACCGGGCCGGCCGTGCGTGGCCAGGACCGGGGGGGACGAAAGAGAAAAAGAAGATGCAACAAAAAAGCCTCTCTCCCTCCTTCTTTGCCTCCCTCCATCCTTTTTTGTTTCCTTCCTTCCTCTCGCTCTCTCTCTCCCTTTGCCCCCCTCTGCTTGGAGAGGTGCGGCGACCACAAGCCGGTCAAGCACGAGGCTCCCCAAGAGTTGAAACTCAACATCGCTCTGCCATCGTTAACGCCGACAACGCTTCAGTAACAGAAAGTACTGTAGTAACTGGAAAGCCAGGACTGTGATGAGAACAACCTATTCGAGCCTTCGCTGCAAGGGCCATGTGGGCCAATAGTCTCTTTGAAGATTGCCAACAGAGCGCAGCCCGACAGCATCCCAGGAACACGACGGATGCTCGCCAACCTGCCAGCTCGAGTATTGCGGCCGCACACGCATTAGCAAACCTGTGCGGGGAAGGACGCCCGACCTCAGCATGGAGGACACCCGAAGAGCTACAAGTACTGGGGGCCTGAGCTTCGTGCTAGACTTTTAGGGTAGCAAAAGCGTTCCAGGGCAAGAAGGGCAGCACACTGTGAGGACCTCTCGCTGTGCGGGACCCAGCTCCCGGACAGCAGCGCCAAGCTGGACTGCGGGGCCTACCAGGAGCTCACCTTTACCGGCTTCACGAAGAAAGGCCGCTGGGTCCGCCACGACGTGCGGCTCAAGAAGTCCGAGCTTGGAGATGCGACGAAACCGATGCCCACGACAGAACCAATCCATGGCAGCCCATACAAGCTGTGGAGCGATGGGCAAACATTCTCTGTCACGTGTGCCGGAGCTGATACGGCGACGGACTGCCTCTTCGTTGGCATGGCGCTGAACAAATCATCAGAATTTTTCGGAAATCCTTGGCTTGTGCAGAGTCATCACGGAGAAAATAGCAGTCTGGACACCATTGCGACAGTCTTGCACGTGTACGGCCGCAGCTTGCACCCCCTTGGACAATCGGATTTGGAGCAGTGCGACAGTGCCAGCACGAAGCTCGTCATGCTCGATTGTGGCGATGGTCTCGCTACGGACTCAGAGTTCGGTGAACTTCAGACTGAGTACTTAGACTCCGACTCCGAGTGCTTGTTTTGGGGCTTAATGAGCTTCAGCTTGTCGCGAAGTGACGAAAGGGACGGAGCTGCCACTTTGGGGGTTCTTGTCAGGTTACTGGAGATGAGGAGTGTGACCCGCCTGGGAAGGGTTGTGATGCCGAGTGCAAGAACCTCGGCTCTTGACCCTTCTTGTTTCTCTCTTGCCCTCTTCGGGCTCTCTGTGAGCTTGGCTTACTTCATGCGTTTTGCTTCTTCAATGTCACCCAAGGATCATCGACGGCTGGATGTGCGAGCCGAACCTCTGCCAGGAAATCTGTGGAGATGGCCGTGTCGTGGGCGACGAGACGCTGGAACGCAGTCGGAAAGATGCAGCTCTAGGCTATAGGACAGCTATAGATCGCTTATCGGGCCGTTGCTGTGCACCCATGGCTTTTGTCTTGATGCGCCTGTGTCCGAGGGTCTGCGACGATGGCAACTTGCTGGACGACGACTGGTGCGCCGCCGATTGCAGAAGCGGCCGTTCGACGTGCCATGAACTGCAAGAGGCCAAAGCATCCGCGATGCCGGCAGGCCTTCCGAGCCGTTAATTGAGGGATTAGCAGTGATCACAAAGCCATGACTGCAGGCTAGAACGCATGTTCTGCTGGCATGTCCTGCTTGCAGGCTGGTACCAGCTCATGACGGGAAACGGTGCGTCGCAGGCTGTCTACTGCAATCTTGCGGTGGATGTCGGGAGTTGCCAGGCTCTTCTGAAGCGGGAGGCAGCAACAAATGTGACGCTTCCCAGTGGCTGGTACTCGCTCTATACCAGCACCAACACCTCCATCGTGAGCGACGTCGCCGCAGCCGAGGACCAGGGCGTCGAGGTCGTCACTTCCACGGCTTTCGCTTCCGAGGCTTTCGCCAACGCTGCCTGGAAGCTCTCGGGGGCCGCGGCCCTGGCTTGGTCCTCAACGTCCCCTCCCAAAACGTGGCATCTGATGTCCGAGCTCAACGATGGCGACGCTGCGACGGCTTGGGAGCCACAGAAGGCCCCTGGGCTTCAAAAGTTGGCTTCAAGAGACGTTGGCATAGCCAGCATAACCAGCATAGCTATGATGTTTTTTGTTAGCCGGGGCGCAGAGAAAAATCTGTCCACGGCTCTGAGCCCTGAGGAAAGCGGCGTGGACATGGCGCTTCCGAGTGTCAGCCTCGTGCACGGCGTGAGCCTCACCGGCAAATCCTTGAAAAGCGTCACCCTGGAGTTCGCCCACGCCACCACGAGCAAAGGCAAGACCGTCAAGACCTGGACCCGGCTGGCCACGGTTCCTTGGGCCGACTCGGTTGGTTTGGCTCAGCCGGTGACCCAACACTGGAGGCTCAAGGAGCCCGTGCGCACGGCGGAGCTGCGCCTCTCGGCGACAGGTCCGACACCTGCGTTCCATGAAGTTCAGGTCTGGGCCAAGGTCTCCGAGCCCTGGAACATCCTCAGCGATGGCTTCACCACCATGGCCTACTGTAGCTTCAACTACACCAACAGGACGAAACATACTCGTAGGGTTGACAAAAGATCTTTTGAGTGACCCGGCTGTTCTCAGCTCTTCTCAGCTGTTCTGCGACCTGAGAGATCGAGAGATCGAGAGATCGTGAGATCGAGGAGCTATGCAAGTGGCTTCACGGCTGGCGTCATCACCCCCAAGACGCTGCCAAGCTCAGCGGAAGAGTACCGCAAGCTCTGTGCCGAGTCAGGGTATCCCGAGGCTCCGGCAGCCTTTGCTTTTTTGCTTTTGCAGGCCGTTTCAAGCTACCGAAAGTCTGAAACGGACAGCGACTGCTCTGCCACGACAGTACGTTCTTACCACGACACAGTTTTCTGCACAATGACAAGCTTTACAACTGCAGCGACAAGGTTTTTTCTTACACTGACAAGGGTTTAGGGTTCAGCCTGACAAGGATTTAGGGTTTAGCTTGATAAGGGTTTAGGGGTCAATATGCCTGCCTCTTCCCGCTTCGACAAGCAAGTGGTAACACAGGCTTCGGGCTGGGGGGGGGGGCTTGGGGCAAGCAGAAAATGCGGGGAATCACTATTCTAGAGCTTTTGAGGGTGAAAACGCCAAAATGGCGATTCCCCCGCATCGGGGGCGGGGGGTGGGCCTGGGGGGGGGGGGTGGAGCTGGGGCAAGCAGAAAATGCGGGGGAATCACCGTTTTGGAGCTTTTGAGGCTTGAAAATGCCAAAACGGTGATTCAAGCAAAAATACGGGGGAATCACCGTTTTGGAGCTTTTGAGGCTTTGAAAACGCCAAAACGGTGTTCGTGGGGGGCGGGGGGGCTGGGGCAAGCAGAAAATGCGGGGGAATCACCATTTTGAAAACGCCAAAACGATGATTCCCCCCCTTAAGGCTGGGGCAAGCAGAAAATGCGGGGGAATCACCGTTTTGGAGCTTTTGAGGCTTGAAAACGCCAAAACGGTGATTCCCGCATCGGGGCGGGGGGTGGGGCTGGGACAAGCAGAAAATTCGGGGGAATCACCGTTTTTGAGGCTTGAAAACGCCAAAACGGTGATTCCCCCCGCATGGGGGGGGGGGAGGGGCTGGGGCAAGCAGAAAATGCGGGGGAATCACCGTTTTGGAGCTTTTGAGGCTTGAAAACGCCAAAACTGTGATTCCCCCGCATCCGGGGGGGGGGGGGATCGGGTCGTGCGTTTGGCTGGTGGCAGAAGAATAATGCGGGGGATATGCACCGTTTTGGAGCTTTTGAGGCTTTGAAAACGGCCCAAAACGGTGATCCCCCCTGCATCCGTGTGTGGGGGTATGGGGGGGGCTGTGGCAAGCAGAAAATGGGGAGGAATCACGTATTCCGTGGTGGGGGGGTGGGGGGGGGCTGGGGGCAAGACAGAAAATGCGGGGGCAATCACCGTTTGGAGGCTTGATAGCCTTGAAATACGCCCATAAAACGGATTACCCGCATCCGTGGTGGGGGGGGGGGGGAGTGGGGCAAGCAGAAGGGAAATATGCGGGGGAATCACCGTTTTGGAGCTTTTGAGGCTTGAAAACGCCAAAACAGTGATTCCCCCGCATCCGTTGTGGGGGTTGGGGCTGGGGCAAGCAGAAAATGCGGGGGAATCACCGTTTTGGAGCTTTTGAGGCTTGAAAACGCCAAAACGGTGATTCCCCCGCATCCGTGGTGGGGGGCTCGGGCAAGCAGAAAATGCGGGGGAATCACCGTTTTGGAGCTTTTGAGGCTTGAAAACGCCAAAACGGTGATTCCCTGCATTGGGGGGGGCTGGGCTGGGCTGGGCTGGGCTGGGCTGGGGGGGGGAGGCTGGAAAACACCAAAACGGTGATTCCCCCGCATGGGAAAAAAAGGGGGGGCTGGGCTGGGCTGGGCTGGGGGGGGGGGGGCTGGGGCCGGCTGGGGCAAGCAGAAAATGCGGGGGAATCACCGTTTTGGAGCTTCTGAGGCTTGAAAATGAGGTTTGGGTTTCTCCTAACCATAGCGAGGTTTGCATTCCTTGTCGTGTTCAGGTTTCGTTCGCTGTCGTGGTAAGTTTTCTTTCTGTCGTGGTGCCGAAAATTTACTTGTCATGGTGTGAATCCTTTTTCTTGTCGTGGTAGCTACGCCCTCTCTGCAGTGATCCTCCATGATCCCTAGCAGTTCTTAGACCCTAAACCCTAACCCTAAACCCTAAACCCTAAACCCTAAAGTGGTCACCTCCAAGGTAGATCCGCTCCAGTATTTCGGGTACGTCTGTGCGGCGTGTGAGCGGTAGGATCAGAAGTGGTATGCTAGCTCTGCCACCCTAAACCCTAAACCCTAAACCCTAATCCCTAAAGACATCTTACGGAAGACAGGATAGGAATCAGTAGTCATAGTCGTTGCGTTGTTATCCCCAAGCCCCAAGCACTGAGCTCGGGCCCTCCTTGAGTACAATTTGAGTAGAGCTTACCCAAAATCCTAAACCCAAAACCCTAAACCCTGAATTCTAAACCCTTCCTCCCACAAAGGCCAAGGCTACGCCGAATTTCAACGAGCCGCCGGTGTGCCTTGGTCTTGGTACTGCTGCGAACTTCTTTGGGCTCGGGGTCTTTGATTCGTACTAATATGGGGGGGGGGGAGGGAAGTCTGAAATTATGGTTTAGGTTGAGGGTTTAGGTACCTTATTGGGGTCCTTATTATACGGGAAGCCGACTACAGGGGGTCTATGTTAGGGGTCCCCCCTTTTTCGTAAGCCCCCTTAAATATGGAGCGTTTTAACCTGCAGAACGAACGCAGAAAACAACAACCCTAACATCCATGGCCTTCAGCTTAACAAGCAACATTGACCGCTGCTCATATCACGATTATCAGTATTATCCTGATTCTTCCCTAGCCTGGGGTGGGGGGGGGGGGGGGGTGTTAGATTTAAACTAAACTCTTCTCCCGATTCAGGACGGTTAGTATAAGGGGGCACATCACATCCCAAATCATGAATATGACGGGTTTAGGGTTTAGGGTTTAGGGTTTAGGGTTTAGGGTTTAGGGTTTAGGGTTTAGGGTTTCGTGTCAGGCTTCCGGGCTGGGGCGCTTGAGGTTGGGCTTCAATCCGATCACACCGCAGCAACCCCCCCCCCCCAACCCCCCCTTCCCCACGTTCTTGGTCGATCATGTAGAGGCTCCGGAACACAGGGTTTAGGGGTTAGGGTTTCGGGTGCTGGGTTTAGGGTTAGGGTTTAGGGTGCAGGGTTTAGGGTTTAGGGTTTAGGGGCCAAACCCTTTAATTCCAGGAGCTGGCTTCCCGAGCATCGACGTTGCCAATTGCCGCTGGCCTCGAGGCAGAGCGTCGTGGCTTGGGATGTTCAGGGTTTAGGGTTTGGGGTTTAGGGTTTAGGGTTTAGGGTTTAGGGTTTAGGGTTTAGGGTTTCACCCTTGTTATACTAGCAGTCCTCACTAGGGCCTAGAATAGGGGGTACTCTACTCCCCTATTCAGGACTGTTCCTTTCAGGGGGGAACATCCCAAGTACCTTTAGGGACCCAGAGTCGGCCCTTATGTCCTTTCTGTAGGGTTTAGGGTTTAGGGTTTAGGGTTTGGGGTTTAGGGTTTAGGGTTTAGGGTTTAGGGTTTAGGGTTTAGGGTTTAGGGTTTAGGGTTTAGGGTTTATAGGGTTTATAGGGTTTAGGTTCCCAAGCTGGCAGGAGCCCTGGGGTTCTCCTTTCCTTGGGCGCAAGGCTTGAGAGATGAGAGGGCTTGGGCTGGTTTTGCGTAGGTTGGTTGCCCTTGTGTGGTGCTTTGGCGTTGCAAAGCCCGCCCGCGCCTTGTGGCCCGAATCCCACAGTTGACGAAATTCCAAAGGTGCCCCTGCGGTCCATCTCAGGGGTAGCTTTAGCCAGAGCATGGGTCTTGTGCAGGAGACTAGTGCATACATGTGCATCCCTTCAGTGTCGGTTTTGTAGAGACCCAGCGGCCACGGAGCCAAGCAAGCACAAAGCTAAACCCTCAGAGCCTCCTAGGACCCTAAACCCTAACTGTACCCTTCTCCCCCAAAAAACTTAGGGCGCGGGAGCCATGGAACCCCGAACGGTCCAGGAGGCCTATGATCTCCAGGCAATCGCAACGCCGCAGGCGCCTGCGATTCGTGCCCCTGGGTATTATGAGCTGACATACGAAGGTTTAGTGGGGCGCAGTCACTCTTTGGCGAGCGGCTTGGCGGCCCGCTTGGCGCAGTCCCGTGGCTGCGTTGCTCTTTTTGTAGACAGGACGCATCGCGACTTCCTGCCGCTCTGCTTGGCGTGTGCTCGCTGTTACCGGCCCTTTGTCCTGCTCAGTACCGACCTTCCGGACAAGCAGGCAGAAGGTCAGCGCAACTTCGGGGTATACCTGGAAATTCTTTAGCTTTTGTTGGTTCTATCATTCCTCAGAAACAGCTTAAAACTAGAATTTTTGCCAGGGTTCCAAGTTCAGTATAGGCAACTGCTTCCTGTTGGAGACGCTGCGCCCATCCTTGATCGTTACCGACACCGCGGAGCGAATGGCAACGACTCCCAGCGATGGTATGGACTGGATCTCCCTAGAAGATTCGCTTCTGGATGACACCAATTCAGGCCAGCCGCTGACTCTGGTGAAGACGAGTGGATCAGGTGAAGACCCTTCAGAACGCATTTTCTGCTTGATGTGTACAGGAGGGAGCCGTCAGCTCAAGATTGCCAAAGTGTCGCATGTGGTGGTCCTGACGGACGTGCGATATTATCCCAATGTATGCAATCTCCGTCGCCGCCTGGAGGGTGGGCAACCCCGCGTGTTGCAACAACTGCGCAACTACTGGGCCGCGTCGAGTGTAGGGACGCTGAGCCTGTGTTTGGCCTTCGGTGGCTGCGCCGTGGTCACCACCACAGCAGACGCAGCGGAGCTGCGGCGTTTAGTGATCTCAGAGCGAGTGGATGTTGTTGGCATGGTGCCTGATCAGTTGAGGCTCTTGGCTGAGGACCCTTGCAAGGAGCTTCCCTGGATGCGGCTGGTTATGACCTGGGGCGAACGATTTCCAGGGTCTTTGGTCGACCGCTGGCGAGGTCACCCCGGACTGGTTCTGGAGCTCTTTGCCGCGACGGAGTTCTGGCTGGGTTTTGTTGGGCAGCCTGTTGCAGAGTACACCGACCGCGGCGGAGGTGGCTGTCTTCTTCGGTCTGCTGGTTCTCACGTCTCTTACTTGGTTCTGGACGATGCGATGATGCCGGTGCCTGAGGGCGATGTCGGGGAGCTCTTTCTCGCCGGCCCTTTTGTGATTCCAGGCTACGTGGACGAGGCCACCACTGAAGCCAGCTTCCTCTCCATACATGGCCAGCGTTACTACCGCACGCGGGACAGGGTCCTGGTAGCACCTGGCGGAATTATTTACCACTCCCGCGCGGATCACCGAGCCAAGCGTGGAGGTCAGTGGGTCGACCTTGCTGTTACTGAGAAAGCACTGCAGGGCATTGTGGGCATCAAAGAGGTCTGCGCTGTCGAGGACAACAGCGGACTTTGTGCATTCTTGTCCATCGATGCCAGCTGCCTCCGGATCTCTTCCGGGTTGGCCACAGCTGCGAAAGCCATTCGCCGAGTGAGGGAGCTGCTTCCGTCGCGGAGCTTTCTGCAGCTGCTTCCAGAGCTGCCGCGGAATCCCACCGGCAAGATTCACCTTCAGGCGCTGGAGCAGCGCTGGGAAGGGCAGTCGCGTGCGCGCCAGGCCAAGGCAGCCCAGCCGCATTTGCGCCAGAGGCTCCAGGCTGTGTGCTGTCAGCACGCGCTGTGTGGCATCGCTGCCCTCTTCATCGCAGTTGGTGGAGATGCCTTCGGAGCAGGCCTTCGGCAACTCAGCGCGCAAGGCGCGTCCCAGCTTGGCACGACTCAATGGCCTCTCCTTCGAGCACTTGGCATGGCCTACTCCTGGCTAGCCATGGCGCAGCTCTCGCACAGCAGCGTCCGGCTGAACGCCGCTTGGGCATGCTATCAGAGTCTTGAGTTTAAAAAATCGGATGGGTATGGACGGTACATGGCAGTGTTCTCACCCAAACTGGGCAAGGGTTCTGCTAACTTGTATGGGGTATATATATATATATATGGTCGCCCCCCCCCCCCCCCCCAACCTCTAACCCCAATGGACCCACATCGACATGTCCAAGGTTCTCGAGACACTGTACCCTGCCATGCTTTCCCTGTCCACTTCTTTGTGCTTTTTGTGCTTCCTGTGCATTTTTTGTGTTGTTTTTCGTGTTTTTTGTGCTTTGTGTGTTCTTTTGTGCTTTGTTCTGTTTTTTTTTGCACGTTTTGCACTTGTTGCACTTTTTTTACACTTTTTGCACTTGTTGCACTTTTTTGCACTTTTTGCACTTTTTGGTGCTTTTTTTCTAATTGCGCAATATTTTTGCAAATATTTGTCATCTTGAATGTGCTTTTCCAATCCAAAAAATCCAAAAATCCAAAAATCCAAAAATCCAAAAATCCAAAAGTCCAAAAATCCAAAAATCCAAAAATCCCAAAACCCAAAAATCCAAAAGTCCAAAAATCCAAAAGTCCAAAAATCCAAAAATCCAAAGTTCTCCGAACAATCTCCCAGGAAACTTTGGATTTTTGGATTTTTTGGATTGGAAAAGCATATTCAAGAGGACAAATATTTGCAAAAATGTTGCGAAATTAAAAAAGCACCAAAAAGTGCAAAAAGCACAAAAAAGTGCAAAAAAGTACAAAACAAGTGCAAAAGTGCAAACAAGTGCAACAAAAGTGCAACAAAAGTGCAAAAAAAGTGCAAAAAGTGCAAAAAAGTGCAAAAAGTGCAAGAAGTGCAAAAAGTGCAAAAAGTGCAAAAAGTGCAAAACAGCACGAAAAAGCATGAAAAAGCACAAAAAACATAAAAAAGCACAAAACCCAAAAAACGAAAAATCCAAAAGTCCAAAAATCCAAAAATCCGAAGTTCTCCGGACAATCTCCCAGGAAACTTTGGATTTTTGGATTTTTGGGTTTTTTTATTTTTGGATTTTTGGATTTTTGGATTTTTGGATTTTTGGGTTTTTGGATTTTTGGATTTTTGGATTTTTGGGTTTTTGGGTTTTTGGATTTTTGGATTTTGGATTTTTGGACTTTTGGACTTTTGGACTTCTTTTCCATTTCGCGGTTGGTCCATTGGGACAGTTCACTAGCCCTGTATTGGACCCAAGCCCTATTACTGTCTTGAAATCTTCTGCTCAACCTCTTGTTGGCTTTTCGAGTAGGATGTTTTCAAAACCTTATTGGCTTCTTGAACAGGCTACTTAGATTTTTTGATACAGTTTTCAATCGAGTAGTTAAGACGCTAATGCGATTCGAGCAGGCTTTGCTGCAATAATCACAGGGGGCAATGCAATATTAATAGCTTGAATTAACAGATCAGAAGAACTAAATCGTTATCGCAAAGAAAGGGTGTTCATGAGATATAGGCTTTTTCTTAAACAGCAGGTACTGTGATCCCAGAATGGTTCTTATTGAAAAAAAGGATATTTCAGCTTCTTTCAAATGCAAAAGTCGATATTTGCACATATAGGCCTTCTTTGTTAAAGCCTCCTTGGCAAAGGCCTGTGCATAACCCATGTACGTGCTTTTCTCAGTGATTTGAATAGGCAAGACTTTACCTGGTCCTCATATACAGAAACATCATATTCAAAATGTTATTGAATATGCTATTTAGTTGTGCGATGAATGTAGTGTTCACGTTTCGAGTAGGTAGGACGCATTTGAAATTCTGATAAGGGTACATTTGAATGCTCGCCCTCCTTTCATTCAAAAAAAGGAGAACGAATATCAGCCAACCTCGAATGTGAAAAATCATCAAAAATCCAAAAGTCCAAAAATCCAAAAATCCAAAGTTTCCTGGGAGATTGTCCGGAGAACTTTGGATTTTTGGATTTTTGGATTTTTGGTTTTTTTGTTTTTTGGATTTTTGGATTTCTATGCATAAGACAAGCATAGAAAAAAAAGCACAGTATATGAAAATAATGCAAAAAAACCAAAAAAAAGTGCAAAAGTGCGAAAAGCCCAAAAAGTGTAAAAAGCCAAAAAGTGCAAAAGTGCAAAAAAGCAAAACAAGTGCAAAAGTGCAAAAAACACCAGAAAAGTGCAACAATGCACGAAATGCACAAAAAGCACAAGAAATAAGGCAAAACACGCAAGAAAACACAAAGCACAACAAAAACAACTAGTTTTTTCCTGTCCTTTTCATTTCGCGGTTGGTCCATTGGGGGGGGTGAGCATATATATATATATATATTGTGCTCAAGCCACCAAGCCCCACAGATCCAAAAAGAATATCACCTTTCCGAGGCATTCTTGAATTCTCTTCCTATGACGAGGCGCCAGGGCTTACAGAGCTGAGCTGCCGTCACCGCACCTGCAGGGGTTTCCTGCGTGTACTGGGAGCGGGCTTGTGAGAGACCGTAGCCAGCACACTCACCACCACCTCGGCCACCTGAAGCAGTGGCAGGCTATTGAGAGGGTACAGGATGCAAGTTCTATGGCTTCCGGGATGGCTGAGGGGGAGGGGGGGGGGGGGGTGGGGGGCGGCGGGGGAGGGAGGCGGGGGGCGGCGGAAAGAAGGGGCGTTGTGGTTTAGAGTTTTTTGTGCACGGGGCTCCGTAGAGACTCAGTCAGAAAAGACGACAGGATGGGCTTCATACTGACAGTGCATCTTCTTCCTGCGCACTGGTTGCGGCTTCTGCCCCTTTGGCCAGGAGTACTTACATACTCGTACCATACTTCTTGAGGATGTACAAGAATAAGTTACTGCATGATATATCATAATTCACAATTACATTTCGATCATAGTAGTTATTCGTATGTAAGATAGAGTATTTCATCTACAACACGCAGTATTGGTCGCGTTGCAGTCATGAGAGGAGCTTGAATGCTTAGGGCGGCCAGCCAGTTCGGTTGAAAAGTCCCTTGCTATCATGTTTGCCGTGGTCGATCGCACCCCGAAGCCCTACAAGTACGTATCATGCCCTCGTCATCAAAACACGGCTAAAACACGCCCCTCGTCGGAGGAGTGCCGGCTTTAGGGCCCTAATCCCTAAACCCGAAACCACAGCTTAAATTTTAGGGTGCGTGAGCAGAAGAAAATTCTCAAACCGCAGTCTCCGAAATCCCAAGAACTGAACCAGCCTAAGGGATTCAAAGGGTTGCCCGAAACTCTTTACCGAAAGTCTCTCAGGTTGGCAAGCATTGGCGCCGCGGTGGCCGCGCGCCGTCGTCGACTCGCGGCCTGGCCTTTGGTCTTCTGGCTTGGTGTCGGCACACAGCTCCACTACGAAGTGTGCCAGGCCTCCGCGAGGGTCTGGGCGGCCGTGCTGAGGCTCTTGGGAGATGGCGCGGATGAGGCAAGCTGCCTGGAAATGGTGGCCTTCGAGAATGCCAGCGCTGCCGCCTCGCCAGTTCGGACAAAGTTCTCGAACGAGACAGCAGAAGTGGTTTTCTCCGAGTCCGATTCGGACCGGGCTCTGCAGACCTTCCGCATCCGCCCTGATGGCCCTGATGGGCCTGATGGCGCGGCGGAGCGCGGCGAGCGACGAAACACCGCGACGCTCTCGCCCTTGGAGCATCGAGCCTTTGAGCTGCTCCAGCAGATCCTCCCTGTGGCTGACGTAAACGACCCACTGACGCTGGACAGCCTCCGGGCTGGTTGGCTCACCGGTGCATTTCAGAGCCTCGGGAAGGCGGTGGACGCGGCAGCGGTTCAACAGGCTGCCAGCGTGAGCACCCTTCTGTCTTTGGTGAAGGCTGCCCCAGCTTTGCCTGCATCCGCCCCGGAACCGAAAACCGCCGAGTACATCCTCTTCATCAAGCCGAACCATTTCTCGCAGCCCCTGTTGTGGTTGGCACGGACAGAGAGGGCAATCGATGCTGCCACGCTGCGCGGCGCTGTGAAGGAGCTGGTGTGCTGCCACCCAGGCCTCCGAGCTCGCAATGCCGATCCCATCGCCCTTCGTAACTTTGTGCGTAACTGCGCCTCCCTGCTGATGATGGTGATGTCGAAGTCGAGGCTCAGTTCTCTCCTGGGAGGCACCTTGTTGAGATGCTGGCCGAGGGTGGTGGTGGCGCCGGCTGATGGCACTGTTGGCACTGTTGGCCGCTTCCAGGTCTTCCAAGTTCAGGGCCAGGATGACCTCGAGCACCGGGTGCAGAGCGGTTGGCAGTTTCACACCTGGCAGCGGGAGCCATTTGAGATTTGGCTGCTGCAGCTCAGCGTGGCGCTGGAGGGCGCGTGGGATTGCGATGGTGGACAAGTCCGCGTCACCCGAAACGAGGATGGAGAACTCATCTATGTCGACTCAGTTCACTTGAAGGGGCAAGTGGTCCTGCGCACACCTGAGCATCCCTTGAGCCCAGCACCGCCCACATCATTTCGGCCCCTCTATTCTGGGCATCTTGATGGTGCATCAGTGTGGCTGCGGATCTCTTCTCCTGGCAACATGCAGGTCTGCCTGCAACGCACGCCGGAGTCGGAGATGCACACCTTCGCAGTCACCAGGCTGCCCCAACCAGGCGATCCTGTTCACAAGGTGAATTTCGTGCTGTTTCTTTGCCTTCACACCATCGCAGATGGCTACAGCTTTTCGGCTTTCGCCGCAGACCTCTTTGACATCTATGAGGCTCTGGCGAAGAAGACCCTTGAGATGCCACCGGCCAAGAACGACGAGTTGAGCATTCTGGAGAGTCGCGTGAAGGAGGCACTCTTCCAATCCGACGATCCCATGCGGCACTCCCTTCGCGGGAATCTCTGGGGCATCACCTGCAGAGGGTACACTTGCGGCCTCGTGATCCAAGGACGCACCCTGTTGGTTCTCAAGGCAGTGGCCCAGAGTTATGCCGTGCCGATGAACCACCTCTTGCTGACCTTGGTTTCCGTGGCCAAAGCCCGAGCCAGCGCCTGCTCGGAGGTGGACCTGACAATGTATGTCCCAATGCGAGACGGCTTGGAAGCTGGGATGGCGGGTCTTTTTGCTGACTGGCGCGACATTTGCGTACCAACGGCCTTGGCCGACAGTACGATCCTCGGCGTGCTGCTGCACGTGACGGACATCCTCAGGATGCGCCGCTGGACTATCTACGATGCGCGCCGAAAGCCAGAGCAGATTTTGGTGAACTTCGACTCGATCGATGATCGGCGCTATGGGGCTGGCATTCGCCAGGTGCCCGAGGCGATGTGGACGCAGCCCTGGTTCGACTTTTCCAGCAAATGGCTAAGCGTGCCCTTGCAGTTCGACATGTGGGAAGAGCACCAGGATCGATGGTGCATGGCTGCGCGAATGTCCTACAAGATGTACCCACCATGCTGGTGCAGTCGCTTCCTGCAGGCGTTTCAGGATGCGACATGGGATGTGGTTTTTCAGCCATTGGAGCCTGTCCACAAGCCGTTCGCAGACTCCTGATGGGAGAATGTTATGTGGCCCTCCTTTCAACACACCGTACCTGTAATGAATATACCTACTGAGGTGAGAAATTCAAGATTCAGGCTCCAGACACCCGACCCTGAGTGTTGACACTTCGCAAGGCTCCACAAGGAGCGCCGACTCGTGAGAGAGTTCCAGTAAAGGCTTGAACTTGATGTGAACCCTGAACCCTAAACCCTAAACCCTAAACCCTTGGAGTTGCCAGCATGCAATTGCGGCCGAAGGAGGCTGAAGGAGACAGACATGGCCATGTCTCCTCAGAAGAAGCTCCCAATGTGCACCCTGCCGGTAGCTTCCAAAAAGGTGTGAGTCTTGGGGACGCCCTCTCGCCTCCTTCTTTCCCCTTCTTTCCCTTTCTTTCCCCTTCTCTCCCCTTCCTCCTTCCTTTCCCCTTCTTTCTTCCCTCCCTTCCCCTCCCGATCCCCTGTAGACCAAAAGGGTGCCCTTCTTATTCCTAGATTACTCTTGGGCCTAGGGCATTGCCTCTTGCGGAGTTACCCTATAAACCTTAGACTCTTGTGGAGTTACCCTATAAACCTTAGACTTAATTCTAACTCAACAAACTGTTATCCAAGTTGTGTGCCTTTGGGGTTCCTACTGCATGTCTGGCGGAACTCTGCTTTCTGATGCTCTGGGGCCCGAAGATCATGCCAAATAAGGTTTCTGGGCTAGTTAGGTCACTCTTTAGACTTATGCAAGCATCCTGAGTCCCCATCCAGACTCAAGGCACAAGGTCTCCAGAAATCGTGGGCACGTGCGTGCGGGGTCCCGTTTCCGGATCATTGGATGTCATTGGGAAGCTTGCCCTTGCTGGAGCCCTGCAGCTACCCTAAACCCTAAACCCCAAACCCTAAAGCCTAAACCCAGCTCTTGGCACCCTTCAGGAGGCTGAGCAGAGGTCTTTCGAGGCGCTCCTCGACGACGTGATGACGGGTCGCTTTCGCAGCATGAGAAAAGCATGTCGCAGGTCTGTGCCGTACTTGATCTCGGTAGTGGTGTGGGTGTCAAACATCTCCCTCTCGTTGGGTCAGGGGTTTCTGGTAAACATTTTTTCAGATGGCTCAAACGCGCTGGCCTGTCCTGGGTTGACTTCTGTAGACAGTATATGTATATATATATTTTTTTTTTTTGTTTTTCAGCCTTCCGTGGCAAGCCACCTTTCACACCCCCTGCGCATGCTTTACACAGGCAGCAAGCAAGAGCTACATGGCTTTGATTTCTGTGGCACTCATAATGCCAGATTTCCTTTTCTGCAGCACTTGCTTGCAACGTCGCAAGCATGTTACGAAAAACAAAGAAAACTCCTCGTGGCATTGGTGCCCGTGGCGTGGCCCCCAAAGCATATCCCTCGTGGCGATTGCAAATTAACTCGGAGGTGCCTCGTCTACTTTCAGACGCAGCAAAGCGAAAGCCCAAGCCATGCCCCTAACAGGCAGAACGAGAGGGTTTAGGGTTTAGGGTTTAGGGTTTAGGGGTTAGGGTTCAAGGTATGCTTGCCGCTCCGCTCGACCTGGGGCGGTTCTCGGCGCACGGGCGAGCACTGATCGCAAGGAGCAAAGTCTGTCAGATGATCTCCAAGGTGGCTGGGTGTTGATTTGCGGGTTTGGGTCCAGACTTCACCCTGAACCCTAAACCCTAAACCCTAAACCCTAAACCCTAAACCTTGAGGTTAATTAGCCTCGGGTAGGGACCGCGCCCTCACTAGTTCACGATACATGTAAGCCCAAGGCCCGGCCAAACTACGAGCTACGACTCGCTGCGCGTAACCCTCTTGGACCTCTCAACCTGATGACGTATGGTTTTGGGGTCTAGGGTTGAGGGTTTAGGGTTTAGGTTTAGGGTTTAGGGGTCTTTGGCATGACCGACATGATCGTCTCAATGTGCTGGCTGCTTGCTGCAAGCTGCGAGACTCCTGAGCGCCCAAGGAGCAGAACCCTAAGCCCTAAACCCTAAACCCTAAACCCTAAACCCTAAACCCTAAACCCCGGGGCGGCCCGGGAAGAAACCGAATGCCGGATGACGAGTCGAGAGAAGTGAGGATGTGGACAACGCAAAGTTCTGGAAAGTCAGCCTGCGGTCCGAGAAGCTGCACGAACGTCCCGGCGGTCTTTGGGGTTTAGGGTTTAGGGTTTAGGGTTTAGGGTTTAGGGTTTAGGGTTTAGGGTTTAGGGTTTAGGGCTTTTAGGGTTTAGGGTTTAGGGTTGCAAAGCCGGATTGGCGACTTGCAGTCCACGGCGGCTCAAGTCAATTGGCCACCAGGACCCCGCAAAGACGCAGCGTCGAACGCTGGAGAACTGGGTATAGGGTTTAGGGTTTAGGGTTTCGGGTTCTGTTTGCATGGCCGGCGAGCTCAGCAAGCTTTTTATAGTTGGTTTGGGGCTCTGAGCATTCTTGAGCAAGACGCTTTGCATGTCAAGCTCGCAAAGCGCACCTTGAAAGTTAAGAAACGCACATGAGACTTTTTATTAGGGTTTAGGGTTTAGGGTTTAAGGCTTCGAAGTTGATTTCGACGGCTCAGGTCATGGCACAGCCAAATAAGCATCGGCAGAACATTATCGCCGACCTCATGAAGGACTCTGAAGAAGGCAAAGGCTTCACGGAGGAGGACAGATCTGCAGACCCCCCCTTTGGAAGTTGTTCTTAGTAGGACATGAGGGAATGAGGGCCCTATACATATATGTATATATATATATGTGTGTGCTATATACATATGCATATATATATATATATATTTATTTATTTTTTTTTATTTATTTATACCCTTTAGGGGATTACATAGTATGTACAGCTCCTTCCCTTCCCTCCTTCCCTCCTTCCCTCCTTCCCTCCTTCCCTCCTTCCCTCATTCCCTCATTCCCTCATTCCCTACTAAGAACCAGGCGGAGATAGGCCTGGGGGGTGATATTAGGGTTTAGGGTTTAGGGGTGCACCCACATGTGCGGGAGACGGATCTGTAGAGCCTTTACAGAGCAGTTGTCGTCTTGGCACCAACAGAAATCTCAACCCTAAACCCTAAACCAGAGGAGATTTCAGACACGGTCTTCACCCTCCTCATCGCCGGGAAGCTCACCACTGCAGACGCCTTGCCATGCTTGCTGGTGCAGCCACTTTGCAAGCACAGTGAAGTGCTGATGAGCACACAGTCCCAAGAGTCGCAGTGTAGCACTCAGGATTAGGGCCGGCTTTACCTGCACATGCGGAGAACTCTACAGTTTTGGTAGCCCAGTGGTACCCTTTGCCCCTTTTGCGGGTATTTAAAGGTCCCCCTTTTGAAGTAACCAACACCAACAATGGGTACGGGTTATTGTAATATCCCTAAACCCTAAACCCTAAACCCTAAACCATATGGCTGCTGGACTACCAAGTAGAGCGAGAACCCTCGGGTCGCTCTGAAAAAAGGCTGCTTTGCAGTGATCAAGTTGGTCTGTTGACCTAGGCATTTGCATGCCTGCCTGCATCTCATGCAGCCATGTATGCTATACCATATCTATCTCTACATATATCTATATATATATATGCATATGTATAAATATATATATATATATATATTGTATATCTATGTGTAAGAAAATATCAGTTGTTTTTTGAATTTGTGGTCTACTGCCTTGCCAACAAGCTGGACCATGAGGCTGTTCAAGCACACGAGCTGGATACAGCGCGTCGCTGCAGAGAACCTTGAGATGAAGAGCCCTGAGGACGCCTGCTGTGTTAGGGCTGTTGGGGTAGGGTTTGGGGATTAGGGTTTAGGGTTTAGGGTTTAGGGTTCAGGCAGGGGGTCCGAGGGTTGTCATTCCATGACGGAGCATGGGGGGTCGATATCCAAATGCGCCGCCGATCCCTGTTCCAAGGCTTCCCTCCTGAGTCTGTAAGACAACCCCAGGTCCTAGACCCTGAACCCTAAAATTTAAGAGCCTCCGGCTCAAGCCGCCGACTCCGCTGGAGCATAGTTGAAAGGTTTAAACGCGCTCGTCAGCTCAAAGGATCCTCTGTGAAACGTTTGGGGGGGGGGGGGGGTAGGGGGTAGCACCAGGACCCAAACAGGAGCTGAAGCCAGCTTGAAGGAGGGCAGGCCCCATCATTCAACCCCAACAACCTGACCACTGGAAGGGGGGGGGGGGGTAGAAGGGGGGCAAGGGGGGGAGGGGGGGAAAGGGGGGGGGGGGGGTGGGGTTGGGTGGGGTCGGGGGGAAGGGGGTTGGGGGGGGAAGGGGGGGGGTGGGTCGGGGGGGGGGGGGGGGGGGAGGGGTTGGGCATAGAGGAAAAAGCCAAGCCCAGCAACTGGGGGTTTTTTCACAAAGGACCCCTATGTTTTCACCTCCTTTTCCCATCCAACACGCCGCCAGGGTCGGCGGACCCTAAAACCCCAAAACCCAAAACCCCAAAACCCTAAACCCTAAAGCCCTAAATCCCTAAAACCCCAAACCCCAAAAGACCCTTCCAAGCCGCAGGAGGACTCGGTGACCCTGCGGGTCGTGAAAGAGTCGCTGCGCCTCAAGCCACCCGCAGGTGCAATCCGGCGGGTGAACCGCCAGAAGGATCGACACATGGGCTGGTCATGTAAACAAATAGAGAGTATATCAAAATAAGAGTAGCAAGAATAATGTAATTTTTGTGATATATATATATATGTGGCAGGAACCTTTATGTATGATATGACCTTTTAATTGTTCTCCACACACAACACACCCACACACGCACACTTTGTTCCTTTCTTCTAGACGAGATCGTTGCAAAAGGGGGTTCCCCCCCTAGAGCAGGGTTGAGCCCGCTCATTCCTTCCATTTTGCCTTCTTCATCCTCCGTCTCCTCTTCAACCTCTTCTTTGGCTTTTTCTTACAAAGGAGACAGGAAAAGCAAATGGCAGACTCCAGTAATTCTCCCTCTGTTGCCTTCTTTCTCGTGTTCCGACGTCTTCTGTTCCGTCTTCTATTCGAGTAGATTGAAGGGAATATGTCGGTAAAAGGTGTTCACCCTCCCGCAGCCTCTTCTTTGGCTGTGTTCTTACAAAGGAGAAAGGATAAAATGCAAGAAGATGAGTCAAAATAAGACAGGTCAAAAAGAAGCAAACTGACGATCAGAGAGAGGGAAGAAAAAATTGTTTTGTGAGTTGCAGAAAGGGGCTCCCTCTTTTCCTGGAGCAGGGTTGATTTCCTGTGTTCGCTCTCATTTGCTTTCTTTCTCTCCTGCGTGCCTATGTCTTCTGTTCATGGTTTGAGGAGATTCAAAGGGACAGATAAGAAAGGCGAAAAAGGTTTCCCTGTCCCTTTCGCTGTCCTTGATCTTAAGAATCTTGTCTTTTCTCAGTCAGCAAGAGAGGAAGACACAGTAGAAGGGAAACAGCAAGGAACGCTTGAAAAAAACAACGGATACATAAGAGGAAGAAGAAGAAACTCCCTCTCCTCTCTTCTCGATCTTGTTCAGCTCTCTTCTTGCAGATCATCTCCTACCTTCATCCTTCGCATTCTCTCTCCTCTCTCTCTCTCTCTCTCTCTCTCTCTCTCTCTCTCTCTCTCTCTCTCTCTCTCTTCTTTGTTCCTTTCTTCCAGACGAGAAGCAAATGGATAAGACGAGATGGAAAGAGACCTTCTTTGCTTCGCTGCAGATTGTGGGAAGAAAACAATGAGTTTAGAATCCAACAGTAGACTGCTTGGGGAACAAGGCTTCCCTTTGCTCTTTTTGTGAAAGTCGGGCGTGCGAAGAAATTCCCCCTCCCCTCTTATCCCTGTTCTATAGTCTATCTCGTTACAGAAAGACAAATACATATACAAGGCGCCAATTTCAGTCACTACTCATCCTGCCACGTCTTTCTTTTCCCACGCTTTTCTTACAGCAGGAAAACGGAACATGCAAGAATGCACATGAATCTCGCCACCATCATCCTCGCTCGTCTCTCTTATCTCCCTTCTCTCTTCTTTGTTGCCCACCCTCGGTGTGGGGTTGTTTGATTTTGACCTCAACTCTTCTCCTTGCCCGGGACTCTTCTCCTCGCCCGGAACTCTTCTCCTCGCCCGGTCTACTCCTCGCTCATCCCTGGAGCGCCCAACCTCAAAGTGTCCCTGGAGTGCCCAACTCTAGAGTGGCCCTGGAGTGCCCAACCCCAGACAACCCCAGCCCAGCCCCAGAGTCTCCCTAGGGCGCCCAACCCCACCGTTTCCAGGAGTGCCCAGCCCAGAGTCTCCAACCCCAGAGTTTCTGGAGGCCCAACCCCAGAGGCCCAACCCCAGTGCCCAAACCCAGAGTCTCCCTGAAGCCCAAACCAGTGTCTCCCTCGAGAGCCCAGCCCCAGAGTGTTGCTGGAGTGCCCAACCCCAGAGTATCTCTACCAAGAGAGGGTGGGGATGTTCGAAGCCAAATATTTTCTTACACACGTGACAAATGAATACACAAGAGGACAAGGAAAAGAGAAGTTAATGGACGGGAAAAGAGGGGAGGATGGATTGCTTTTGTTCGTGGCAAGAAGGGAGGCCGCTGAGTGCCCTTACACCCTCTCTTTGCTTTCTTTCTCTCCTGCATTCCCAGGTCTTCTGTTCTTTTTTGCTTAGGAAACTCAAGGGAACTGCAAAAAAAAGAGGAAGACGCTTTCCGTGTCCCTTTTCGTTGCCCTTGCTCTTTTCTTTTCTCATTCAGCGAGAGAGGAAGAGACTGCAGGGGGGAAACAATAAAGAATGGACAAAAGTAGGAAGAAGTTTTCCTTGTACCTTGTCGTTGCCCTTGCTCTCTTCTTTTCTCGTTCAGCGAGAGAGGAAGAGATTGTAGGATGAAAACAGCAAAGAATGAACCAGAGTGCTTCTCTCTATTATCTTATTGAGAAGAATGAGCGCATAAGACTGGGAGGAAACGCACTCCTCGCTTTTCCGTCTGCTTTGGCTCTTTTCTTGCATACGAAACAAATGAATACACAAAAAGACATGAAGAGACAACTGGGAGAAAACGACAAGGAGCTGACCCGAGTGCTTGTCTTCTCTTACGGGCAAAATAAGACAGGTCAAAAAGAAGCAAACTGACGATCAGAGAGAGGGAAGAAAAAATTGTTTTGTGAGTTGCAGAAAGGGGCTCCCTCTTTTCCTGGAGCAGGGTTGATTTCCTGTGTTCGCTCTAATTTGCTTTCTTTCTCTCATGCGTGCCTATGTCTTCTGTTCATGGTTTGAGGAGATTCAAAGGGACAGATAAGAAAGGCGAAAAAGGTTTCCCTGTCCCTTTCGCTGTCCTTGATCTTAAGAATCTTGTCTTTTCTCAGTCAGCAAGAGAGGAAGACACAGTAGAAGGGAAACAGCAAGGAACGCTTGAAAAAAAAACAACGGATACATAAGCGGAAGAAGAAGAAACTCCCTCTCCTCTCTTCTCGATCTTGTTCAGCTCTCTTCTTGCAGATCATCTCCTACCTTCATCCTTCGCATTCTCTCTCTTCTCTCTCTCTCTCTCTCTCTCTCTCTCTCTCTCTCTCTCTCTCTCTCTCTCTCTCTCTCTCTCTCTCTCTCTCTCTCTCTCTCTCTCTCTCTCTCTCTCCTTTGCCCGACTTTCACAAAAAGAGCAAAGGGAAACCTTGTTCCCCAAGCAGTCTACTGTTGGATTCTAAACCCATTGTTTTCTTCCCACAATCTGCAGCGAAGCAAAGAATGTCTCTTTCCATCTTGTCTTCTCCATTTGCTTCTCGTCTGGAAGAAAGGAATACGACAGGGCGAAGAAATTCCCTCTGCCCTCTTATCCCTGTTCTGTAGTCTATCTCGTTACAGAAAGACAAATACATATGCAAGGCGCCAATTTCACTCACTACTCATCCTGCATCGTCTTTGTTTTCCCACTTCTTTAGCGCTTTTCTTACAGCAGGAAAACTGAACATGCAAGAATACACATGAATCTCGCCACCATCATCCTCTCTCGTCTCTCTTATCTCTCCTCTCTCTTCTTTGCTTTCTTTTACACGTGACAAATGAATACACAAGAGGACAAGGAAAGGAGAAGTTAATGGACGGGAAAAGAGGGGAGGATGGATTGTTTTTGTTCGTGGCAAGAAGGGAGGCCGCTGAGTGCCCTTACACCCTCTCTTTGCTTTCTTTCTCTCCTGCATTCCCAGGTCTTCTGTTCTTTTTTGCTTAGGAAACTCAAGGGAACTGCTAAAGAAACGAAGAAGAAGTTCTCCTTGTCCCTTTTCGGTGGCCTTGCTCTTTTCTTTTCTCATTCAGCGAGAGAGGAAGAGACTGCACAACAAAGAATGGACAAGAGCGCTTCTCTTTTATCTTATTCAGAAAATGGATAGGTCAGAGGAGGAAGAAACCCCCCCTGTCCTCAGTCTCCATGTCTTCTCTTCTTTTCTCTTCTCTTCTTTACGTGTTCCTCTCATCAAAGCGTGCAAAGGAAACTCCATTCGCACCCTTTCCTTTCTGTCTTCTTCAAAGGAAAAGCGGAAGGCAAGGCACAAACCGAAGACAGAAGAACAAACGATCAGAAGAAGGAAACATTATATAGACTGAAAAGGCTATCCTTCTTGTTTCTCATTGCTTTTCCATCGCTCTCTTCTCTCTTCAATTCTATCCAGATATTTTTTTTTCCTTTTGACGAGGAAAATGGGAAGAGAAGGTCCTTTCTCTTCGTCCCTCGTGTTCTTTCCAAAAAACGAAGAGTATATGCGTTGTGTGAAAAGGTAGAATTTCTAACGCGTCGCACAGGTACATAGGATGTATGTGTTGGTTCGGGGGGCGAAGTCAGCCGCTGCGTTTTTGGGGTTTTACATGCTGCGACTTCCCGCCCCTGCTAAACCCAAGAGGGTTAAGAATTAAAGGTTTAGGGTTTAGATTTAGGCATGTAAACCTAAGCCCATAAAGTTTAAACCTTAAGGGTTTAAGATTTAGGTATTGAGACCTTAACCCTATACCATTTAGGTTCGTATTTCGGCGAACCTTTAATCCCTATAGGGTTAAGATTTAAAGGTTTAGGGTTTAAGATTTAGGCATGTAAAACTAAGCCCATAGAGAAACCCTATAGGGCTCTAAAGGGTTCAAAGGTTTTTAACCGTATAGGCGCTAAGGTATAAATGCCCAGACCTTAGGCAGGTGTTTAAACCTTTACACCTTATAGGGTTTGCAGGTCCAGGGGTTTTAAGGGTTTACCTCTAAAGCTTTCACGGGGTTAGCCCAACAACTGCGTATGTCTGTATGTACGTATGTACGTATGTACGTATGTACGTATGTACGTATGTATGTATGTCAGTATGACACCCTATAGGATTAAAGGATCTCGTGTTTCAGTTTTCAGCGTTACCTATAGGAATTGAACCTTGCCTGTGTTTGTAGTGCTTGCCTCCTGTGGAAACGCAGAGAAAAAGCAGAATAAGTACACACATCATGTGTTTTTGCATATCAAAGACAGATATTTAATGGAGAAGGAAGGATGGTAAGCCTCGAACCATAAGACTAGGAAGTTTTCGAGCGCATAGGGTGATGCATAAAACCTTTTGCTGCAACCCCCGGGGACGCGAGAATACTGTGAGCAAATATCCTTTCACTATTTCCTGGGACCTTCCAGCGGGCTGCTACAA